TGTTTTTGCAACATACAGAAAATACACATGCACGTAACAGGCACAGCAGATAACAGTGGAATTAGCAACACAGAACACGCGGAACAGCCACAAATCAACACAGGAATAAATACTAAACTTAATAGCAAATTATTTATTTTAAGGTAATAAAAATTGCAACATGCAGGACGTGATAGAGATAATTTAACAAAACGTATTGTGGTATATTCGCTCCTGACTTCTCCATTTATGTAACATGGCATTAAGTGCAAATATTTATGGTTGGTCTCCCTCATGGAAGTGTTTGAAAGATCCACTTCTATGTAAATATGTATGCATAGCTTTTTTAAAATTACGTCATGGCTGATTAACCTAATCAAGTTTTTTAATGTGGTCACGAATCATAGAATATAGGCCTATCGTTGTCTACACTAGCTTTCTGCAAAGCAATTCAGCTAGATTCCCTGCCTTCTCCAATTTCCTTTCCCTGTGACACTGTACGTTTTCTCCCTTTCCGTAGTTATGTAAATCTTCTATGAAAGCCGTGACTGAATCTGCCTTTACCAACTCACAAGCAGTACATTACAGATCACAAGACTATAACACTCAGGAGCCGAAGTAGGCCATTCAGCCTGTTAAGCCTGCTCAGCCATTCAATGAGATCGTGGCTGATCTGATAAATCTCAACTCCACTTTCCTGCCTTTCCAACACAACCCTTGATTCCCTGATTAAAAATCTGTCCATCTCAGCCTTAAATATATTTAATGTTCCAGCCTCAACAGCCCTCTGTGGTAAAGAATTCGACAAATTCACTACCCACTGAGAAAAGAAATTTCTCTTTGTTTGTCTTAAATGGGTGACCCATAATGCTGTGATAATGCCTTTTGGTCCTACGCTCTCCCACAAGGGGAAACAATCTTTCCACATCTACACCATCAATCCTCCTAAGAGTCTGGTATGTTTCAATAAGGGCACATCTCATTCTTCAAAATTCCTATGAGTACAGGCCATAACTACTCAATCTCTCCTCACAAGACAGTACCTCCCATGCTGGGAACAGCCTAGAGAACCATCTCTGGACTGCCTCTGATGCCAAATTATCATTCCTTAGATAGGGGACCCAAAACTGTTCACAGTATTCCAACTATGCTTTGCATAATTTTAGCAACGCCTTCCTATTTTTATACTTCATTCCCTTTGAAATGAAGGGCAACAATCTATTTGCCTTCTGTATCACCCACTGAGCATGAACGTTAGTTTTTTGTGATTCATCGACAAGACTCCCTGAATTCTCTGTTCTGTAGCTTTCTGCAGCCTGATGCTAATGACTCTCTGCAGAACAAGAGTTTCCTTCATGTACCACTGCTTCTTTTCCCAATCATTTTAAATTACTGCTATCAGTTCTTGATCCACCCACCAGTTTCTATCTACTTTGTCTAGATACTTCATAATTTTCAACACCTATTTCAAATCTCTTCTCAACCATCTCTTTTGTAAGTAGAACAGCACAGATACTCCAATCTATCCATCTATCATTCATCCCTGAAGCCATTTTTCTAAATCTTTTCACACCTTTTCTAAACCATTCACATGTTTCCTAAAGTGCAGAGTCCAGAATTAGAAACAATACTGCTGTTGAGACTTTCGTTATTTTATAAAGGTCCATTGAAATCTTCCTGCTCTAGTCCTTTATGCCCAGGTTTTTAAAGCCTAGGTTCCCATATGCCTTTGTAACCACTTCCTGAACCTGTCCTGTCACCTTGATAAGTGAGTATAAAAGGAGGTTGTCTACATGGATGTACAGAAGGCATTCGATAAGACAATAGACGAGTATAGAACAAAATGGATGTGAAAAGATTTGCAGGTAGCCTTTTTGTTGGCATTTAAATGTAAGAAGCAGAGTAAATGGTGCTCCTTAGAGGCATGTCTCATCTTTTCACTGTATTTATTGATGATTATTTTTTCATTCAAAGATAGATTACTCTACTCTGTTAGGACCGATACTAGATGTTGTAGATTTTGCAAAGGGACATAGACAAATTAGGGGAGTGGTCAAAATTAAGGCAAAGCAAGTTTAATATGTGCACATGTAAGGCCATCCACTTTAGCCTCAATGCAAACATTTCCAAAGGGGCAAGAATATGGGAATGTAAAGGAGCATAAAGATTTGGAAGTCCAAATAAATTTCATTAAACATGTATAAAAAGCAATCAAAAAGTTAATTAAATGTTGGCCTTTATCTCGAAGGGACTGGAATACAAATGAAAGGAAATTATCCTTGGTTATATACAGTACTGGCAAGACACAACAGAGTTTAAAAATTTGAATTATGAAGACAGGCTGAACAAATTTAAGTTTATATTTCCTTCATAAAAGATTGAAGGATGATCTAATTGAGATATTGAAGTTGCTGAAACAAAATTGAGATGGTGCTGGTGCTGCAAAAATGTAACAACATGATCTTAAAAGGTAAGGCTAGGCTAGGAGTGAGACCTGAAAGCATTTCTTCACTCAAAATGGAGATCAAGAGCTCGTTCTCAAAAATCCAAGAAAGCTCTAATAATTGGAGATTTTGTTACTGAAACAGATTCTGGTGGGTAAGGATATGGAGTAAGGGTGGACTAAAAGAGGTAAAGTGCTGATTGGCACAACCTAATTGAATGGCAGAGCAGGTTCAGGCGGTTGAATGGTCTACTCCAATTACTGATATTCTAAACACATCTCTCAGAAACTTTCTTTGAAGTGCAACCCCTGTTGTTATCTAAGCAAACGAAGCACCCATTCTGCATAAATGTTCAAGAAACAACAATGTGATGAATTGATGCCGATTTGATTTTTGTGATTTCAGTTTAGTGGAATCAAGATGGGAATAGGAACTTGCAACTGCATGGATTTCTTCAGAAAATGCTGCTCCTGAGGCAAATACCAGCAGAACAATAGAATTCATTGGAATACCACGGGATCATTCATGTCAAATAATCCTGTTCATGTATTCAAAATATGAATGACATTATCATCCCAATTTTCATATGACTTTCAACTAGGGAATGCTTATTCTTCCAGTGCAAAGTAAAGTGGCAGAGCGTTATCAGCTTTGGGATTTCCAGGATTTTCCATACTCCTGCATGGTGGGGTGACTGCTTCTACAACAAGCACAGGCAAAACATTATTAGAAGAGAGCAGTAAGTTCTCATCCTTCTCATTGCAATTTCCTCCAGTACCATCACTGGCCCCTTCCATTTTCAAGAATGCTTCAAGGAAAAGTGTGAACTAATCCTGGCAGCAGCTTCCATCTGATTGGAGACTACATAGAGGCAGGTACCAATTCAAAAGGCTGCAAAGGCAAATCCCTTATTTTACTGGATCATTAAACTAGAAACCAAACTGGAGGCCTCCTAACTGTGTGGACTATAGCTACACCAAGCTGACAAGGCCGCCACTGCGATAGCAATAGACTTTCCTTTTTGGTTGCTAGGGAGCACTGGGGGTGTGCCTGAACACTTTGAGTGACCAAACTCTGCAATTACAGGTGGGTTTGATCCAGTTAGCAATAGTATACTTGGGTTATGTTGTGATTAGTTTCCACCCAATAGGAAACTCAGCCCTTTGTTCACAGACATTATGATGCATTGGACAATAATCGTTCACTCATAATTTAACCGAAATGTGGCGAATGTAGGATATCTACACATGGGGGTTTAGATATTATAAAACACACAGCTTAAATCTAGTGAATTCCACCTGTTTGATTTGGGGCTTCAGTTGTGAATTCACACTCACAGATAAGTCTCTCACATTTTAAACTTTACAGAGGTCATTATCATTTTTACCAATTCTGGTTAACAATCTTTTGTACACCAATTAAAGACCTATCAGCTGGGCTCCAATTCAACCTTATTTGAATACAATATTAAGCTAGCTTACAGTATTTTAAACTAAATATTGTTCAATAGTCACATAAAATAGAAAGCATGTGGCCTAGGCTAGGGTGGTATTGACTTCTGTCAAAATTTGCAGAAGGAATAATGTTCAAAGCTTATAGGAGTGAACAAAAAGGAGTGAATTCTGTAGAATTATTAAAAATATTTAGTCACATAAGACAACCATCTTGATCCCAATACAATGAATGTTGATATATATATTGAATGATGAAAGCAAAGATTTCTCTCAGAGGAGAAAATAGAAGTAATGTGATTGACATCAAATTTAATTCTTTTTCCCCCCCAACAAGAAATGTCATTGAATGCATCAGGCGTCAAAATAGATCAACAAAGTGGAAAACTTACCACAATAGGACAGTTATAAAAGCAGGAGGAAGGGATCAGCATCAGGGCGAGAGAGAGAGAGAGGGGGAGAGAGAGGAGAAAACAAAAATTACTTGAAAAGGGCAGGGATTATTGAAACAAAAAAGCTACAATTCCAGCAATAAAAATAAATTTTTAAAGACAGCAGCTATTAACTCCACGCAAAACATCACAGCACAGCGTGCACTCTGGTATAAAAGGGATAGCATACTCAGCACATCACAAGATAAATGATGGAGAAAGTAGTGGAGACCAACATTAATCACAACTGGAGAGGTAAACAGGCTAGGGAGATAATTTACCATGCAATGTTGCAATGTGTGACTTGTGAACAATGGACACAAATAATTGCATTGAGAGAAAAAAACGTATAAACTAAGACTAATAAAATAAACCTTACTGCCAGTAGCTGTGAGAGGCAAATATACGTTGGTGAAACAAACATAATTTAAAGCTAGTGATAATGGAAGTGATTCATTCACAGGACTCTTCATTAGTGAGAAAATGTCTATTTACATGCACCGTCTGTGAGATCTGTTTATCTGAAAGCATTTCACATGACCATGGCAGAAAAATCTTACAATTCTGCGGCCAGAAGAAATGGCTTCATAGCCAGACAATAACAGAACACCCACAGCCAGCACACATGGGCAAAGCATTGGCATGAATTTTACATTAAACATTAGTGTTCCAACATCAACAGAAATAACACCTACCTCCCAGCCAGTACTCTGTGTAACAGAAAGTAGAGTCATGTCAAGAATTTACACAACAGAGATCCTGTAACATTTGGGTCAGGTGCAAAAAGAAAAGCATGCAGACGCAACTTTAAACAAGCACTTTTTAGATTTTATTCTCAAGGATATACTGACTTCTTACCGCAAAGAACAGTACTAGTCAACTCTAAGAAAATAGTCAACTAAAATCAACTATCCATCTATTAAACAGAATATTTGAAATTACACTTAAATGAAGTCTGTGAAATAAATTACCTGATGGACTATTTTGCTGAAAGCATCTTGGAGTTTACCATGAATAGTTGCCAGTTTTTTTGCATCACGATTAGCCTCATGGATTGGAATAAGAACTTTGTAAACTTCGTTAACTGCCTCATACATTCCAGCCTGTTATTTGAAAGTCCAAAAATTGTGCAACAAGTGAAAAACAGAAATTTTTACCATGCAATTATAAAGGGATGTTCATAAAATTAGATTCCTGAGTTATGCAACCAAGAACAACCATTTTGTAAAGAACAACCATTTTGTAACTTACAAAACCTAAGACTGCGAGTATCAACATCTCATTTCACCATGACACCAACCTGTTCTGTCCTAATATTTATACAGTGGGTCCCTGATTTACAAACAGCTGACTTATGAACGGTCATAGTTACAAACACGATACCTTACAGGGATGTAATTTTAAAGATCCATCTCATAAACATTTCCTGTACTTAATGAATAGTTAGTTTATTTAATCCTGCATTGTGTTCCGACTTGCATACAAAATGACTTGCGAGCGGACTCAAGAACAGTACCTGTTCACAACCCAGGGATTACCTACAGATACAATTTCTTGGTAGGCTAATGATAGTAGCTGGAGCACATACGTAGGCTCAAATCTAACGAATGACTGACTGAAATCAGCAAATTCAGTATTTCTGCTGAATAGGGATCTTCCTGTCACATTTCTAATACCTTTCACTTAAATTCAAGACTTCAGAGGGCTCTGATGAAACTAAGTAAATAGTTACTCAAAAATAGTTATACTAAATGTATAGTCTGGAGTAACTATTAAAATGACCTCGTACTTCCCTTACACCACCTCTATCAATTACACCCTGTGACTCCTTGCAACCCCAGCATATAACAAAAATTCTAATCCTCTTATGAACTCCCCCTTACACACACACCCCAACCAACAAACAAACAAACAAGGAAAGAGGCTGATGGTAAAGCTTAAAAAAACTGTAAAGTGACGTGAGTGGTCTTTGCTCTCTGATTCTGATGTTGAGATGATCCTTCTTCAACCAGCCAGGCCCTTAATTTTCAGCTGTCTTTCCCTGGAAGCATTCACATGGTTGTTAAGAAGTATAGAGTGATTGACTCGCTTGGAAAATGTCTCTGATTTATCAATTCAAAGTCTCAGCTTACAGCAACGGCTGCAGAAAAGGCTTTCTTCAAGTTTAAAATTAGTTTTTTTACTACAGAGAACAGGCAGCTTTTGTTTAGGAAATCAACTGCTCACCTTTCTGTGTCTTTCCCTCTCTGTGTATCTGTGTCTTTGTAACTGGTTTCCAGTTCCAACCTGCTCAGTTAGCTGTGAACCAATCAGCTTCATTTGTAAACAACTCTTTGGCTCCTAATCATCGGCACAGTGCAGGAACCCACAGCCAATAGTCAGGAGTTCACAATAGGTTTTGAATTTATTGCTGTGAAATTATGCAGCTATCCTGGTAAATTCCTGCTTTCAAAAACAGTTCTTTCTCATTGGAGTCCACAGTTCTTGAAGACACAAAAATAAAAAGACATACGCCCTTCAAGGGAATTGGAATTGAAGAGTTAACAACAATCCCAAAGTCTCTTTTTTTGCAATAGAATACTTCTTCTGATAGTGGTTCAGTTTTTTTAGAGAAGTACCCCATTAGCTTCTCTATTCCTACTTGTCATCCTACAATATGACAACACCCACCCTTAAATTACGAAGATCAATTGCCATTTTGAAAGGTCTGGAAAAATCATGGACAGCCAACACTGGTTCATTTCTTCAGCTTCTCAAAGGCTGCCTAGCTTTTCTTTGTTTCTTTAATAAATTTGTTAAAGGCATGGCTATTAAACTGAAATCCCATGCAAATTTCCAGTAAAATACACACATTCCTGAAAACCTCATAATTTTTGTTTAGTTTTAGCAATTATATTAAAGCCTTCAGTTTACTCTCCGTGGCAACATTTACCCTTGTCCAACAACATCTCTCAAGTAAGTCACACTTGCTTTCGCACATTCACTCTTGACTACATTTATCACCAAACCAGCCAATCGCAACTCCTTAAACAGTTCGTCAGTTTGTTTTACATGCTCTTCAGTTCTTCAATAAACTACAATATCATCTAAATACATTACGCAGTTACAAACTCCAGTCATGACTTGATTCATTAGCCTCTGGACTGTATATGAGGCATTATTTAAGCCAAATGGCATCACGTGACATCGGTATCACCCATTTGATGTAACAAAAGCAACAATTTATTTAGCCCTCTTTGTCAATGGCACTTGCTAGTACTCCTTCAATCAAACAATCTTTGAAAGGAAAAATATACTGTCGACCCTATCAATACAATCTTCCAGTCACAGAATTGGGTACAAATCTGTTTTTGTGACTATATTCATCTTTCTATCATCTATACAAAGTCTAGTTGATCCATCTGGTTTAGGAACCAACATTATTCATGAACTCCAGCTGCTTTGGCTAGGGTCAATCATGTGGTCCTTGAACATGTTTCCACCTGAGCTAGTTTTTCAGGACTCAACTGATAAGGATGTCATTTTATCAATGTTGACTCTGAAACATCCACATCATGTCTGGTTAATCTGGTTAGTACATCCAGGTATATCTCTACAGATTACCACATACTTTCTCCGTAGTCTTATAAGGTCCTCCCACTGCCCATTCTCTAAGTATGAGAACACAATGTCTAACTGCCCTAATATTTTTGTGTTAGCCAGTCAAATTGTCAGCGGTTCGAGACCTGTCTATCTCTTCTTATACTTCATCCTCATTATCTCTGTCATTTACTACTACTCTTACCACTTGACACACTTGCTCTTCCTTATCCGCGTCTATACATGAAACCTTTTCAGCACGTTTATGTGACATATCAATTCTTCTTCCTCTAATCAGGAGGATCATTCTAGCTACTTTATATAGACCATTGAATTTCACTTTCACAGGTTCACCCTATAAAGGCAACAACACCAATACTTCATCTCCCAGCTAAATGTTTATCCACCCATTCTATCCTTTTCACCTGTAGAACTTTTAAATGTTCCTGTGCTACCCTAAATGCTCCATGGAGTCTTTCTAGAAACAGGGACCCTTGGTCCAATATTGAGGATTAATCTTTCTCATTCAAGAATTTCTCCCCAACCAATTTTAATGGATCTCTAGTCTCATGACCATAACCTAATTCAAATAGGATAAATCCAGTAGATTAATTTGGAAAATCTCTGGTAGAAAATAATTTTAAAAATCTAACATTTCTCCCAATCCTGAGGATTTTCTTAACATTATGCCTTAATTATGGTTTGAGAGTCTGATCATACCTCTCGAAAGCTCCCTGATTATGTGGACTTCTTGATCAACTGGAATATTTTTCAACTGACACACTCCTGGTCCCATAGGTGCCAGTTGATAAAAAGTTTGCTGTATCTATAATTGTGAGGATATACGGAGGTCTGGTTTACATTTTTGGTAATGGTGTTACACAATACACATTCACGTGACAAAACGGTTCTTCAAAAGCTGGTATAGGTATCAAAGGAAAACAAAAAAAAGTCAAAAATTAAAAATAAAACAAAATGATCTTTACACTTAGCCTGATACAGAAAATGGATTGTCAGGACTGTTGAACACAATTCTAATTAATAGGTGCATTTCTGTGGACAAAACCAATTTTGATCCCTACAAACGTATAAACACCTAATATAGCTACCAGAGATAACCATTTCCTGTTGAATAAACCAACTTAGCATTACTTGTAGGATATATTTGAATTACATAGGATATAAGGCACAGAGACAGGCAATTCAGCACATCCAGTACAAGACAGTATTTACACTTCATTTGGTCATATGACTGTAAAACTTGGGAGCAGAAATAGGCCATTCAGCTCATTGAGTCTGCTCCACCATGCATTGAGATCATGGCTGATCTAATAATCCTCAATTCCACTTTCATGCCTTTTTCCTATAACCTTCGATATTCGTACTGATTAAAAATCTATCTATCTCAGCCTTAAATATACTTAACACAGCCTCACAGCCCTCTGCGGTAAAGAATTGCACAAATTCACCACCCTCTGAGAGAAGAAATTTTTCCTCTACTTTGTTTTAAATGTGTGACTGTGTACTCTGAAATTATGTCCTCTGGTCCTAGACTCACCCATAAGCAGAAACAACCTTTCAACATTGAACCTGATAAGTCTCCTAAGAATCTTAAATTTTTCAAAAAGGTCATCTCTCATTCTTCTAAACCCCACACGTAAATACTTAACATACTTAACCTCTCCTCATAAAACAGACCCTCCATACCTGGGATCAGTCTAGCCAACCTTCTCTGGACTGCATCTAATGTAATGATAGGTAAAGGGCCTAAAACTGTTCACTGTATTCCAGCTGTGGTCCGACTAGTGCATTGTATAGTTTCAGCAATACTTCCCTATGTCTATAATCAATTCCCTTTAAAATGAAGGTCAACATCCTACTTGCCTTCCCTCTTAACTGCAGAACTTATCTGCCAGACTTTAAAGTTCAAATCCCTCTGTTCTCAGGCTTTCTGCAATCTTTCTCTATTTAAATAATATTCAACCCCTTTATTTCGCAGCAACCTTCAGCCAGAAGTGCCGAGTAGATGATCGATCTCGGCATCCTCCAGTGGACCCCATCATTTTAGATACCAGCCTTCGGCAAATTCAATTCACTCCACGAGATACCAAGAAACGGTTGGAGGCACTAAATACTGCGAAGGCTACGGGCCCCAACAACATACCAGCAGTTGAACTGAAGACTTGTGCTCCAGGACTTGCCACTCCCCCTAGCCAAGCTGTTCCAGTGCAGCTACAACACTGGTATCCACCCGACAATGTGGAAAATTGCCCAAGTATGTCATATACATAAAGAGCAGGACAAATCCAACCGGGCCAATTACCACCCCGCAGGCTACTCTGAATCATCAGTAAAGTGATGGAAGGTGTCATCAACAGTGCTATCAAGCAGCTCCTGCTCAGAAATAACCTGCTCAGTGGCGCCCAGTTTGGGTTCCACCAGGGCCACTCAGCTCCTGACCTCATTACAGCCTTGGTTCAAACATGGACAAAAGAGCTGAATTCCAGAGGTGAGGTGAGGTGAGAGTGACAGCCCTTGATATCAAGGCTGCATTCGACCGAGTGTGGCATCATGGAGCCCGAGCAAAACTGGAATTAATGGGTTTCAGGGGCAGACGTCTGGTGGTTAGAGTCATACCTGACACGTAGGAAGATGGTCGTGGTTGTTGAAGTTCAGTCATCTTGGCTCTAGGACACCTCTACAGGAGTTCCTCAGGGTAGTGTCCTAGGTCTAACCACCTTCAGCTGCTTCATCAATGAGCTTCCCTCCATCATAAGGTCAGAAGTGGGGATGTTCCCCAATGATTGTACAATGTTCAGCATCATTCGTGACTCCTCTGACACTGAAGCAGTCCGTGTTCAAATGCAACAAGATCTGGACAATATCCAGGCTTGGGCTGACAAGTGGCAAGTAGCGTTCTTGCCACATAAATGCCAGGCTATGACCATTGTCAATAAGAGACAATCTAACCACCGTCCCTTGACATACAATAGTGCTACTATCACTGAATCCCCCACTGCCAATATCCTGGAAGTTATCATTGATCAGAAACTCAACTGGACTCATCACATAAATGCAGTGGCTACAAGAGCAGGTCAGACATTAGGAATACTGTGGCAAATAACTCACCTCCTGACTCTCCAAAACCTGTCCACCATCTACAAGGCACAAGTCAGGAGTGTGATGGAATAGTCCCCACTTGCCTGGATGAATGCAGCCCCAACAACACTCAAGAAGCTTGACACCATCCAGGACAAAGCAGCCCGCTTGATTGGCACCACAGCCACTAGCATTCACTCCCTCCACCACCGACGCTCAGTAGCAGCAGTGAGTGCTAGCTACAAGATGCACTACAGAAATTCACCAAAGATCCTCAGACAGCACCTTCCAAACCCACGACCACTTCCATCCAGAAGGACAAGGGCAGCAGATATATGTGAACAACACCATCTTCAAGTTCTCCTCCAAGTCACTCACCATCCTGACTTGGAAATATATCACCATTCCTTCACAGTCACTGAGTCAAAATCCTGGAATTCCCTCCCTAATAGCACTGTGGGCCAACCCACAGCAGGTGGACTGCAGCGGTTCAAGAAGGCAGCTCACCACCACCTTCTCAAGGGCAACAAATGATGGGCAAGAAATGCTGGCCAGCCAGCGACACCCACAAAATGAATATTAAAAATGAAGCCGTGTAATCTGTTTGATCATATTATGTATTTGTAAATGATCTGCAATTATATCCTTCATTATTTACTCAACATTTTCCTAATTAGAATTGCTCAGCTATAGTTTCCTTTTTCAATTTGAATAAAATAATTATTTAAGATTTCTGCCATCTCTGTTTTATTGCCTGTGCAATTATTTTGCTTGTCCCATCGTGTCCTATTCCTACCACAGCCTTCCTTTCTTTATTGACATGTCTGTGAAATATTTTGCCAGTTTGTGTTTCTTGACAATTTAGTTTTGTAGTGACACTTTGTCTGCGTAATAAGATTCTTTCCTAACCTCTAGTCGTGTTCACGCTAGTCTTCTGTCATTTATCTTGGTAATGGATGCCTCTTTCAGTGCCCTCATTTATTGCCTAATGTCTTTATTTCTAATGGAGTTTCACTAGTGTTTAATCTGTTCTTTCCTTTTAGTGAATTATATTTTTCCTATACTCTGTTGAACACTATTTCAATTATTTTTCACTCTTGTTGCTCATTTTATTTTCCCAGTTCTAGTCTCAGTGCTGCACAGTCAGCTTTTCTGCAATCTATTAATGTGGGTTCCATCATAATTATCTACTCTTCTGTTGTATCTTAATGCAGGTTATATTATGATCACTATTGTCCAGGTATTCCCTTACTTTTATTTTTATCTGCTCTGGTTCAACACCCATTTCTAGTGCCAACAAGAATCTCCCCTACTAGGCTTTTGTTTTCGTACAAAGTTAGAAAGTGACCTGTACATGTTCCACTAGTTCCATTCAATTATCTTCTTTACCCATGTCTTCTGTTCAACTAATGTCAGGTAGTTGAAATCTATTATCATTATTAATCCATGCTTTTTAACTACTTTTCCCAACAAGGATCATCTGTTGACTCCTTGACATGGCACAATTACATTAATTTTGTGCAGAAATCAGCATACTCGGGGTTTTGAGAAATGAACGTTCAACTATAGAGATGTAATCTAATGTTAAATTCAGAAGGTTAAAATCGTGAAATGTACCACGTTGATCATGAACTTAACTGTGTAGACCGGCATCAAAGCCAGCTGAGAATTTACTCATTGATGCTTTCGGGAAAATAAGACGACCATCTGGTCAATGATCTAAGGCTGAGTTAAGTAGATTCTTGATAAGGAAGTCGAAGGGTATAAAGGGTAGACAGGAAAAATGGAGTTAAGGCCACAATCAGATCAGCAATGGTGGAGTAGGCTCAAGAGATTGAACAGTCTACTTGTGCTCCTAACTTGCAGGTTCATTTGAATGTATATTAATCTCAAACATATTGCTCTACATAACGGCTTTATGCATTCGTTGACAGGAGACTTGACATATTGGAATGACCTTGCTATCTATTTTTTGGGAGTTAAACCTAAAATGACACAAAAGAGTTCAACAGAGCATCAAAGCAAAGGGGAACCCTATGTTTCTACACTTGGAAATGCAGCACATTGGCATAAGAACACAATGTGCTGCCAGACCAAACATTCTACGCAACACATAGGCCACATTTTAAAATTTCAAGGAAATAATTTCCTAACCAAAATTTCACCAATCGGACTTAATAGTGTATTAAATGTTGTAATGCTTAATCCTTGGGCGATGGAGTCTCATCTCTGCCAGCATCGTCAGTACTCAGAATTGGAAGATCAGGAAGTAAATTACAGAAACTGGTGTTACCTATTTGTCCAAACTGTATAAGGCAAATCACAGACTGGGTTTGTCACTGGTGCTGGATAAATCCATTCCAACAATATTACAAATGGAAGAAAGAGACACAACAATTAACTTAAGTGAGTCATGAAAAAGGGCAGAAAAGTTCAGCATGAGAAATAAAATTCAAATCATCCAATCCGCTCCATCAGCAGACCATGCAAGGTTCACCCAATAAAGGGCTCTGTCCACATTGTTTACTTTCATGATGGAAACTTTTCAACAATACACCTTGATCTCTGAAGCTTGTCAAGTAATATCCCACCAATTATTCATTCATTCATTTCCACATCTCCACCATTCAACACTGACTGTTGCCCATCATAGATACCATTCTACAACATAGAGAGTTGGCAGTTTGAAATAATACTTACCATTGAAAACAGATCTGCAGCTTGCTCCAGCAATCCCACAAGACCAGCCTCTGTGAAGTACTTCCCAGAGCAGATTCCTTCCTCATCCGGTGAAAGAACATCATCTGAAACTGCAGACTCTTCCAAAACATTGAAAGAAATATTCTACAAGAATCCAAATAAAGGTGTAATTACTATGGATAACACATATGAACATAAATCTTGCAATCATTAGTCAAGCTAGTACAGTCCATCTTACATCTATTAAAGTCTCTACTAACAGGAGAAATAAAAAAACAGCTGCAGTTAAAAACAGCTCGACTGTATTTTTGTCAACGGTCACAAATACAATCAAAGTAGAACTACCAAGTCGGCCTTGTTTTATGGGAATCTTGAGTCTCTTGTCCTCCCACCTGAGAATCACAATCATTTATCTCTATTGTACTAGCACATTCATGGTTTTCCTTTACTTTATCTTATGGAGTCAATATGGATGTGAGACTACCTCTGAAACTATTACACAAGTTGTGAAAGCCTCTGTCAAAAATCCAGGGTCAGCAGAGAAAGATGGTAGGATTACCCTGTTTCCAGTGCTAAAATTTTTTTGCTAAAATTCACATACGTGAAAATGTGCAACAGAAATATATAATACAGTAAAACAGACAGTAAGAGAGGGGAAAACAGAAGAATAAAATGGAAAATATATTACAAACCTTTGCTACAATCTACAACATTAAAGGATGCAATATTTTCTTGATTTCCACAGCCATGTTATCAACGTCTGGGGACATCACTCTGATATTTACATGGCAGTGATCCACCAACAGTACATAAAGCCTTGATCACAAGCACCAGAAATCTGATTATTCATTAACTTTCTTGGAATCTAGTTTCTGGTAGTTCCACATCTGGATTCTGGCAGGATCAGCCGAACCATTGAAATGAAAGAAATTCTGAGTTACATCTAAAAATGTTTAGCTTGGAATCTTACAGTGGTCTGGGTGACGTAGGCGACAGTCTAATACATGGAAAATTCAGGTGTTAAGTACAGCAAGGCGCACCTCGACATTGGGAGCATCTCGCTCCATCTTTCATACTTTTCACAAGCAGTGTGACGGGTTTCTTACAAGGTAGCAGCCAGTTGCTAATAAAGGAGGATTACTGGTTGTTAAACACTTTGTTGACGGCCCAATGTACATCACTAATATTGACCTTTCTTTCTTACCAGTCTTGCCAAATAAGGTGAAGCCAAAAAAACTCAACATGGAAACCAGAGCATGCACCTGGCAGATTCAGAATGCACTTGTTCTGAATGAACTCCACATTGGACACTGAACTCCAACATCTCAGGGCACACTCTATGGACACCAACATACATATCCCACATCCACAAAAACTGGCAAATGGTATGTACCAGCCTCCGAAATGTTCATAGCACATCTCTGATCCACTTCCAGGACATTTTTGTACTCAATTCTCTTTGCAATAAGCTGCAAGGACAGTGTGCATTCATGGACATGCACCCAGTTCACAGACTGGACCAAACTGTATTTCTGGGTTCTTAGCTGGCTCTCCTGGCATTCACTCATGCTGAACCCATCTGGATACTCACAGCATTGTTGCCTTATGTCATCTTGCCTTGCCTGTTTTCTCACTTTGTCCTTCAGCCAGAGATAACAGTCTTATAGTACTGCATGTCAATGGGTCCCAGTCAAGTCAAGGGAGGTAACTTTCACACATTGGGGTTGGGGCACAGTAAGTATTGGACAGCTTCCAACACCAGTTCATGGCATGCTCAGGGTGGTCAGACTCAGGATCGTCTCCATAGAAGTGAGGAGCTGAATGTCAGGCAGCCCACCACCCTTCTCAACTCTAGTGAGTAGGCAGCAATAGGGGAGGGAGGTGCAGGTTTCGCGGTGCTGAGGGTTGGGGTGCGTGACAGCAAATAGAGGAAGATGTTGCAGGAAATAGTGGTACAGCATGATTCTTGATGGGAGATGGAAACAGTTGCAGAAACAGAGTGAACGTAATGTATCAGAGAGAAGGTGGTGACACTTATCCTTCTGGAATGCAGAAGGTCATTGACCTCTTTTCTGCACACCTCCAGGTGGCTGATATTGCTTTAACTCGGGTGAAAACCTCAAACCAGGCTGGCATAGTCTGTCTTGTGACCTCGACTGATGTCACAGGGGACAAGGAAGTCCTGCCTCTGAACCACTCCATCAGCAGGACCTCCAGGTCTCTGCCCACATAAGCGAGGTACCCATTTACTGCAATCTGCCATTTCCAAGGCAAACATCAGGAATCAGATAGGGCAGCTCCGGACTTTTGGTGCTTGTCTGGGCATACCAGCTTTCCAGTATGGCTGTGCACAAGAGATGCCAGTCTTTTGGCAGATATCTGCTGCGTCGCACGTTGTTCAGGGAATGGCACATGGTAAGATGGAGTAGAAATTGGAGAATAGGTCTTTAATGTAGCAAAGTTAATAAGACATGGAGAGAAAATTCACTAGGACCTATGGTGAAAAGCTCTACAAAGACACAATGCAACTCGAACTTAGTCAAAAAAAAAAAGATTTAGTCTTTAATTTCGGGTTTTCTGCTATCTTTAATGCAGATTTAAGAGGAAATTTGTCTAGATCAGGTCACGGCCATGAAACCAGTTGTGTCTCCAGGTCAACAACTTGATTTTCTGCAGTATCAGGAAGGCTCAAATTGCAGTTATTTCCTTATTTACACAGGTACTAACGTTATGAATGCACTTACATATCAAAAACTGTATATTTTTATTTATTCATTTATTGGATGAGGGTTTCACCAGCTGGACCAGCAACCATGGCCCCTCCCAAAGTGCCCTTGAGAAGGTGGTGGTGAGCTGTTTTCTTGACTACTATACGCCATCACAGAATTGTTACAATGCTTAAGGGCATTCTGCACATCTTGACTCTACACATTTCAATTTAGTGCCGATCTCCTGCTTTTTCCCCATAACACTGCACATTATTTCTATTTGAATAATCTTCAAAAACACTCTTGAATAACTCAATTGGACCTGGCTCGACATTTCCAGGCAGTGCATTCTACACCCTAACACTTCATTGTGTGACATTGTTTTTCTCACCTCACATTCACTTCTTTTGCAAAACTTTAAAATTGTGTCCCCTGATTCTCAATCCTTTTGAATGGGAAAGGATTCTGCCTGTCTACGTTGTCCAATCCGCTCATAATTTTGAAAATTTCTATCAAATCTCTTCTTCTCCACTCCAAAGTCCTTATAACTGAAGTGTATCATCCTTGGAATCATTCTCGTCAATTTCTTCTGTGTGATCATTTTCCACATTCAACCCCTTGGGACAAACACTTGCATCAATACAGTTTGCATTAACGATATGCATTATGAGCTTGCTCTCCTGTGGTTCATCACTTTAAATAATTGTAAAGAAGGAGAGTTTCAGATGCTGTGTAAATTGGACCCAATCCCTCCAGAATAACCTCAACATTGATCCAGAATCTCAGACCATAGAGCTATTAACAAAATAGCATGCCCCAAAGCACATTTGAAATGCTCTGAATAAAAGTCAGTCACCCAAATCTCTCCCAAATAGATTCACAGAATTTAACTGCAAGGTAGAACTTTGAAACCAATCCATTCTCCCTTAAGTAATCCAAACAGATGATCGTTTCACACTAGCTAATGGAAAACAGAAGGCAAAATAACTTTGATAATCAGAAAATATGAATGAATACAGGAGGCAAGATTTTTACAAATGTTAATGCAAGTTTGTAATATGGAAAGGGAGGCAGGTAGGGCAGGACTTCGCATCATCAGACATTCATTCCTGCTGAGGTGAGACCATCTGCTGCAGGTAATTTCTGTGCAGGAGATGCAGCTTCCTATATATTAGGTGATATCTCCACTTTGTGACTAACTTACGAGTGATATGCTCACATTTGGATTTTATCCATTGTTGCAAATAATGTCATGTTCATCAGCATTTATTTCCTGATTTCAACCAGGATAATGATCAAGTGGAGACCATGTATTTCTCTATGCTAAAGGGGATGACAAATCAACAGACTAAAAGGTGAAAAGACTGAATTACAAATACTCCTTAAACAGTAAGAAGAATAGTGAATCATGCATAAACCACTTCTTATGGTGTTACCTTCAGGGGTTTTCTGAGGGTATGTATGGAAGTGATATTTTTCTATTAGGGTTGGATTGCAATGTCAGTGTCTATGCTGATCAGACAGTAAGGGCATAATGCATCATGCTGATAATTACATAGAAGTTGCTGTGTAGAAGCAGGACATTTGATCCAAGTCATCAGTGTCTTCATTAATTGTCCACAAAAGCCTGCTCCCACTGAACTTCATCTAACCTGTCCTCAACATATCATCCTTTTCCTTTCTTAGAATAGGGTCTCCCTTTCAGAGGAAACAAAAATCATGTTACAATTCCACATTCAATATAATGTACACAAAATAGACAGAAAAACAATCTGAGAGTGCCTTACAAACTCCTACCTGGAAGGTTACACATCCTACAGGAAGATACTTGCGATCTTCCAACATACTTAAGTATTCTGCTACTAAAGCTGCAGAATGGACGAGGCACTGCGCTGCTTCAGCACGGTTACTCCTCTCAGAGTGTTTTCCAGCCATGTTTTGGAGCCAGGTTAGCCGCAGATCTGGTGATGTCTGGTATCCTTTAGCAATTCTTCCAGGAGCAAATGGAAAACAAAACTATCAATCACTGATAAGCATCCAGTCTGAAATTTAAGTTATTGCCAGTATGTTGATTTTCCTTTCCTTTTTTTCTCATCCTGCCTATGCCTATCTCTAAAAGTTCTTCTGTCCTCTCTTGAAGATGTTGCCTCATCAGTACTGTCCACGCTTAGGTATTATGTTTCAACTTGCTACCTAAGTAACCAGAAATAGCACACTGTTCAATCACAAAGAGCATTACAATCTGGTTCTTACCTCATGTCCATAGATGTGCAATTTCCACCAGGTCCCCCCTGGCAGTAACCAGCAACACTGCCTGATTTTCATTTTATCTGTTTTGCCAAGGCCTACAGAAATCAATCATAGCTTTGCAGCGCCTGCCCTTTCTGAGATCAGTGCAAGGCACTGCAGCCCTTCTGGCTGTATGACTCAATTGCGCATCAGATGGTGCATTCTATTATACAGCACCAGGACTCTCCGGGCTAGTGGTTAGATGAACTTATTTTACCTATTAGTGAAATCTGTCAAATGAGGCTGGAGTGCTTTTGATTTCAGGTCTCCAACATTCGCAGTACTTTGAGCTTTTATCCTATAGCACTTGTTGAATATGTTTTTTTCTAATGTTAAAATTGACGAATGCTTACTTTTAACTATTTCTATAGTTCTAATCTGATATGCTGTTTGAATTTTGGATGTAATACACTATTATCCATTACACCGTACACAAGACAGCTTAAATTGTACAGAATGATAGTAAGTGTAATCCTGATATGGTTTGGGTTGGAGGTGAAGCTCAGCTGCTACACTTGCCCATTCAGTCAATGTATGTCAAGTCTTGGATATATCATGTGAACAGCTACATTCTGGTACGGTGAAGTAAATCCTGCAGGAAAAAATGCATTAATGCTCTAAGCACATTGGTGATATTATAGTACTTCAACCAAATGATCTTCCTTGATATGGCTCACATTTGACAGAATTTATAACTCTAACGCTACATGTTTTTCAAGGTTCAAATGGAAATTTCTTACAGACCCTGCTGGGTTTCACTAAAATTCTTGTTTTGACAAAATTAATACATTGTAGAACCACCAATTTGGAGATTAATTTCTTTTGCTCTGCTGATTTGCCAATCTCAGACATACTGTGGTTGGAAACACAGAATCTAGGCTGGCATTTTTCTATCAAGTTCAAAAAGGAAGGGACTGCCAAGCTCACTCTAGACAAGTTTCAATGTTGGAAAGCAGCTCAGAGGCATTTCTGCTGCTTGTGAACACCTGAAAGCTTGGCTGGATTAGAAGCAGAGAAAAAAAAGGAAAATGTCAGAATATCAGACATGCCAGAACTTGAAGCTGTATCTACCTCAGGCATGCGGTGGTGTTGAGTGTAAAACATCAGGCTTGGTTACTGTTCCAGATTCCTATGCAAAAATCCCACTAGAGTGCTCGTGTGGTTATTGAAGGAGGCAGAGTGATGCTCTACAGATCACAATTAAATTGCCTGGTGACACTCATGGCCCATGTTTACACTTGGTCACGTGAACAAGATACCAGAAACAAACATTGAATTGCATCTGTATGAACTGGATCTTTGAGCAAAGCAGTGATAAGGGTATGAATTTGGAAGAAAGATAGAAATAACCAAAAATGTCCACTTGAGAGCTGAATATCTTCAAGGTATACCTGTACATCAGATCAATGAGCATCTCTGGATCTTCTTGGTGTTCCTTCATTTTCACTGTGTCTGACAGGATCATATGGAGATTGAAAACAAGATCCTGCACCTATAACAAGGTAATAATGAACTGCATCACAATCAACAAATCCATCCGGATCCAAAACACACCCGAACGGAGAACCATTTTTAAAATTATTGAAATGCAGTCCAACCAGGATAAAGGGAACAAACAGAAAATGACAATTTCAACCAAAACTCTGTCAATTCAGAAGCTGAAAACAAAAATTTGTTTTCTTTGGAAATAATATTGAATGCAGAAATATGAAAAGAAACTTAAAATGACTTTAAATAGTTTGATGAAGTGGATATGTCTTAATTTGAAAGTGAGAAACATGACAAATATGTCACTTAACTAAGGGAGCATTCTGTATTATTGAAGACCAGGCTTATTCTCTACCATAGCAGATACTCCACAACAAATTCTAAGTGAACCAATGTTTCTTTGACTACAAACTGCTTTATGATCGGGTGGAGAGAGTGCTATTAATTTTTCTCCTCCTTTCTAAGATACTTATGTTTCTCCTCAACTGGTCTCTGAAAGTGCAAGTTCATGACACTGTATGGATCTGATATTGTAAAAACTCACATTGGTTGGTAGATAATTTATACGGCAAAAGGGAAACAACTTGGGAGTGAAAGGAGAAAAACTTTATTGAATTATGAGGTAATAGCATTGAAACTAACTAAGTATAATTATAAATAAAAACACAAAATTCTGGAAAAACCAGTGGGTCTGTAAGTATCTGTGGAAAGAGAAGCAGAGTTAATGATTCTGGTTGGTTACCTTTCAACATTAGGGGCAGAAAGTTCTCTAATTGTCATCGTCAATGTTTATTCTTTTACCAACACCATTGAAAATATGGTCACATATCTCATTTCCGTATGTGCAAATTGACTAGCGCATTTCCCAACAGCACAAAAATGACACTGTTACAAAAGTGCTAAATTTGCCATAAAGCCTTTTGTGCTGCCCTAAAGTTGTGACAGACGCTCTTATAAAAATATATACCTGGTCAGGAAAGGTAGTTTCTCTCAGTTCCAAGTCTTCTTCAGCGTATGTCAAAATTGTCTTTAAAGAACGCCTGAGGAATTCTTCATTAAAATTCTGGGATGTACCAACCAGCGAGGAAAGTGACATGGTTACTTGCATCTTCACTCTTGCAAAATTCTGTAAGCAATAAAATACTATTTTCTTCAAAATTTCAATGGTATAGTTTATAAAGACAAAGTATAAGAAATGATTATTTAAAGAGGGGAAAGTTGGCTCAAACATTGCTTACATTGCCAATCTCGAAATTTTGTCTCATAAGGAGGTACAGTGAGGCACTGGCATGTGCTCGGATTGTGCCAATACTGCTGCTGCAGTGTCGTAAAAGCCTTAGGCACAGATCAGCACACAGTTCTGTTTCTTCTTCAAAAAGGAGTTCAGGAAACTGTAACAACAGGAAGAATATTAAACCATTTTGCCTTCACCCCTTGAAAGTGATGATTCAATCCTTACCAAATATTTACACATGCACTTTCTAGCTAAAGTCACTGATAGTGATCAGAGCATGAAACCCTTCATGTTACACTTGGAGTCATACAGCACAGAAACAGACCCTTTGGTACAACTCGTCTATGCTGACCAAGTTTCCCAAACTAAACTGGTCCCAATTGTCTGCGTTTGGACCATATACCTCAAAACCTTTCCTTTTTATGTATCTATCCAAATGTCTTTTAAATGTTATAACTGTACCTGCATGTACCACTTCCTCAGGCAGTTCGCTCCACATATGAACCACACTCTTTGTAAAAAAGTTGCGCCTCAGGTCCCTTTTAAATTTTTCTCCTCTGACCTTGAAAATATGCCCTCTAGTTTTGAACTCCCCTACCCTAGGGAAAAGACCTTTCCTATTCACATTCCTTATGCCTCTTTTGATTTTATAAACCTCTTTAAAGTCACCCTCAACCTTTAGAGTACGATTTTGCCTTTAAAACCATTTCTTGACATGGTATTAATTTGGAAAAGAAAATGTACAAGCACATATCAAACACTGATGTAGTCATACAAGTTTTTAAAACTTAACAAGGATGATTAACTGTATATACAGAGAAACTGTAGTGGCAAAATTTAACCTATTGCTATGAATGGAACTCTTGCAATTCTAAATTCAAGAGGATAGCAGAATTCCTCAACCTGGAAGGGGGCAAAAAAGGGGAAATCCACTTGTAAATTCTCCAATCTCTTTGATGGATCCCTCTAATACACTTTTTTCAATAATAAATTCACAGGATGCAGACGTCACTTGTCATGCCACCATCTATTGGCCATCCCTAATTAATGCTGAGATGGTGGCAAACTGCTTTCTTGAACTGCTGCAGTCCATAGGTGCAGGGGCAACCACACTGCTGTGACGGAGAGACTTTCAGAATCTTGACTCAGCGACAGTGAAGGAACGGCAATATACTTACAGGTCAGTTAGACTGAAAACATTAGTAAAGGAAGAGGTAGGAGTGAGAAAGTGGGCAGAGCACCAAGGAATTTTTGAATTCTCAGAATAAGTTAGACATTGATTATGACATATATTGAAATGAGATGACATATGAAACATAACGCACTTGTCCTATTGCTAAGAATTTCTACATTCAGAATTATTGAAATGTACCCAAGTATCGAATAAACAACCACAACAATTTGACCATTAATTTGCCAAAATTAGGGTAGCTACTTTAAATGCAGGTATATCCTAAAATGTGTTAAATATCTGTGCCAGGACTAATGGGTTTTATTGACTACACATTGACTGTCAATCACAGAAGTATGAATGGAATCTTTCTGTCCCAAAAAGCTGAGGAATAGATGGTGGGAGGCGAAAATAATCAGACAGGCTGGGATCAAGGAGAACCCAGCTCGTCTTGTCACTACCACCACAGGAATAAAGTGGGAAAGTCTTCTCACACTGTCACCAACTGAGATCTTTAAATGGTCAATTGAAGAGAACTTTTAAAGGCCTTTTTACACAACCATCAGAATTAACTTCATTTCTGACAGGTGAGGAGATTGCCCTTCTCTGCAATCAAAGGATAAGGTCAAGCTGCCAGACTGGGGTGGGAAGTCTCAACTTGCCTCAAGCTGGGGATGATCGGAGGTGGAGATAGGGGCTGGGTGTAAGGCAATGAAAACCAAACCCTGCCCTTGCTTTTGACACCCCCCACTCCCCTCCACCCTCAAGCCACACCCATCAGAGGTATATCCTACATCTGCTATTTCTGGGACTCTACATTGCTGTGCCGGCAGCAGTCGTGGCCACTGATGTGGCTTTGCTGTGGCTGCCAATCTCTGATTGGTCAGCAGCTTCATGTAAGGCAGGACCTCACTGTCCCAGGAAGTGATCCTGGTGGAAAGTCCATTTAAGTGCCTGATAGGCTTTCGTTTGAGGGTGGGATTCTGACTAGTCTTATGCCCATCTCCACCCAATGCGTTTACATTTCATTTAACTACTGCTGTTGTACCTATATAATACAAGCCATCAGCATTTCATCAGAACTGCTCCTGAAGATGGTTTAGGGCTCCAATTTCAAGACTGCCAAGCAAATCAATGCCACTACACCTGGGATCCAGTACAGCTACCTCTCCGTTCCCTGTTCTCAAATGAGAGAATACAAGACAGTGACTTTGTATTATTTCAGCTTTGGTGGATTTAATGACAAAATTTCAATAAAGCCAAACCCCTTTATCTGATGAGTAATTTTTCTATATTCCTGCAAAGAGTGGCATAGTGCCCACTCAGTAATAGCCTGGAGTGGCGTCACTAAAACAACTTTAACATGAATTGCAGACAAAAATAAATTTACGCCCTTATTTCATTTGGTGCAGTGTGCTTGTGCAGAATATGGTTTGCACAGTGATCTTCAATAATCAGTTATAACAATTATCTATAATACTGTAACACCTACTTTAGATACCAAGGCTCTCTGGGTGGCAAAACAATGTTGCAGGTAAAGTGCACTCTGATTACACGCCATAGTGTGTAGAAGAACCTTCAGGACCCCTCCAAGCACACTCTCTTTGGATTCTGTCACAGAAACAGTCTGAACATATAGAGGGTAAAGATTAAAAATAAATAATTGTTATGTATTTGACAAGTTTCAAATACCATTTTTTACGGTATCAATAGTGAGGTACTCCTAGAATTACAATCTTGCAAACTGAATCTTGCAAACTGTAAATCATTTTTTACAATAGTGCGTTCATTAATAAAAGGATGCTAATGCAGTCAAGCCGGATATATCATTAATGCTAAGATGTGAGCTATCACATTGATTAGATATAAAGATGTTCCAACACAAGCCCAATTACTGTTCCAGGAAAAGCACTGCACTGAACAGATACAGATTGCTCTACTCTGCCCAGACTTCCAAAGCTCAAAGTTCATCCTCTTCAGCACTGTATCCTAACCTATTTGTTCGATGACATTTGTGGTCTTTCAGAGAGACTTCATTTTTCGCCCAGTTTGAGGGAAGTTTAATCCATTGTGTTTGTGCAAGCTAAGAAATGGGTTGAGATGGTCCCAATTCCATTTCACACAGGACTCTTACAACTGACAGAGAAAGACTTTCAACTTATAAATCTAGATAGAATTTGAATATGCACAATATTGTCCTTAGCATAATGTCATCCTAATTATATGGAATCTAGGCCAGTGAGTTAATTTATTGGAACAGATGTTCAAAAAAGTGTCAAAGATCAAATATGGCACCATGCTGTCAGTGGAAAACTTCTAATTTCCCACGGATACTTCATCGTCACAGTCTTTTTGGCAGCTATTTATTGATCTCTTACCTGAACAATTATTTCCAAAGTGTCCAAAATAATAAGGTTTGCTTCAGTTGCAAGGTTACCATCAATCAGTGCCTCATGTTCCAACTCAGCCCTTGATCTGTCACATACAAATATCCTGTCAGAAAAGGTTCAGATTCTTGCTTTAGATATTTAAATGTTATGATCTTATTTAACATTTATGGTTAAAAATGCAGACTAAGTCAATCTATAAGATTATCAAGTTGTACATTTTTACTTTAGATTTTGTGCGCCAGAAATTAGTCTTTGAAACCAATTCCATTCAGTTTTGCCTTCAATTTCCATTACCGTACTCTTATAGGCTTACTCTAGTTCTATGGAATTACGCAGGATAAACTCCAGCAGCTGAGGAAATGTGTGAACCTAGACAGTGAGAATGGAAAGGCTATTACATCAGGGCAGAAGCAAAGACACACATATTCAAGATTATTTTGTTTCATAGAACGCATTGGGAAACAACTTGAAACGAGAATGCTGGTTAATGTTGCTTTCTTAATTTATGGCATGGAGTCAAAAAATAAGTTCCTAATACTATTTTGATTGCATTTAGTTGACTAACTCTGGGTTTAAACCGGGAATTCACTGATCTATTTAGCTCAGATTACAGTGCTCTTATAAATAGCTATCAGGAGAATTAAAAATTATGTATTTTAATTTACATAGTAAAACACAGGTCCTGCCTAACATCATTGGGAGAACAAAAAGAGAAATATAATCTGCAGGCAAGGAAGGAAATTACTTTTTCTACAGTAGACGGAGCTCCATTTCTGCAACAGTCAATCCATACAATTTTTCATGAATCAAACTACACAGAGATTGTAATTGAACATCACCTTTTTATATGACAAGTATATTGTTCGATATCCAGTTTCTGAAAAATATATTTCTATTATCTTATGTTTTTATTAACTACCAAGATAATGACTGTCCCAAACTACAAGGGTGGTAGCTTCCATGTTTTGACTTGCTTACATGGTTACTTTTAGATTCAGCTGTAAATTGGGCTTTGGATTCAGTTTCATTTAAAGACAATACTTCAATAGAATTAACTTAAAATACATTCAATAGAAGTAACTTTAAAAAAAATTCAAATCACATGACTGTGTTTTCATTCTGATCTCATATCAGAAGAGATTCTTCTGTACTTATCCTACATTTTGCATTTGGAAAAGTCATGTTTCTAATGCCTTGATAAAAGTAACTCCTAAACCACCTCAGCCCCTTCCAGTTTTTCTAAACTGTGAAACACTATAGTGATGGTACATTCAAGCTCAAAAAAGTCAAATAAAATTCAGCCAATTAGCATTAAGTGGCAATAAATTCAGGTTTTAAAGACTGAACTATAGTAGATGGAAAAGATGGGAGGATATAAAATAATCGAGTGTTCTGGAAAGAACAAGGTTGGGGAGAAGTCTAGGGCAAATTAATTTTAATAGGAATGAGGAATGACTTTCATTCCTGGAAAGTTCAGAGAAACAGAATAGAACAGAATAGAAAGGTAACATGTTGGTCCAATTCCTATTCTAATGTAATCTGTCCAACTTGAACAGGTCCCAGCTCCCCCAGAAATGGTCCCAATGGCTTAGGAGTCTAAAGTACTCCGTTTCGCATCATCTCTCCAGAAATACATTCATCTGCTTTATCCTTCCATTTTTATACTCAGTACAATGTGGCACCTGGAATAAAATGAAGCTTAGTACCTTTAAAGTTCTACTTTTCTATTTCCTACCTAACTCCCTGAAGTCAGCTTGCAGGAGCTTTCTTTCTTTGTAATTGGTCCCAACAACGATCACAACCTCTGGCTGTTCACCCTTCCCTTTCAGAATGCACTGCAGCCATGCTGCAAAATCTTTGCCCCTCGCAGGCAACATGCCATCCTGGAGTCATGTCTATTTCCACAGAAGCACCTGTCTCCTCCCCTCACTAATGAATCTCCTAATATTACGATCTTTCCACATTTTTGCACTCCGACTGAGCGGCTGGATCACCTACAGTGCCATGGCCTTGGCTCTGCTGGCCTCCACGCAGGAACTGTCATTCTCACCATTTTCTAAGGCCAAAACACGGCTTGTGGGTGAGATGCCCTTGGGGGATGCCCTCACTACCTGCCTGGTCCCCTTCTTTTACCCATTCATTCTTGTCCTGCAGTCCCTTAAGCTGCAGAGTGACCACACTCTGAAACGTGTTTTCCATGAACCTGTCAGCCTCACAAATGCACTATAGTTTGAGTTGTTCCAGCCAGAGGCACATTTTGCACACCCAGTCATCCAGACAGATTGGAGTGTCTAAGACTTTCCACACAATGCAGATATGCAAATCATGGGCCTCAGCTCCTCAATCTTAACTAAATATCATACACACCCAAGCTTTTATTTTATGCTTACTCCTACTTAAGTTTACACTTAAAAGATTCTTATCTTATTTATGTCAAACAAGCACTTAATTCTATCAAGTGAAGAAATTTAGTTTCAATCTTCTAAAATGTTAACTATCTACGCAAAGTTTTAAGGTGAACTTACTGTCTTAACCTAAATTGATAACATCCAGTCACAAGAGACAACACAGAAATACCCACAAATTACCTACTAGCCCTCCTGTGACCTCGCTCTTTAATTTTGTCAAAGCTGCTGCACTGCTGGTCTGGTTGCTTCTGAGATCTCTAAACTCTCACTCGTCCTTTCAATCTCACTCATGCTCCGGCTTCCAAGTCCCACACGTGTCCGTCACCAGTCTGTCTGCTTATCGGACATCGCTGCTCTCACTGCTCCACTTAACCTCACTGCCACTGCTTCCAAGACCTACACAGATCCACCACTGGTCTGTTTGCATTTTGCGGCCAGCTACACATTAATGTGGAAAATTGCTTGGATTTTATACTGTTGACAAAAGACAAGACAAACTCAACTCAGTCAACTGCCTCTCCATACGTCAACTCTCGATCATCAGCAGAATGACGGTAGGAGTCAGTGACAGTGCTACCAAGCAGCACTCACAAAGGAATTACTGGGTCAGTTTGCCATGCAGTGCAACCTTGGTCCAAACATGAACAAAACAGCTGACTCCAAAAGTGAGGTGAGAATGAGTGCCTTTGACTTCAGACGGTATCTGATCCATATGATCAAGTTTAAAATCAAGAAGCCCCAATAAAACTGAAGTAAATGGGAAAGGGAGAAACTCTCCACTGGTTGGAGTTACAGTTAGTACAAAAGCAGTTTGAGAAGGTTAATCACAGGTTATCTCTGCAGGGGTTGCTCAGGATAGTGTCCTAGGCCCAACAAAATTTAGCTGCTTCATCAATGACCTTCCATCCATCATATGATCAGAAATGTGATGTTGGCTGACAGTTGCACAATTGCCATTCCCAGCTACTCAGATACTGAAGGAGTTCCTGTCCATTCATCGCAGGACCAGACAACATCGAGGCTCGGGCTAAGTGGCAAATAACTTTCATGCTCCACAAACACCAGACGGTAACCACGTCCAACAAGACAGAACCTAACCAGCACTCCTTTACATTCAATGGCATTACCAACGCTGAATCCCCACGATCAATATCATTGACCAGAAACTGCGATTGGCCAGCCATACAAATACGGTTACAGCAAAAGCAGGTCAGAGATTGGTTATTCTATAGTAAGTAATTCACCTCTGAACTGCCCAAAGCCTGATCACAATCTACAAGGCACAAATCAGGAGTGTGATGAAATACTCCCCACTTGTCTGGGTATTTGAAGCTCCAGCAACACTCAAGAAACTCCACACCGTTCAGGACAAAGCAGTTGCTTGACTGGTACCCGACCTAACATTTTCAACATTCTTTTCCTCTATCACAATGCAGAGTGGCAGGAGCGTGTACTATAAGGCACCTCTGATGGTACCTCTCAAACCGGTGATCTCTACCATCTTTTGTGTAATGAATTTAATGTTCTTCTGTTAAAATACATTTACAGCCTAGTGTGAATATGTTCAATGATTGATCACCATGGTAAATGAATTGCAAAAGCAAAATGTGTGATCTATCAAGTTAGCTTTCACTCTGGAATCTGACTTGTCCTATATTACCATCAGCTGGGATCATAGCAATGCAGACAAAATAAGATAATGATTCCAGCAATAGGAAAAGGCAATCAATCAGGAATTTTGTCCTCTGTTTGCATATACCAAAGTTCTGAAACAATGACCACCTGTTCCGAGTTCTTGGAAGAAGTCTATATGGTACCACTGACTACAATAGATTGCATTTACAAGGGAAAATATGTACTTGATGGAAACTCCTAAAACCACAGTTAAAGGCACAGAGCTAACAAAATACAAGACAATGTTGAGTTTTGTTGGTGAATTCAAAAGACAGCATTTATAGGTAGTACTTAAAGTGCTCAAAGTGTTCTCTTAAAAAAAGCAAAAAATAATCTTCAACTGGTGACAATTTTTACTTATGACTAGGGGGAATACAATGGAAGGGGAGCAAAGGGAGAAAATAAACATGAGAGAAAAGGGGATGGAGGTAGCAAATAATTTTTAAATATAAAACATGTAATGAAAGTATAATCATGTTTTTGAAAACAATTTACCATGCCACTCTGAGTCAACCAGAGAGGTAGGATGAGAGAAGAGGTATAGAGAAGAATAAAGGGCTGGATGAAGATGAACAAATGCATGTCAACACAGGGTAAATAGATGGAAGGAAGAAGATTGGGATGATAGTGAGTGAAAAGGGGATGGTAACAGAGAGAAAGAAAAAGATTAAAAGGAGGAAATATTCATTCATAACATCTGACCAAGTAACAACAAACTTATAAGTGTAAAATACAACTGTAAGTTAATAACAAAATCTGCTTTGAACCAACACTGTCACACTGAATTCTTAGGGGCATCACTGACAACTCTATTGGCATAATAAGAATCAGTACGCACCACAAATAAAATTGTCAGACAACTATTTCCATTATGTACAAGAAATATGCTATTATCTGCTTAGAGAAAAATGAAATAAACAGAAAGAATTTTGTTTATATCATAAATGGAGTGTGTTGTTTAAAATAGATCAATTGGACAAATCACTTCAAAATAAAGCATTACAAATATAAACAGGTTAATGCCATATTTTGCATTTCTTCATTCGTGCTTCACTTTTTCTGTAAATGCAGTTTTGGTTTTTCATCTTCAAGCTGCATGCAAATCAGCAAACAGACCAGCGCAAGGAGAACTCCCCCAGACCTTTCAATGAGCAGGCTTATATGCTGAGGAAGCATTCTGCAAACATAGTTCAAGCATTGAAACAAAAGCACACAAACAGCAATTGCACATGAAGGCTAAATAAGTCAAACAACTTAGACAAAGATAAGCAGATTCTTCCATGATCATTTTAGTTTGATACTAATTATTAATTTTGGGAAATCATTTGGGTTAAGCACTAGAAAAATGCATACACATCAGTGGCCATAGCAGCATCAAGGCAAACCAGACTGACAAATTATAGAATTTTATATCACTTAAAGTATACATGATCCTATGTGCGTACACTTAAAACTGTTTGTACAATAGTACATTATTTTGTGTTACTACATTCTAGTCAACATTAATGTGCAATGTGTTAGTGCTCCAACACCTAGTTGAGCAATATTGCCAACCTCTCTTCACCCTTTCAATATTAACCTAAATTCAAAGTGAATGTGACTAACATTTTGTCCAAGGCTATCTATAATCCTTTCTGTATCTTATTTCTGAGGTGAAGGAACTATGGGGTATAAATATATTGTAAGTATTGCAGTAATGAAGTTGTTTCCATTATTTCTGTGGTACACTATAATATAAACACAGTATTGTAAACTGCTTTGGAGGCATGGAATACCTGTTTCATTAATGGATTTGTCTCACTGGCAACAAACATGAATGGCTATCACATTATTCTGGTAACAGGCAAAATAACCTTTACGTAAGATTGCCTGGACATTTGAATTCATCATCTTTAAATTTCTTTCAGTTATCCCAGAGATGCTAACTCTCCCCTGCAATATAATTTGGATGAAATCAGGGGAAATCATTCTACAGAACAAATTCTGTTTGAAGTGATTCTGCTATCAATAATATAGTTATATTATTTTGTCCCAATGCCATGATAATGTAAGAGTATTGGAGCTACAACATGCTACACCATAGAAAGAGGGAAAAGGTTGCATCTATAACCTGCTTTTGCAGCACATGGAGAAATGTTTGTGAGCATCAGAGAGACAACTTCTTAGTGCCCATTTCAGGGACAGTATTAAAGACCATAAGGAAGCAGTTCTATTCTTTAATGTTGGGATGTATATTACTAAAAGAATAAAGAATTATTTGGAAGAAGGACTTCCAAAAATGAAATGCTGACCTCAGAAAAAGAAACTAGGATTTGTAGCAATTTTCACGACCACTGGTCATCTCAAAGTGCTTTACAGTCAATGATGTACTTCTTATCTATAATTATTGCAGTAATGTTGGAAATGAAGACTTAGTTCAGGCCAAATCATTACTTGATATTCAGTCACTCTATAGAGTGCACCCTGCATCATTTTAATTTCCCACCTTTACTTCTTGACTCATACCGGGATACAATATGAAAAATGCCAAAAACCTTCAGTATTCTACCCGAGGAAACAGTTTACACACATGAATCATAATAATGATTGTTGGAAGACTATGTGATTGGGCAGCCCATCACAGTTCATGTTCCTGCCCACAATCAAATTCATCATGTTGTCACTACAGAGTGGTCAGGAATTGGGATCTTGAATGTCTGAAAGCTAATTGTAGCTTTCCTCCCATTCTCGCAGGTAAGATCAGCTACGAGAAGAGAAATTTCTGTGCAAAGTGACTTTTGGGTGGAGTGGGTGGCAAGAGATGTGATGTTGTCACTGCGCTTGTACTGAAATTGTAAGACAATAAGGAGCGGTTACGATTATGATTTTGTCACTCAGTGCTCAGATATAAAGACTCAGTACCATATCATCTACAGCATCCGTAAGAGACATCACTAGAGCTTAAATGCAGAGGAATTTGAAGAAAGAACAGGAATGTCATCAAACTATCAACAGAAGTAAGTTTTCTTGATAAAGCTGAAAATCAACACTGGCATTGGCAACTAAAGTGGGGAGTATTGCTGCAAAAAGAGACATTCAATCAAAGCTTGACACCTGTTCTCATCGGGACAAATGCAAGAGTACCAAATTTCCAAGACTGTGCAAAGGAATTATTATCCTCTGTGCTTTTGTTTAATTCTCCACGGCAATATTTCAACCAACCAGAGCCAACTTAGCAACCATCATTACCCTTTGCTCATACGTATCATGTGATGTTACTCTGAGATTTGGTATTCTTGAAATTCCATCCTGACAAGAAGCTATTTGACAACATGCCTCCTTTTTAGTAATACTGAAGTTCTGTACTACTAAGCAATAATTCAGAACATAAGAGCTTTATGAAATGTACAAACTCTTGCATTTTTGAATGTTGTCACGAAATTCATAGACTACAGTTGAAATTAGCAAAGTTAGTGAAAAGTTCTAGCGCATCACTATTCAATAAACCCCGGTTGGTAACGAATATGCACGAATGTCAGGATCAAGCTCAGCAACTATTATTTCAGTGCAGCAGCCTACTGAACAAAGAAAATAGCCCCATGGATAAAATATGGAGGGATGCAGGCATTCATGGAATATCTATCATGTTTATCATGTCTATGCTTTCAGGAGAGGAAAATAGATTTTTGCAGTTCTCACCACATGATAATTATTAATACAAACAAACACACACACACCCACTCCTAGCAGATTAATGCACCACACAGAAAGTAATCTCATCCCAGGTGTAACCCAGGGATGAATTTACAAACTTTTATTTGTTTCACCCATATTATGCAGAAGCAGGGATGGAAGCAGCAGCCAGTGTTACCATACCTGACAGATTTCTGGCTTCTTTAACAAAACAGCACATGTGAAGAAATAATTACAGCTGTGGGTTAGGATACAGGCAGTGAGACAGAACAAGAGCAAACCTTAACACCCAATAATGTTAAAGTAAGGTTACCATTGACAACCAGAACTGACTTAAGTTGGTGAAAGCCATTACCTGTGTTGTAGTCAGCCACAAAGATTGGGAACACTAACAGGTTCTGTCCTCAGTTTTTGCTAAGCTAACGAATACGAGACAAATTAATGGCAGCGGCACCAAAGGTGACCTTAAGTACAAGCATAGAAAGATATCTAAAGGACAGTAGTCTATTGGGCTCATTATATGCTCATGACAACCTGCACAGAATCTTGTCACAAAATTTATAGGCTACAGTTGAAATTAGCAAAGTTAGTCAAAGGTTCTAGCCCCTTGCTATTCAATAAACCCTGGCGAACATGCAGGAATGTCAGGTGAAGAAAGGATCAAGCTCAGCAACTATCATTTCAGTTTTGTAGCAACCTACTGAACATATAAAATAGCCTATGGATAAGATGCAAGAGGGATGTAGACATACATGAAATGTCTATCAAATTTATCATTTCTATTCTTTCAGGAGAGCTAAATAGTACAAAGGCACATTGCATCTCTCAAAATATCCCGAACACTTCACATAGAATAAAATCTTTGAAATGTGAGAACTATTTCATATTAATAAAAACATAGAGAATAATACAGCAGAGGAACAGGCCCTTCAGCCCACCAACATGATACCATTCTAAACTAATCCTATTTGCAAGCACATGATCCATATTCTTCTATTCCCTGCCGATCATGTGTCTGTCTGAACACATTTTACACATTGCTATCAAATCTGCTTCTATCACCTTATAAAAACAAATGAAAGAGTTGCTTTTCAACAAATGTATGATTCCATGGATGGCAAGTTCTTCTAGTCCATCAGCAAGTCCCCATTCTGTTTGTGAGAATCCAGACCAATGAATTTGTTAAGAATGACAAACAGGAGGCTGGAAGAAGACAGCATGCCAGGCAGCATCTGGAGGAAAGGAGCAATCAATGTTTCGGGTATTATCCTTCTTCAGGTAATACCTGAAACGTTGACTGCTGCTTTCCTCCAAATGCTGCCTGACTGGCTGTGTTCTTCCAGCCTCTTGTTCGTCATACTTGGATTCCAGCATCTGCAGTCTTTTTTTGTCTCTGGTAAGTATGACAGTCCGATAATGGTAGGTTGGAACCGTTTTTGGGTCTCAGGCCAGCACCTAGAGGCATTCACTCATGCAATTTTATGAGATGTGGCTTCCTAATTAGTCATTCCTACATCCACTATTCGAGTAAGAATGGCTGGTGAGCTCACAGAACTGCAGGCCACGCAGAGGACCTGCAGCCTTGGAAGGGCAACTTGATGACCATGTTTAAGGGGCAGCGTTTGATTGGATAGGCTACAGCCCAGTTTTGGCTTCTATAATCTCTGCATCTCCAGTTCAGGGACTCTGAAGGCGACTTTTCAGCCAGAACCCCTAGCCAACCATTGGCAAGTCCACCACCAGGCACCTGCCCAATCTCAGCCTCTAGGGGAGGGGCCTGTCTGTGCATCGCCAGTCAGCCCCTAAACAACTGTTGGAATAATGGCCATTACCCATTTCATCTCATCTCCAACATGGTCAGTCAGAAAAGGAAGCACATTGTCCTGAAGGTCCACCACCCTTGTACTCAACCTTCCTTCTGATTCTACCCTTAAATTGCTTCAGTGGAACCCAGTGAGATCTGATCGATCAGGTCCAAGTCCGATCTGTTCCTGACCTTACGTATGTTCACTCTCCAACAAAATTGTCTCAATAGTTATAAAGGGCAAGAATCCTGGCAACTTTTTTTCAAGAAGAACTTTCCTTTGCTAAGCTCACTGAAAGTCATTGCAAAATTTCTAGCACAACATTACCTCCAAAGAGCACTACTGTATATGTGCTATGCCAATGATAACTATCTACTTCTGTGTGGCAAAACTGGAGCTTCAATTTTCTCAAGAACTCTATTAATCATCAAATATTTAACTCACTTGTCAAGCTTTTCACTATTTTGGCGCCAGTGGGTCATATCTTTCCTCCATCTCAGATTTTCTTGGCTTCCAAATGCACTTCCAGAAGGACTTCGTTCTGCATATCAAGCACAAAGAAGGAGCATTAAAGTGAGCTCACAGTGACTGATGCTTAAAGGGACAGCACTTACTGTTCAAAGCTCTTCTCCAAAAGACTATGTGAACGTTATGAACTGTCAGCTCCATGCAAGGATCAATTAAGTTAGATTTTATTACCAGTTCAGAAATCAGATACACATGTGACAGAGAAAGTTTAACAAATATGTAGAAAAATCATTTCAGAGATGAAGCAATTGCCCGTGCTAAAAACAGACTGTTCAAAGGCAGACAGGTGAAAGTCAAAGAAAGTTTTAGAAACCACTAATATACCAAAATGGGGTGGAAAAGAGATAAGGTCAGAAGAAAGTGAAGGCAAAGAAAATTTCTGGGATTGGCTGGCTTGCAACGACAGTTGCCATTTAACACTGTCTGACAGGAACAAACATTTCTTGATTAAAAGATGATGAAGGAAAATGTGGTACTGATGGAGTCACGATATAGATTTAACCACTGGTGTTTGAGGAGTTGATAGCATTTACGCAGCGATGGATAAGAGAGAGGATGAATGCTATTATATGAGGAAAATTATATTTGCTAAAGCATTAAATATGATGAACATTTCAGTGGAAGTTCAACTGGAATCCATGTAAAATTAATTGTCGTGGAAGAACAATGCTACAAACAGATATTTGGCTGTGAAACCAGGTTCTGACAAATAGACAGTGACAAACAAAAAAGTAAGGAGAGAATAAGGATAGTGAACCAGATGAATATACCTAGTTGCCCTCTACTACGACGAACCATCTCCTGCCGAGCGCCAATGCTCCCAAGTATTGCTTCTTCAAGTTTTGCTTTCATGTCCTTTGATTTTTTGAATGTCAGACTATTCATTCGTTCAAAAGCTTTCTTGCCCTGTATTGATTTGACCATAAGGTTAAGTCAATGTTAAGTTATTGTTCCCATAACTCACACGTGCAAATGTCATGCCAAATTTTTTTTTCTCAAGTGCTGATTCTTGCTGGGATAAAATTCAAGAAGCAACTACATTTTTGGGCTGCCTTCTGGTGAACTTGGACAAAGAGTGTTAGTAAGACATTTGACCACAGAGGGCATCAGAAAAAAGTTCAATTCTAACTTCACCTGACAACCATATACATATGAACATTGCAGCAGGAATCAGAGGGTAACAGTCAAAAGCAAGAATATAAATTGTTTTAAACCTTCCATCATAGTGAAATAACTCATACCAATCGTGGTACCTTCGCTGCTGCCACTACTGCTCATGGTTGACAAAGTTTGAAATGCACAAGCATCTCCTCATATTTTAAAAGAGACGATAAAAGAAAAACAAAAGTTACAGGGCTTCTGCTATAACTGTACCTTGTACTCAAAGCAGGATACACAGAGATACATCAAGTCCAACAGGCGGTTTAGTTGGAGAATGGAGAGATCTGCAAACCACTTTTGTAGAACCATGTTGTCTGCATTTTTTAAAACCCAGAGAAGGCAAATCAACAAGCTGCGGCTTGATTCTGCTGAGAAAGTTGTATACTGGCGTCCGGTCTAGAACAAATCAAAGAAAAGATTCTGTTATTCATATTCCAACTTCATGGTTTATAAGAATTACTGAAATTCTATTACTGATTAACACACATTTGCTTTATAGGAGATATTTCTGTCATTTCTAGTATCCCCACCTTTCTGTTTCCAATTTGATAAATGCTGCTCTTAGTTAATCTAATTGGGCAGTCTCAGTTTAGCATTTTAAGGTAGCATTTCTGCCTGAGCCAGGTCTTTGGGTTTAGTGCCACCCCAGAAAATGAGGTAGATAATCTAAGATCACAGGTCCATGTAGTATTGTTGCAGGCACAATCTTTCAAATTAGAAGCCATAATAAGGTTATCTGCTCTCTTTAAGTGGATATAAAAGATTCTATTTGAAGGGAGACAATTCTCCCAATGTGCTAGCTAAAATCTATCCCTCAAATGACATCACAAACAGATTATCTGATCATTTGTATTACAGCTTTTGTGATACTTAGCTTTGAGCAAATTGGCTGCCATTATCCCCTACATTACAACAGTGGCAAAGTACCTAATCAGCTATCAAGTGACTTGGCATATCCTGGGGTCAGGAAAGAGTTGGCGAGCAGAGTTACAACAAAACAGACTAGTTACTCCAACCAATCCATACTACATTAGCCTTCTCACACCATACTCTGAGTAATCTGATCAGCGTTATCCTCTAACGAACAGGCTTCAGGAGTTGAGCCTGATGGTTCGGCAGACAGGGAGAAAATATGAAGTAATTCATTTCAGTAGGAAGGTCAAGGGACAATATGAGCTAAACAGTAAAATTTTAAAGAAGAGCAGGTACAAAAAGACCAGTTGTCCTACTGAGGGGAGACTCTTCGAAGTTAGCAACATAAACTGAGTGGCCCTTTAAAAGAAGATAATTAAATGCAAGTCACTTTTTTTTATATATTGTTCTGAAAACTCTTCTTTTCACATTACAAATCACTAAAGCCATGTCTATCAGCGCCTAATCCAATTCTCTCACAAAATGTCAAAACCGTGGAACCCTTATATTTTAGCCCTTGTTTCCAGATAAAACCTGAAAACTGTTAGAACTCAGCTAGCCAAGAATTCTTCTTTCAGTCCAGGTTCTCTTCTACTCTTTCTAAATGAGTGATGATGCATTTGAGCGTACGGCTCTCATTTAGCCTCCCTAGTAATAAAAAGAAGAGGTTTGTGTTACCCCAGATGTCAGCAAGAAACTACTCGGTCGGGAAAGCTGTGGAACAGAGGCTCCTGCGATTGCCATGGCGACGGTTTGATTGATCATGTTGCTGCTTTCACTCTCATAATCATCTGCAGTTACAACACTGGGACGTCCTCGCTGATTGAGGGATTCTTGCAAGGGAGGAAGGCAGAAGAAAGGGGAAAAGATAATGTCTAATATCATACCCGAAATCTTTTACCTCTGAACAAACATTCTGGAGTAACTAATTCCCTGGTAATACCAAGTCAAAGTTTACATTGTTGCCTAGAAAGATTTGCCATTTTTTACAAGACTGGATGTAAATTTTCTCTCGTGAATTATTTCTGATTTACAGTCTCTTGGAAACAACTTCTAACAAAAATTGGCCTTTTTGTAAAAAAAAAACCTGTTCAGATATGCTTTAACACACCTCCTTGTCAGATTGTGCTAGAATCTTCGGGAAAGGTTAACCCCTCAGCAGCCAACTACCAGATAAGAAACGCCTGAAATATTCCGATTCTTACCTCTTGACTATTGCCAACATTAACCATTCCACAAATGGAGACCATGCCTTCAAACACCAAAGCCCTAAACTCTGTAATTCCAAACCCCCTCAATCCCCACCCACTTCTCTCTCCCTCTCTTTTCTCCTCTAAGAGACTCTTAAAATAAACCTAACTTTGACTTAGCTTTTGGTCATCTGCCCTAATATCCGCATGGGTGACTGTATGTCAAATTTTGTTTGATAGAACTCTCATTAGCACCTTGGGGAATTTTACAACAGGAAAGGCACTTTAGAAATGCAAAGTGCTGTTGGTGAAAGAAGGAGGAGGGATTTTGTGTACCAACAGTGGGGTTGGAAAGGAAGCCAAATCACACTCCTGGTCCTTTCTTTTGCAGCTGTGACAGGCCTCATCTCCTCCTCCTATTCCTCCTCCAAACCAAGGGTCACCCTTGCAAAATCCCCAAAACAAAGCACTCCTTTCTACTGGTGGCTCATTTCAGGACTCCGGTAAGGTAGAATAGCATAGCACTCATTCTCCTTAGGTGAAGTCCTCAGAACGTTTTCAGGAAAAGTGTTGATACAGTGTTATTGAAGTCATTTTCCTGTGTTTGTGAATCTTCTTCAATACACTCTATCTCCATGGCAACATAAAAACTGAGCATGAATTTAAGTAGCACTCAAATCCTCTGAACAACTTTTTAATCCCTATTGGAAAGGTTCTTGATTGAAGTGTTATCCATCTTAGTGGTGTGCAAACTCTTTACTATAATTTTTTTAATATCAACCTGTTAAAACAACTTCATGGTCATCACCTTCTGAGGTGAGACTTAATCCTTACTGTTTTTAGAACATACTTCAACACCTACCAAAGACAATATGCCAAAAGTGGGTTAAATTGACATTGCTCACGAGTCAATGTTAGATATCTCAGAATTCCTTTAACACCTAAATATACCAGGAAAATCAGATCCATAAAATGTAAAAAGTGTATTTGGCATAAAAAGAAAATGGAGGACAAAGGGATAGATAGAAAGGGACATAAGGAGAGTACCAGTCGCAACTGTAAAACAAGTTGTATTTTTGTTCATGGAATCAAAGGGCATACATGTTATGCAACACATTGTTCATTTCCAGGGGGAAGTTAAGATTCACCACATTGCAGTGGCCTGAAGTCACATGTAGGCCAGACCAGGTAAGGACAGCAGATTTATTTTCCTAAAGGACATTAGTAAAACAGCTAATGTTTCTATGATAATCATTAATTGTTTTATGGCACCAATTCTGAAACAAGCTTTCAATTCCTGATTTTTATTTTAAAAATAAATTTATTAGTTGAATGTAAATTCCACCAGTTACCGTGGTGGGATTCAAGCTTGTATCGCCAGGATTATTAGACCAGTACCTCCCATCATTGATCCAGCGAAGTATTTTGGAGGGGAGAGTTGGGATAGTGTAAAGTTATAAAGCAATATATCTTCCAACTCACAATGAATATCATATTCCTTCAAATGTAACTCATGACTGAACCGTTTATTCATTAAAACATGATTATAATCATTGCACCAGCAAGATTAGTGTTTTTGTTTTGTGCTAAAACTTTTAAATGGGTTAGGTAGCAGAAGACGCTGTGATGGGGAAATTAGACTCTTTTAGGGTCAATGTGCTTGGATCCATATATCTTCTGGTTTTAGGTCTTCTCCAGTTTCTCTTCTTCAAGGAGGTATAGGTGAATGAGGCACCAACATGCAAAGTTTCTTAGTCATTGATTGAAGACCATAACTTACAGCAACTGGTGAGGGAAATAAACCAGCTTTCTTTAGGCTTCTGGGTTTTTATGGAGAGCAAAACACAACCGTCTGCCGCTGTGGCAGTCTTGCGGCTTCTGCCAGTATTTTGCACACCCACAAGCTGTTCAGCTGCGCAGGAGCCAATCAGATAATTGTTGTCATACCAACAGCCGCTGTCACTCACAATAGGTCACAATTCCACAAATCAATCAACCTGTTGCTGGTTGGATCTCACTTTGTGCAGCATTACAGAGAAAAAGCAAGAGAATAGAACAAAGTCATGATGCTTACTCAGACAGTCAGTGCAGGCACAATGGGCCAAATGGCTTCCTCCTGCAATGCAATAATTCGCTGACTCAGGAGAGAGGTGAGAGTGACTGCACATGACAAAGTATGGCATTAACGAGCCTTGCTAAACCAAAGGCATTGTGAATTAGGGGAAATCTCCTCAATGATTGGAGTCATGCAAGCATAATGGAAGATGGTTGTGACTGTTGGAGATGAATCACTTCAGTCCCGGGAAATCACTGCAGGAGTTCCTAGGCTGAGGTATTTTCTAATCAGAGATGTTATTACAAATTTTTGGAGTAAGTGGGACTTAAACCTGGGTCTCTTTGTCCAGAGGTGGAGACACTACCGCTGCACCGCAAGAGTCCCATGTTCCTCAGGCTAATGCCCTAGGCCCAACCATGTTCAACTGCTTCATCAATGACCTCCTCTCCATCATAAAGTCAGAAATGAAGATGTTCACTGACTGTACAATGTTCAGTACCATTTCTAACTCCTCAGATCGTGAAGCAGTACGATCTCATTTGCAGCAAAACCTGGACAACAATAACAAATTACATTCAAGCCACTTAAATGCCAAACAATAACCATCTTCAATAAAGATAATTATAAATTGCTCCTTGACATTCAATGCATTACCATCACTGAAACCCCACTGTTGGAATCGTACAGGTTACCATTGAACACAAACTGAAGTGGACCAGCCATATCAATACTGTGGCTGCAAGAGCAGAACAGAGTTTGCAAATTCTAAGGCACATAACCTACTTCTTGACTTATCAAAGCCTGTGCAACCTCTGGAAGGTACAAGTCAGGAATGAGATGGATTACTCTCCACTTGCCTGGATGACGCAGCTCCAACAACGTTCAAGAAGCTCAAAATCATCCAGAATAAATCAGTCCATGTTCTTGGCATCCAATCCACCTTAAGCATTCAACTTAAACATTCACATCCTCTAACGCAAATGCACAGTGGCAGCAGTGCATACTATATACAAGATGCACTGGATTCTCTGACAACACTTTCAAACTTGAAACCACCTCAAAGAACAAGGGGAGTATGAGGCATGGGAACATTGCCATCTGCAAGTGGAGTGGGGGTGGCATAGTGGTAATGTCATTGGACGAGTAACCCTGAACCCCAAACCATTATTCAAGAGATGCGGGTTCAAATCCCAGCATGGCAGATGGTGAAATTTGTATTCAGTAAAATGTGGAACTAGAAACAGTTAGCCTAATGGTGACCATCTATCTACTTTAATTTGTCATAAAAATGCATTTGATTTACAAAAGTCTTTAGGGAAGGCTAAAGGAAATCTGCCATCCTTACCTGGTCTGACATGCATGTGACTCCAGACCCACAGCAATGTGATTGACTATTAACTACGCTTTGACATAGCCTAGCAAACCACTCAGTTCAAGTGCAATTAGGGATAGGGAAGAACAGCCAGGATTGTCCACATCCAAATGAATGAATAAAACAAAAGTGCCCCTCCAAACCTCAGACCTTTATTTACTGTCACCGTTTCAAAATCCTGGAAATCCCTTCCAAACAGTAATACCCTCACCAGAGATACCCACACAAGATGGCCTATAGTGGTTCTAGAAGGCAGCTCACCACCACCTTCAAGTGCAATTTAGGGTTGGAGAACCAATGTTGACCTCACTCGTGATGCCCAATTAAACAATTCTTCTTTAAATCCACAGGTTCTAGAGGATCCAGAATTTCATGAAGTGACCCTCATGTGTGGATATTATCAGACTATTCAACTCTAAAGGAAGCACTATGGCCTCTTTTGTTTTTAATCAGTATAAGTATACATCAAATAGGAACACTGAATAATAATTTGAAATATGAATATAACAGCAATCCATTCCACTTCATCTCCAGTTATCGCTGAAATAAGGACCAAGTTCAATTAAGGACTAACAGTTTCAAGACACTTCTTTTGCTCCTCAATACAAGAACACAATTGAATGAATTTGCAATTATCAGTGTTCCCGAACTGGATCAAAATCCTGGAACTCGCCCTCTAACAGCACAGTGGGTGTACCTCCACACTATGGACCACAGCCAGTCAAGAAGGCAGCTCAACACCACCTTCTCAAAGTCAATTTGGGATGCACAATCTAGCCAGCAATGCCCACACCCATTTAAATAAAAATGCCCAAATAAAAAGAATTAAAGTAGTTTGTATAAATATCAAACATTTTTAGGTCTTCCCTTCTTGAAATTTACAGTTTACTGATGTCTCCTAAAGACAGTGTCTTTTTTAAAGCATTTTTCTAAACATTAACTCAGCTACCACTTTCCTTCTAAGCGAAACCCATTGGGGTTGATGTGAGATACTTTGCCTTCACTTGTATTCCTGGGTGCACTTTTGATGTCAAGCATTAACCTTTAGATTACTGGCAATATCAAGGAAATTTCTGTCCATCCGAGTTCACTGGTTTTGTAAAATATCAGCTGCTGCGCCGAGCAACTTTCCCTCAAAGTTGCATTGGAAATATAAAAAAAGCCAACAATTCATTTTTGCTTGTTTGCTCAACCTCAATTTCTCCCTTTTTAATGATTTCCCATTTTAAGTTTCTTTCTTACCCTGTCTTTAAAAAAAGTTGTTTGCTGGAAGCTGATTTTTAAGATCATTTTTCATGCACTCAAAACCCTGAAATTTATCCATGAATAAGGAGCAATTAAATCAAGTAGGGGTTTTGTTGCAATGAGTAAGCCAGACAACACATCAGCTTAAAATGAGCTGCAGAATCATTCATGACTTAACATCTCTTAACCATTTCCTAAATCCTTTTGACATTATGTTACCTACCAGGTAGTACAAAGTTCTCCAATATAGCATTCTTATCACATTAAGCCGTATTTCTGGCTCAATACTGTCTCCATCACAAAGATTTTGACTTCTGTAACACCATTTAACTCAGCCCCCTACCTTAGCATCTGTGTTGCCGGCATTCTTACACATGCTTTTGTCACCTCCAGACTCAATGATTCTCCGTTCCCCTGGTTGGTCTCCCATCCTCCTGAAACTTCAGTTCATCTAAATCTCTATGACTTGTTTCGAATTCTACCTAATCTTCTGTATTACTCCTGTCTTCACTGGCTTATATTAGCTACAGCTGCCCAACATTTCAAACTTAAAAGTTTCATCTTTATGTTTAACTCACTTCATTACTTTCCCCATTTCTGCAACTTCTTCCAGGTTTACAACCAGCCCCAACTGCCAAAGTATCTGTTCCTCTGCTTTTCTCATCTTCTTCATCAGTCCTCCCATTGGTCACCCCTTCAGCACATTTTTGAATTCCTCCCCTAAACTCATCCATCTTGCACCTTCAATTTTGTCCTTGAAAACCCTTCTTAACTTCATCTCTACATCCAAGTTTTTGGTCACCCCTCCTGTTACAGTCCACCCATTTTCCCTCAATATTGATGAGAAACAATTTGGTACGTGTTTCTATTTTAATGCATTATGTAAGTGCAACTTGTTACTTGATAAACCTTGTTAACTCTCAGAGTGGCCATGCAATGGAATTCTAATAATCCACCCAATATTCTTACATACCACACCAGCCTTTACAACAAACAACTTTTCTACAGTTTTGAAGAGACGCAGCAAAAGGTTAAATTACCTGTGAAGTCATATAACTGTGGCACGGATTCCATTATGATACCAATCAGCGGTAAGTATAACGTGGCTACACGAGCTTTTACATCTACATCAGCATATCGAGGATCAGAATCATGACTCGACAGCAAATTATGAACAACGTTGACAACCTTCTTGTGCAGTCCAAACAAGCTGTAAAATTTCAAATCATTCTGAAAGATCATCAAAACCACTTGCATAACATTAACAATTACCAGCTCAAATCCTATTCCTATTTGTACAAAGAAGTTTGCCACCACCAGGATTAGACTAGAAACAGGAATTTATTGTCAGGAGCCAAGTTAGAATGACAGTTTTACCTCAGGGAACATTCCTAAACAAGTCATCTCACAGAGATCCTTTAAAAATGTTCACATATACAATTATCATCAATATCTTTTATTTTGTTTTTTTCTAATTCAGCTAAATGCTTTTCTGCCAATGAGCAAGACCCATCCACTTCTTCCCTTCATTATTCTTACAGCTCTCCTCTTTGAGCTTTTGGCCGCACTTTTTAACCTGTATATAATAAGCCCAAAGAGAGAGTGTAATTCTGGGCTTAGTTTTAGGAAGTGAAGCTGGACAAGAGAAATGTGTGGCAGTGGTGGAGTGTGTTGATGGTAGTAATTATAATTCAGTTAGTTTTAACATAGTTACAGAAAAGGACAAAGACAAAGCAGTCATTAGAATTCTAAATTGGGGCAACGCAAATTTTAATAAGTTGCAGAACGATTTGTCAAAAGTTGACTGGAAGCAGATGTTTGAGCATAAATCAGTGTCAAAGCAGTGGAAGGTTTTCAAAGAGGAGATTCAACAGGTTCAGAGTAACTACGTTCCCACAAAGAAAAAGAGTAGGATGCCCTAATCTACAGCTGCCAGATATCAGGCAACTTACAGCATAAGATACGGCAGAAAAGGAAAGCTTATATCTGACACCGAGAATTACAGAAACATGAGGAGTATGAAAATGGAGAGGGACATCAAAAAGGAAATGAGCAAGGCAAAGAGCAGTCATGAAAAAATATTGGGAAATAAAATCAAGGATGTTTTATCGATACATTAAGAGTATGAGGATGACTAAGAAGAGACAAGGTCGCATAAAACACTGAAAGGTAACCTATGTATTGACACAGATGACATTGGTATGGTTCTTGAAATATATTTTGTGTTCATCTTTTAAAAAAGAGAAATAATGTAGATAATGCACTTAAAGACGTGAAGCATGATAATTATAAGGAGAGAATTATGAATGGGATCAACATGCAATAAAGTGAATAGATAACCAGGGCTGAATGAAACACATCCCAGCCTGTTAAAAGAAGTAAGACAGAAAATAGAAGAAGTTCGTACCATTATTTCCAATCCTCACTGAATACAGGACGATTGCAGCCCAGACTGCTAACATTTTGGCTCTCTTTAAAAAGGGAGTGAGGGATGGACCGAATAATTTTAGGCCAGTTAGTCTAAGCTCAGTAGTAGGCAATTTTTTAAAATCAGTTCTGAGAGATGGGATAAACTGTCACTTAGAAAGGTACAGATTAGTCAGGGACACTCAGCGCATGAAGTTGTAAAGGGAAGACCTTGTCTTACAAACGTTATAGAATTTTTTGAGAAAGTGACAAGGAAGATTGACAAAGGTAATGCAGTTGATGTGGTCTACATGGATCTTAGCAAGCCTCTTGACAAGGTCCCACTTGGCAGACTGGCTGAAAATAATTAACAACCATGGAAACCAGGGGGATATACCAAGCTGGACACAAAATTGGTTCAGTGCAGGAAACAAAGGGTAATTGTTGATTGATAGCTTTGCAACTGGAAGCCCATTTCCAGTGAGGTTCTGCAGAGATCAGTACTAGGACCCCTACTTTTTATGGCATATGTTAATGATTTGGATGTAAATGCAAGGGACATGATCAAGAAAATTTTCAGACAACACAAACATTGAAACATTTGAAAATGAGGAGAATGGCTGTAAACTGCAGGAAGGTATCAATGGAGAATAGTCAGTTGGACAGTAAAGTAGCAAATGGAATTCAACCTAGAAAAGTACAAGACGATGCATTTGGGAGGTCAAATAAAGAAAAAGAATAAACAATTATTGGGACAATGCTGCAAAGAAATGGGGGACCCTGGAATGAATATCCAGAGATCCTTGAAGGTAGAAGGACAGATCAATTAGGTGGCTAAGGAGGCATATGTAATCCTTTCCTTTATTACCTAAGATATAGAATGTAAGAGCACTGTTATGCTGGAACTGTATAACTTAATACTCAAGCCATAACTTGGAGTACTGTGCACAGTTAAGAACACCTCATCATAAAAAGGATATAACTGCACTAAAGAGGGTACAGAAGGCATTTGCAAGAATGTTGCCAGGATTGGAAAAATGCAGCGAAGAAGAAAGAATGGATAAGCTGGGTTTGGTCATCTCGGATATTTGACTGAGATGTTCAAAATTCTGAAGGGCCTGGATAGAGTGGATGAGAAGGGCCTTTTTACTTTAGCAAGATGATGAGTGACTAGGGTCAGAGTTTTAAAGTGATTGGTGGAAAAAGTACAGGGGAGATGAAGAAAAGATAGTACATTATGCAGGTGGTAGGGGTCTATAACTCACTGCCTTAAAGAGTAGTGGATGCAGGAACCCTCACCTTATTTAAAAGGTGTCTGGATATGCATCTCAAGTGCCGTAACACTGCATCAGACCAAATGCTGGAAAGCGTGAATAGGCTGGGTAGCTCTTTCTTGGCCAGTGCAGGCATCATGGGCCAAGTGGCCTACATCTGTGCCATAAACTTTCTATGATTCTGCGAAGATAGGTCTAGTTTATTCAACTTATCCGCAAAAGACAACACTTTCATCCTAGGAACTGATTGAGCTAACATTTGCTGCACTTCCTCTAAGGTCAGCATGTTGTTCCTTAGGTAAGTCTAACACTTTACACATGACTCCAGTTGTGGTTTCACCAAGGCCCTACACAATTGTACTGAGATATTTTGACTCTTGTTCTTTAATCCTTTTGTATTAAAGGCTATTGCACTGTTTTCTTTTCCTAAATACTTGCCGTACTTGTATTTTAATGTCTATGATTTATGTGCACCCAGGCAACCAGATTCCTCTGAACACTAACATTTTCGAGTTTATCACAATGTAGAAAATATTTTCTATTTTCCAAGCAATATTGATTATTTCACATTATTTTATATTATATTCCATTTGCCACTTTCGTGTCTACTCAATTAATCTATCTAAATCCTTTTGTAGTTTCTTTAAGTCTTTCTTACAGACTCTTTTCCCACTCAACCTTGTAAGTTAGATATTTTAACCATGATCTTTTCATTTAAGTCATTGATATATGATTCTAAATAGCTGCAGCCAAACATTGATCTATATTGTTCTCCATTATTCACTACCTGCCAACTCCAGAAATAACCTGATATAACAAGGTGTAGAGCTGGATGAACACAGCAGGCCAAGCAGCATCTGAGGAGCAGGAAAGCTGACATTTCGGTCTGGACCCTTCTTCAGAAATGGGGGAGGGGAAGGGGATTCTGAAATAAATAGGGAGAGAGGGGGAGGCGGATCGAAGATGGATAAAGGAGCAGACAGGTAGAGAGGAGACAGACAGGTCAAAGAGGCGGGGGTGGAGCCAGTAAAGGTGAGCGTAGGTGGGGAGTTCGGGAGGGGATAGGTCAGTCCAGGGAGGACGGTCAGGCCAAGGAGGCGGGATGAGGCTGGTAGGTAGGAGGTGGGGGTGGGGCTTGAGGTGGGAGGAAGGACAGAGAGGTTAGGGAGGCGGGGACGAGCTGGGCTGGTTTTGGGATGCGGTAGGGGGAGGGGAGATTTTGAAGCTTGTGAAGTCCACATTGATACCACTGGGCTGCAGAGTTCCCAAGCGAAATAGGAGGTGCTGTTCCTGCAACCTTCGGGTGGCATCGTTGTGGCACTGGAGGAGCCCCAGGATGGACATGTCGTCCAAGGAATGGGAGGGGAAGTTGAAATGGTTCGCGACTGGGAGGTGCAGTCGTTTGTCGCGAACCGAGCATAGGTGTTCCACAAAGCGGTCTCCAAGCCTCTGCTTGGTTTCTCCGATGTAGAGGAGGCCACATCGGGAACAGAGGATACAGTATACCACATTAGCAGATGTGCAAGTGAACATCTGTTTGATGTGGAAGGTTTTCTTGGGGCCTGGGATGGGGGTGAGGGGGTAGATGTAGGGTCAGGTGTAGCACTTCCTGCGGTTGCAGGGAAAAGTGCCAGGTGTGGTGGGGCTGGTGGGGAGTGTGGAGCGGACAATGGAGTCACGGAGAGTGTGGTCCCTCGGGAAGGCAGATAAGGGTGGGAAGGGAAAAATGTCTTTGGTAGTGGGGTCAGATTGCAGTGCCGGAGGATGATGCGTTGGATCTGGAGGTTGGTGGGGTGGTACGTAAGGACGAGGGGGATTCTTTTTTGGTTGTTATTGCGGGGAGGGGGTGTGAAGGATGAGTTGCGGGAAATGTGAAAGACACGGTTGAGGGCGTTTCCGACCACTGTGGAGGGGAAGTTGCGGTCCTTGAAAAACGAGGACATTTGGGATGTCCGGGAGTGGAATGCCTCATCTCGGGAGCAGATGCGGTGGAGACAAAGGAATTGGGAATAGGGGATGGCATTTTTGCAGGAAGGTGGGTGAGAGGAGGTGTATTCTAGGTAGTTGTGGGAGTCGGTGGGATTGAAATGGATATCGGTTTCTAGGTGGTTGCCAGAGATGGAAACAGACAGGTCCAGGAAGGAGAGAGGGGTATCGGAGATGGTTCAGGTGAATTTAAGGTTGGGGTGGAAGATGTTAGTGAATACTTTCTTGTAATCAAAGAAACCCACCTACACTCACCTTTACTGGCTCCATCCCTGCCTCTTTGACCTGTCTGTCTCCTCTCCAACTATCTGCTCCTTTATCCATCTTCCATCCGCCTCCCCCCTCTCTATTTATTTCAGAATCCTCTTCCCCTCCCCCATTTCTGAAGAAGGGTCCAGACCTGAAACGTCAGCTTTCCTGCTCCTCTAATGCTGCTTGGCCTGCTGTGTTCATCCAGCTCTACACCTTGTTATCTCAGGCTCTCCAGCATCGGCAGTTCCCACTATCTCCAGAAATAACCTGCTTATTTCTATTATGTGTTTCCTGTCTGTTAGCCAATACTTAATCCATGCTGCAACTACATTCTTTCATCAGGACTAATGCGAGAAAAATTTTAATTCCCTCCCACCATCTCAAAGAGGGGTTTTTGATGACATAAGCAATAAAGATCGGGAGACAAACATACTACAAATACGCATCTTTTACAACTCACCCCTCTGCCTCTGGATCTAGAATAAGTGCTAACTCAGTAAGTACGAGTCCTGCTAGGTAGTGCTGCTGACGGAATGGAACTGACAACTCAAACATATTAGCAATCTTCTGGTCTTGAACAATTGTAGAAAACCCAGAACTCTGGAAAATCAAACAAACTGGAATTAATTACAACATCAAAACAGGCAATTCAGTTGAACTAATTCATATTTATCCTTCAAACAATCCCACTGTCATACATCAGCCTTTTTTCCAAATCCCTTTGTTACTCTTAAATCAGCTTTTGGTCTATTCTTAACCATTGCTTTGGTGGTTGCTGCAATCTCTAACTCTGGTGGTGTATTCCACAGTCTCAGAACTCCATTTGTAATGTAAATTTTTCTGATCTCTCTTTAAGTTTCTTATGTTTAATCTTCTATACCTTTTCTTCATTCTCGACCTTTCATTTGTAATCTAATTTTCCCATCATTTCAACATTTTAAGGATCCCTATTAAATTGTTTCAATATTACACTCTATTCCAAGAAGAACTAATTTTTACAGACTTTTTCCTGTATTTTTTTCATACAGACAGCGTCCTGATGACTTTGTGCGGTACATTACATTTCTACATCTTTCTTATAGTGTGGAGCCAAAAATGACACACACTACTTCAACTTTAAACTTATTTTACACAGGTTCTCAGTTATATTAACAACTTGTATTTATATAGCATCTTTACAGTAATAAAACATTGCATGACACAGGAGCATTAAACTGTAAGGCAAAATGTGACACCATAAAATGATATTAGCGCAAATGCCAAAAGCTTAGTTAAAGAGTTAGGTTTTAAGGTGCGTGTTAAAAGAGGGCAAAGCAGTGGAGAAGTTTAGAGATGAAATTCCAGAGCCTACTGTCTAAACACCTTAAAGAAGGTCAGAACAGAAGGGCACTTAAAAAGTTAGGGAGGACCAATTAAACAATTGCAAATATCTCAGAAGCTTGTTTAATTGGAGGAGATGAGAAGGCTGAAGCTGGAGGGATCTGAAATCAAGGATACAAATTTTAATATCGATAAGTGAACAGAACGTTTTGTGAGGAAGGGAATGAGCAACAGAATATTGGAATACCCTCATGCTTATTTAGGATAGAATGTGGAAGGAAGGCCAGAAGTACATTAGCAGAGTGAAGTCTTGAGGTAACAAAGAAACGAATGAAGCCTTCAACAGCTGAGGGAAAGGTGGAGTCAGGCAATATTATTAAGGTGGAAATAGATGGTGTTAGTGATGGTGCAGGTAAGAGGTTGGAAACTCATCTGCAGATTAAAAATAACATCAAGGCTGTGAAAGAGGTTTGGAGTCAGTAACTGAGGGTTGCAATTTGTTGTTATAAAGGAATTGCCTTTGGTCTTCCCAATATTTTATAATATCCTTTCATTCATTTTTTTTTAAATTTTGCCATAAACGCCACCATTTCATCAACTTTTCATGGTACTATTCACTATTCACTAGAGGTGCTACTTGCTAACATGAAAATCAAACCCCTCTGCTGTTCTACATTACTGGCTTTTCAAAGTACAATTACTATTTTTAGTGAAGTTACAAATTTACTGTCTCATATACAAATTTACTGTCTCATATTTATTGGCTTTGAATTTCAAATACAATCTTTTGTCCATTCTACCATCTTGTCTTTCTCTCTTTGCAGCTTCCTTTGGTCCTCAAAATTATTTACCATGCCTCTTTTTTCATAGCATGTCAAGTTTGGATCCCATTCACTCTTGCCTTATATCAAAATTATTGACAGGCATAGTAGAAAGAAATGGTCTTACAACAGAATTCTGTAGGATACTACAAGACACTTCCGAACATTCTAACAAATTACAGGTACCTCCAATTCTGTATCCTCTCTTCTATACACTGTAAAATTCACCTTCTTTAATCTTATCCAATAACCTTCTGTCTGGTAGCTTTTGAAGGTTTCCTGAAGAAAAAAACACTTCAATAATCACATGCCAGTGAAAAATGTACCTGACTTGTTGCCGAAGACACAGAGGGGGATGGAGAGGATGGAGGTGTAAGAAGACTGCATGGTAAGTTCAGTGTAACATAATGCTCATGACTGCAGATGATTCGCAGGAAGTCCAATCTCAATGACACAAGCATACTTGGAGTCTGTAACGCATAAAGCTTTGAAGAAACCTAGACAAATAGTAGACACAACTTTTAAATAATAAAATCACTGCAAAAATAAATAAATAAACCCTAAGGGCACAGATCTGCAGTTTCAATAAAATAAATAAATTGTTTATAATAGTAACAATTTCAATTAAAATGAGGCCTTCTGTTTGGCAGTTTTTTTTGCTAACATGTGAGAAAGTTTGTTCAAATTGCTAATAGTAACTATATTACAAAAAGTAATGGAGAAACACCTCAGGTCTGGAAGCATCTGTTGAGAGGAAAACAGAGGTAATGTTTCGAGTCCAGTGACCCTCAAGGGATATCGCCAGACCTGCTATGTTTCTCCAGCACTCTGTGTTTTTGAGTCAGATTTTCAACAAGTGCAGTTTTGTGTTTATTTCAAAAAGTAAATGTCGGATATAAAATAATTTGGAATATCTTGACAAACTATGCAAGAAAAAAAATTGCTGTGACTGCAAATTCTTTCTTTTGTTATCATACCTAAATAATTTTACTATCAATTTCACTATTTTAAAACTGTTGCTCACAGAAAAGTTAACCCAAATAATTTCAAACCGACTTGTCTGTTTCCTGTACAATTGATTTTCCAATTATGCGTAATACTTCTTAATTTTCTGCTGAGTGGGACAACGGAAGTTAGTGGGCATGAGGAGAATATTTTACATTTCAATTATTCTAGGAACTGAGCCAACTCTCACCATTCCAATGACAGCATGGGTCTGATGTTGTCCAGTTTGTTGTCAGCCAGCTGACTATAGAATAAATCTGAGGATCTTCCTGGTATGTGTGGCTCAGCATTACACTTAAATGTCAGGAGTTCTTTTATGCTCTAGCTACTAGGCAGTAAGGACAAATGCTATTTTTAAAAAGTCAAATTGTTTAATAGTCTTTTCACTCTGAAAAGGTAGGTGGGTATATGTTCATTACCTGCTTCCAGTAGGTTTTCGTTAGGGAAAAGACAAAACCACGATCCATCACTGAAAACAAGTCATTGAGAAAAAATGCAAGACTGACGTTTAGTCGCTCAATCAGTTCTATATCCTAAAAATAAAGAAAAAATTTATTTACACCATGAGCATTCCTTTGTAACTCGGAATTCAAGGAACACTACTTGTACTGGGCATATCATAAAAACACACATAAAATTTTCCACTAAGTCCAAAACTCACCTAGCGTAAATTTAGCCCAAAATGGGGGTAAACAATGGCCTAGTGGTATTATTGCTGAACTGTTAATCCAGAGACCAGGTAACGTTCTGGGGACCTGGGTTCGAATCCCACCACAGCGGATTGAGGAATTTGAGTTCAAAAAAAGAAATCTGGAATTAAGAGTCTAACGATGATCATGAATCCATTGTCAATTGTCGGAAAAACCCATTTGGTTCACTAATGTCCTTTAAGGAAGGAAACTGCCATCCTTACCTGGTTTGGACTACATGTGACTCCAGACCTACAGCAATGTGGTTGACTCTTAACTGCACTCTGGGCAGTTAGGGATGGGCAACAAATGCTGCATGGCCAACAACGCCCATGTCCCATGAACGAATAAAGAAAAAAACAAGCCCAATGCAACAAATTGATCTGCTGCCTGGATTAAATTTAACACCTTTTCCTCACCATTCTCCCAATCATCTCTGAAGACATTTACTTATGTTTGAATGGGTCTATATTTGCCAGCCAAAATTCTGTACCCTGTCCAATAAAGTCATTCTTCATGCTTCAGCCCAGACAATAAAAGGAAAAACCGTGTCCACCACAATCACTAGTAAACCCACACTGGGTTACACTTTAACTGGACTCACTGGATAACAACCAGGGAAAGGAATTCTGCCTGATCATTTTGCTCCTCAACCCAGAAGTACCCCAAGTGGTTCTATTCCTATATACAAGATGGTAATCGATTGATTTTTGGATACCAAAGAATTAGGGAATATGGGAAAAACTTGGAGAGGTGGAGTTCATGTAGAAGAGCAAACATGATTATACTGAATGGTAAGGTGGGTCCAAAGAGCTGAAAGGCCTACTCTTGGCTCGCATTTCTTAGCTTATGAACTCTTCCCCTGACATAAAACAGTAAGTACAGCATGAACCAGGAGTCAAATGTGGTTCTACCTGGCTGATATGCTCACATGTGTAAAAATTGAAATAAGAATAAGTTCAGCCAATACCTTCTGAAATCTTGTCACTATATCCCCTGCAATCATGCTAACCAATGCAGCGATGTCATCCATGAATCTTTCTGGAAATCGGGCTTTTCTTGACGTGTCAAGTTTGTCAGAAAAATATAAATGGTGCACCATGCTTTTCACCTGTTCAATAAGTAACACATTACACAAAACATTAGTTCTAGATGTAAATATTAAAAAGAACTTGCAGTACATTTTGGTTCAAGTATAGAGACAAAATCAGTGCAATAACTTCTGGAAATTGGAAAATGCTATCCGCACCATAAAGTCCATCATTTTATTCTTATATCCTCAACCCCACTGACCCACCAGCAACCACCAACTGACTAACTCACTCAATTACTTCTCTCTTCAAAAACATATCCAATTGTTGGATACGCCAGCATTTGTTGTGCCCATCCATAAATGACCTGCAGAAGATGGTGTTCAGCTGCCTTCTTGAACCACTGAATTCAATGTGGTGTCGGTACACCACAGTACTGTTAAGGGAGACAGTACCAGGATGTTGACCCAGTCACAATGATGGAACAGTAATACAGCTCCAAGGTAGAACAGTGTGTGGCTTGCATAGCTTCTTGCTCCCATCTACAGAATCCCGATAGCGTGGAAACAGGCGATTTGGCCCAACAAGTCCACACTGGCTCTCCAAAGAACATCCCACCCGGATTGACACCTCCTACTCTATCCCTCTATCCCTGCACTTCCCTTGGCTAATCCACCTAACCTACACATCCCTGGACACTGTGGGCAATCCACATCTCTGGAGTGTGGGAGGAAACTGGAGCACCCAGTGGAAACCCACACAGACACAGGGAGAATGTGCAAACTCCACACAGACAGTCGCCCGAGGGTAGAACTGAAACCAGGTCCCTTGCACTGTGAAGCAGCAGTGCTAACCACTGAGCCACCATGCTGCCCTTGCTCTTCTAGACAGTAGAAGTCATGGATTTGGAAGGTACTGTTAAAGAAGTCTTGGTGCATTGCTGCAGTGCATTTTGCTGCCACTGTATGTTGGTTGTATTAGAGGGGTGCCAATCAAATGGGCTGCTTTCTCCTGAATGGTTTCAAGCCTCTTGAGTGCTGATGGAGCTACACTCATCCAGGCAATTGGGGATTATTCTATCACATTCCTAACTTGTGTTTTGTAGATAGTGAACAAATTCTGAATGGTCAGGAGGTGGGCTTTGCGCTGTAGAATTCCCAGCCTCTGACCTGCCTTTGTAATCACAGTAATTATATGTCTTATCCAGTTCAGTTTCTGTTCAATGGTAACCCCCAAGATGTTGATGGTGGGGATTCAGTGATGGCAATGCCATTAAATGTCAAACGTTGGATGCTCTTGTGTTGCGAAGTTGCGAAGTATTTATGAATTGGAAAGCAGGAAGTTTGTTAATTTGGTATATCTGTTATGAAGGGGGAATGGCCAAACCCTTCTAATACTTAAACTGACACAAGCCCCAAACTGCTACTATGCAAGTGGAGGTTCCCTTCTAATAGTTACCCCCGAAACACCCAGAAAAGCTAGCCTCTCCTCTCATAATCTGTTAAATTAATGGTTAAAGGAAATTCCTAATCCACTTTATAAATAACAAGTAACAATTTATTTATTTAACCTTAATAATGAACAAATTAAAAGAGATACTAACAAACTGAACAATTTCCCCCCTTTATACTAACTACTCCATAGCTAAACTAAATTCTCCTGGAATACTGTTCATCTAAACACAAGTCCCACTTAATAAATCCAATTAATAACAACACAATAAATTGAAACTTAATCTCTCCAAGTTCACAGAGACTGTCTTCTGGAACCGCCTGCTTTCTCCAGCCTTTTTCCTGACGATCTTCCTTTACAGATATTTTTCTGTAATTGCTTCAATGAAGCCTTTTAACTAAACTACCATGGTACCTTTAAACTAGATGGGCTTTCTCTGAGAACAAAAGGTGTTGTCTTATGGCAGCTGCCTCTCTCCCTCTCTCTCTGCCAATTTTCAAAAATCACTTTCTTAAATACCACCGACGATACCACCTTAAAATACCACCGACAAATTCTCACAATATTATTGGGTTCAGGCTGTCAACACAATTGGATTTAAATTTAATAGGTTTTTATTTTCTAAGGGCTTGGTTTAAATTGATTGGTTAAATTTGAACTTGTCGTCAAAACATCAAAACAAGTGAGGTTTTGCTTTTCACCTGTAAGGCCCTTTTGCTACAAATGTTCCCATTTCAAGTACGTTCTGTAATTGCACCCTCCAGTTACTCACAGACCTCCATTTTAAAAATCTCTACGCACATACAAAGCACAAATCCTTTAAAGTGACCGCAGCACTCTTTTCCCCCACAATCATTTTTACCGACAAATTCTAACTTCCTGCCTTCTAATTCATAAGTACTTGGCAACTTTGTGACACTTGTTAGAGATGGTCATTGCCTGGCACTTTTCTTTTTCTTTATTCTTTCACAGAATAAGGACATTTTCTGGCAAGACCAGCATATGTTACCCATCATTAGTTGCGCTTGAACTGAGAGGCTTTCTCAGCCATTTCAAAGGCAAACAAGAATAGTTTTAATAACAATCAAGCAATGACAGTTTCATCGGTCCCATTACTAAGGCTAGTTTTTTATATTCCAAATGTATTAACTGAATTCAAACTCCAACAATCCGTGGCATTTACCTGGGTCTCTAGATTACTAGTCCAGTGCAATTAACACTACATCATTATCTCCTCATAGCATTTGTGGGCTGCAAATGTTACTTTCCCCTCCACTTGTCAACTCAAGACTGACTGTTGGTCCAGGTCTTTCTGTATTTGTACAAAGACTGCTTCAGTATCTGAGGAGCTGCAATTAATGCTGTGTATGTGCAATCATCAGCGAACATCCCCACTTCTGACCTCATGAGGAAAGTAAGGTCATTGAGAAGCAGCTGAAGATGGTGGGTACGAGAACACTGTCCTGAGGAACTCCTGCAGAGATGTCCTGTGGCTGAGATGATTGTCATCCAATAACAACAACCATCCACCATTCTGCTGGGTATAACAACAACTAGCAGAGAGCTTTACCTTTAATTTCCATTGGCTTCTGTTACAACATAGAGTCAGACAGCTGAACCAAATCAGACTTCTACCTCTGCATTTGCAACACAGTAAAATTAAACCACCATAGATCCAAATTGTTACTCCAAAGGTTCCTAAACAGGGTTTTGAATGACCATTCCCAGACTTTGTGAACAATTAATTCCAGACACTAGTCTTGTATCTCAAACAAGACTTAAAAACTTATTAAATACACAATAGCTTTAGCAGATAAGAAAAATTAAACAAGGTAAACTGACTGAGGCTATGCTTTAAACCCTAAATATTTGTTTTCAGCCCCCATTCTCACAAAAGACTGACAGGCAAACAAACACAGTTAAGGGAATTAATAGAAGAAAATAACAAAACTGATCATATTATTTAAATGGGTGTTGTGATTAATTGTTTCACAGGTATAAATGTGTACTCCTTGGTTGCTTTTCTGAAATGTTGACCAGAATCACCTTTTCAGCTGATTCAGGTAAAGGTAGTAATACTTCTAACTCAGCTTTATACTCTTTAGGCTTCTGGAAGCTGGTTTGGGAGATTGGGCAGAAAACTTCATGTTGTATTGTTAGCAGCCAAGCTGACATCCCCCCAGAAAATACAGTTCAAAAACAACTCAAACATTGATTCCACCCTGACAGACTGATCGTCACTTCCTGAGGCCTCAATTACCATTTAGCAACAGCCATCTGCTAGAACATGCGTCTCTTCCAGACCTGCTGAAACAATGTTCTTCCTGGGGTCACTGCATCTATCGGATCACTTTTGGCCAAGGCTCAGCCTGCAATTAGCCTTCAGGCCTGGCCTCACAAACAAACAAAAGCTTATTTCGTCTGTTATTTTCCTTTCACCACGAACAGTTTCACAAAATCCACAAGTCATCTTTAGTCCCAAACCAAAATCACTAAAAGAATAAAACTGAAAATAATGAATAATCAGCAAGGTTTCTAACACTCCAGTGTTTCCTACATGCCATACTCAGCCAAATGTTGCCTATATTAAAGGCAGTCACCTCACTTCCCCTTCTGAATTCAGCTTTTTTGTCCACATTTAGTCCAGGATTGTAATGAGGTCAGAAGATCAGTGATTGAACTGAAACTGAGCATCAATAAACAAGTTATTGTTGCATATGTGTCACTTGCTAGCAGTGTAGTTAATATCTTACATCACTTTTGCTGATAATCAAAAGTAGTCTGATAGGGCAGTAATTGCCTAGGTTCATTTTGTCCTTTTAGTGCACAGGACATAACTAAGCAATTTTGCATGATGCCAAGTAGATGCCAGTGTTATAACTGTATGTCTAGAGATCTTGCTCAAAATTCAGATTCTTAATAGCTATAATCACACTTACTTATCCAATGGTTTTCCAAGTTCATTGATTAAAACAGAGAGCGCCAATAAGCGCTTCCCCCAAAGGTAAACTGAGCTAAATGAGAGATGGCTGTCACATGAGCTAACCTCACACAATTTCAAAGAAGCCTCCATTTATATAACAGCATTACTTTCACAAGGTAACATTACCTAATATAAAATGGGTAGACGCATGCTTTAGGAAACAAAGTAGAACAGTCCTGATGCCTGAGCTCTTAAATTATCATGCCAATAAAATAAAACTAATTTCATAATTGAAGGCCTAAACTAGCCTCTCACCCAACCTGGAAGGCTCTCTGCCAGGATAGCTGTGGAACTGAATTTTAATGTAACTGCAAATCCATAGCATGAACAAGGCTCATTCAGCATATAGGGATCATGTTCACATTGTGGAATCATTTCCACTTTTGGTGGGAACAAGGGTCATTTGTGATTTAGGATATTCTGTGTCGGGGTGGAGCTAAAATCCTAAGTGCACTCAGAAATTAAATCGTCAAAGCAAAGAAAAATTTCCACAAATTTCTTTTTCAGCTCATATTCAGGAAGCATTAGCAGGATTTAAATTTTAAATTGTAGAGTTCACAAAGATGTTGTTTAATGCTATTCTACTCACCATTAATTCAAAGAAGAACCAGGCCTGGTGTAAAGCAGATTCACGCACACTCCCACTGCTCACAACCCACTGCAGCGCCAGTTCCTCATGTAATAGCTGAGTCACACAACATAGTAAGAATTAAAAGCTCTTCCAGAATAAGGACAGACTCGTTCTGCCTGAACCCTACAAGCATAACTAGACGATAAATTAAGTATTGTCAATCTTGTGGTTTTCTTTTCAGTTCCAGCTGAATTTCTACGTGCGTCTATTTTTGTACAATATTCAAATCTGTTTGTAAAACAATGAGTATGAAGGTACAGCTTTGCTTAAAGCAATATATCTCATGAAACGGTATGCTGTTATCTATGAGGGAGATAAAGGGAAGACAAAGTAGTTTGAGGAGTTGAATCCTACTTGGCTCTGGATTTCATTCCATTACATTTGCAAGCTGGACACCTGGGATGATGAAAATGTGGGCTTCCACTTGACATGAAGAAACTTACGGAACAGCAGATCTACAAGAAGGATCCACAAGTGAAATCAACAAGATTTATTCTTCATCTGAATATCTGATTTTCTAGATCTCTCACAGCTTTTACTGTTTAATCCATTAAGTTAGAATTGCTCTACTGTAGCAAGGGAAATTTCTGAAATGATTTTCCTGCTATATTTTCATAGAATCCCTACAGTGTGGAAACAGGCCCTTTGGCCCAACAACTCCACACCAACCCTCAGAGCATCCAACCTAGACCTATCCCCCATAACCCACCTAATCTACATATCCCTGAACACGACGGGCAATTTAGCATGGCCAATTCACCTAGCCTGCACATCTTTGGACTGTGGGAGGAAACCGGAGCACCCAGAGGAAACCCACACAGACATGAGGAGAATGTGCAAACTCCACACAGACAGTCACCCGAGGGTGGAATCGAACCCGGGTCCCTGGCGCTGTGAGGCCTAACCAAGTGATAAAGGGTCACTGGATTCAAAACATTTCCCACTTCAAATGCTGCCAGATCTGTTGTGTTTCTCCAGCACACTCTATTTTTGTTTCAGATTTCCAGCTACTGCAGGTCTGAGTCTTACACGGCATCCCTAATGTTGTTCTCACCGTGAACAATTAACTTAGTGCAGCCCAAAGATGAAGCTGAGACCGCCTGTATTGATGTGACTTAATGCGTCACTTGGGTACATTTACTCACTGCTTAAAGGCAGATTCAATTTTATCCTCTTGGCATTTGTAAGGGAAGAACTATCACAGGCTGTGAAATGTACAAAATGTCTCCGTTGTTGAATGAGTTTTAATGATTCCATTATAAACTTCAATATCATTAGTGTATTAAAATATCAGCCACTACGGCAACTGTTAAAAATATGCCCAATCAAATTTTTAGATATGGATTATAATTAACCACAAATTTGCTGAGAATATGTCCCCAATAACAAATTGTTCAGGCAAGGAGAAATCACCATTCTGATGTTTGCTTAAAGGAAGTTTTTTTAAATGATGTTTAAAGTTAGATGCAATTATCTGAGATGTGAATCAGCTCACTGATTGTGTTCTGATGATTTATGACAATCTACCAGTGCAGTTACACACAATGTAATACATAAACTGAGTTAGCACACTGCAGACTACAAATGCTGCAACAAATTCCTCAGCAAAATTCAACTTGATCAGGGCTATAATCTCCTAGATCTGATCAAGCAACATTAAAGATAACATTCAAGACTTCCTGGAATAGATTTATCCCACCTTCCTCACTTGCCTCACACAATAGTACTGTGCACTACCTTCTTAGTTGGTAATCGTCCTGTTAACGTTTGTAAGAAACTTGTGCTTTCGGTATGCGATGACATGCGATTACTTCGGTCCATCGCCTATGGAGTGGAATGAATGTTGGTAATAGATTGGTGAAGTCAGATATGGCATAAATGAATTTATTAAAGCAAATGCAGAGGAGTTGAGAGCATAAAATACCTTCTGCCAAATTATATTCCAAAAACTATGACTGTAATTTCACATCCATAACAGGGGTAATGATGTTACTTACTAAAGTTTTACTTACTAAAACTGAACTGAGAGCAGAACAAGAATTTGAATGACATATTATGTTCTAATGTTGCTTTGTTACTGATATTATTTGTTTTAAAATTGATTGGAACATCAGGTACAGTATTTCTTGTTTAAACTATTCCATTGAAGTGCGCATTAAACAAAATATTGCATTTCTTGTGTACATCATCTGTGTTGAGTTGATTACCTACATACCCAAGTCAGTTAATTTTATTCTTCCTGATTGTTCAAGTGTATCAACTAATGAGCTTTCAAAAATTACATGTACTTATATATTGACAACCATTTCTTCTTTCTGATTTACTCTATCACATATTCCTATTGCCATTTTAATCAAAACTATTATGATGAATGATGTTTTAATGTTCTTTTCTCTTCCATATAAGTGACTTATTTTTATACAGAACCTCAGAACTGCAAAGTCCTTCCTCATTCTTCTCTTCTCTTAGAAAATCATAAAATCATAAAATCATTATGTAGAGTCAGCTTGGTTTTATAAAAATTAAACTGAGTTTGACGTACATATTAGAATTTTTTAAGGATTTAACTAGTAGGATCGATTGGAGAGAACCTGTGGATGCTGTATACTTAGATTTTCAAAAGGTATTCAGCAAGAAGCCATACAAGAGGTTCCACACAAGATTCAGATGAAGGAAACTAGGGATAATATATTAGACTGGACTGTGAATTAGTTAACAGATAGAAAACAAAGAGTAGGAATAAAGCCAGCATTTTAAGATTGGGAGGATGTAACGAGTGTGTTGTCAAAAGGATAAGTGTTTGGGCCTCAACTATTTATAATTACATCAACAACATAGATGAGGTGACTCAGTGTAATGTATCTAAGTTTACTGATTATACAAACCTAGGCAGGAAATTAAGTTGTGAGGAGACACAAAGAAGCTATGTAAGGATACAGACAGGGTAAGTGATTGGACAATAATGTGGCAGATGCTGTATAATGTGAGGAAATGTGAAGTTATCCACTTTGATAGGAAAAATAGAAAAGCAGAACTTATTTTTAAAGAAGGTGAGAGATTAATAAATATTGCAGCATTTATAGAATTTAGAGGCAAACCATGGGAAGTTAATATGGCAACACAGTAAACAAATTGGAAGGCATAAGTCGCAGCCTCCATTCCAACAAAGTTAGATAACAAGAGTAAGGAAATTTTGTCTCAATTATATACAACATTGGTGAAACCACACCTGGCATACTGCGTACTGTGACAGTCTCCTTACCTAACGATGTAGTTCTCTCAGAGATAGTGCAACAAAGGTTCACTAAATTGATTTTGGGGAAGACAGAGTAGGTCTATAGGTAGAAATGGAACAGAATGGAGCTAAATTTTCTGGTGTTTAGACAAATGAAATCTTGGTGAATTATCAAATTCTTAGCAGGACTTTATGAAATAGATCATGAAAGACTGTTTCCCCCACCTGGACGGTGGAGAACTAGGGATAATAGGCATTTTTTTAAACAAAGTTCATTTGTGGATTGAGAGTGCTGCTGGCTGGCCAGCATTTATTGCCAGTCCTCAGCTGCCCTTGAGAATGTGATCGTGAGCTGCCATCTTGAATCGCTGCAATCCATGTGCTGTAGGTAGAACCACAATGCCATTCGGGAGAGAATTCCAGGATTTTGACAGTGAAGGATACTTTTTCAAGTCAGGGTGGTGAGTGGCTTGGAGGGGAATTTGTAGGTGGTGTTGTTCCCATGTATCTGCTGGCCTTGCCTTTCCAGATAGAAGTAGTCATGGGTTTGGAAGATGTTGTCTAAGGGTTTCTGGTGAATTTCTGCAGTGCATCATGTAGATAGTGCACACTGCTGCTACTTAGCGTCAGTGGTGGAGGGAGTGGATGCTTTTGGATGTGGTGTCAATCAAGCGGGCTGCTTTGTCCTGGATGGTGTCAAATTTCTCGAGTATTGTTGGAACTGCACCCGTCAGGCAAGTGGGGAGTATTTCATCTCACTCCTGATGTGCCTTGTCGATGACAGCCAAGCTTTGGAGAATCAGGAGGTGAATTACTTGCCAGAGTACTCCGAGCCTTTGACCTCCTCTTGTGTTTGCTATTGTGTTTATGTGGTGAGTCCAGTTGAGTTTCTGGTCAATGGTAAATCCAAGGATGTTCAATGATGGTAACATCATTGTACGTCAAGGTGTGGTGCTTAGATTGTCTCTTATCGGAGATGATCATTGCCTAGCATTCATCTGGTGCAAATTTTATTTGCCACTTCTCAGCCTAAGTCTGGATACTGTCCAGATCTTGTTTGATTCAAACATAGACTAATTCAGTACCTGAGGAGTCACAAATGGTGCTGAACATTGTGCAATCATCAGCGAATATCGCCATTTCCTTATGAATTATATAATAAGAAGTCAGCCATTTAGGACCAAGATGAGAGGAAACTTCTTCATGTATTTGCTGCAAATCTTTGGAATGTTCTACTCAGTCAGTCATTGAGTATATACTAAATTGGGATATATGGATTTTTGGAAACACACAGCATCAAGGGAATTTGGATAAGACAAGAAAGTGGAGTTGAGGTCGATGATCAGCATTTTCTTTTTGAATGACAATTTAGGCCTGAGGGATCATTTGACCAATTCTTATTCCTATAGCTTATGTCCTACTGTCTTACAATTTTCATGCTTTGAAAACCCAAGCTTAGCACTACCTAATCAGTAATTTCAGACATACATAATCTTCTATTTTATGCTTTTGAATTTTGATAATCATCCAATTTCTTCCTTGTTTTTCTTGTCCAGCAATATCAGCTAAGCATGTTTCTACAATTTACAAATTAGAACATTGTACAGCTTTCTCTTCTTTCTCACTGGGATCAGTTATACATGTGAAATTACAGTGCAAACAGATTAGAAAGATTTACACACAAACCTTTGTTGTTATGCAGTGCTCCGGTATTCTGCAGCTCAACTCACAAAAACACAGGTCACAACATGAAGAAAATAGATTTGGATGAACATGTAACACACACAATTCAACTCTGAGCTGATGAAATGTTCATGTAAACTACTTGATTAAAATGTCCCATTTTCAATTCATTATTCTCAAGCATTTTGGATGTCTATTTCCATCCTCTTGATGTAGAAGTAGCGTGTAACCCTCACTTTACATCAACTAGTCTAGGACTCATCAGAAATTATGGCTGGAGATGTTCACCCCTTCACACTCTGCTCCACATCTATATTGAAGTTTATTTCCAGCTTATCTTAACACATACCTTAATGTCACATACTTCTTGTTGAAAAAAACAAACTACTTACAGAGTTTGACCAAAACAAACAACAGAAGCTTTTCTGAAATAATTTAGTTTCATCTGTATTTTTGAAACTGGAGAACAGAGTTTAGTTGGAGTCCTTTTTAAACAATGCACTAACTAACATATTTCTAAGCATATGGACGCTGCGATAACAAAACAAATCATGTTTTTTTGGTAACTTCTTTGTCCATAAATGACGGTGATTGATGACTCATGTGGATGTGGCACGAGGCACAAGTTAAGATGCTTCAATTCAATTGCAGTAATATATCTAGGATTTCAGTAAAGCTTAAAAGTGGATATAAAAAATTTTTAAAGAATGTCTAGGTCAAGTGTGGAAAAACAATAAAACAACAACTAATACTATTCTTTCAAATTTCTTTCATGCGATTGCACCTTCATCTGTGCAACACTAAAGTGACTACGACTCGAAACAGGAGTGTCACTAGCAGTGACAGAAATTTGAAATCTTGAATTAAGCCTTACATGTAAGGGTTATATACACCAGTAAACTATAATGCCCTGAAATGTTACTTTCTCAGAATTCATTGGTACAAACATGCTAAAACAGCCTGGAAACAGTGAGTTCAAAGAACTTTCAACACCCCTGCGAATGATACAACTGTTAAAAAGTGAGACATAAGTTATTAAATAAACAGTGAAACACATCTCCCTCTTGAATTAATGTAGGATTGTTAATTTTTTAACTTTGTAGCATCGAAAAAAATACATACCATACCACTGTGTGATCATGTGATAATGCACCAAGTATTCCATGCATTTTTATACAACAGCATGCACAAGGACTCGAGCATAAAGTTGTGGAAAATGGTCTTAAAATGAAATAACTGATAATTTACAAAAATGAAACTACTGATCACAGGCAAATGCTAGCAAAACTCAAGAGGACTAAAGTCCAGAATACTCATATAATGGAAATAATGGGAAATGGATGAAAATAAAATTTTAAACTGTAAAATAATATCCTGAAGGAGATATATTAGCATCTGAAACCACCTGCATTACTTCAGTGCTTGATCTGGGGGGACTTCTCCATGAGACAGTTGGGCCACCAGCATTAACCCAGGAATTGGAACGATCTAGTCCCTGAACAAGTGAACGAAGCAGATGGGAGAGGGAATTTAAAAACATTTAGCTGGATGGTGCCTTAATTTCTGCAAAAACATACAAAGTACAAGGAAGGTGTATTTAAAGAATCTGCTACAGCTTAACCACAACAAAAATGTAATTTTCTCCCATCCTTGCCATTAGGTGTTGACTCTTTCTGAGGTTTGAGTCCATTTAAATGGGAAGCAACTTGCTCAAAGTGGTCATTCTTTGATTTGATCACAGAGGTTGAAAGGGGTAAAGGGAAACAGCAACAAGGTAGAACTAGGTATTAATTCCCATGTGATTACCACGCCTATACTTTTCAAGTAGGCAATGATCTGTGAGTATAACTCACTGATTTTTTTTGTTCAGTACCAAGCAAACAGTCTTGTGTTACAATATGTTAACACAGTAAAGAGTACAAGTCAAAATTTCCTGGTCTCCATGAGTTAGAACTAGGCAGTTCATATATAAGCTAAGCGATTGAACTGTTATGGAAGAATTTTTAGTGACTGAAAAAAGTTAAAATTGCACAATGAAATGCCAGTATCAAAAATAGCAGATTTTACATCAAGTTTTTGAATTATTTAAAAGCATTAATTAAAACATAGCAAACTAATTAATACAAAGCATAATCCCTGGAGCCGCTTCCTACCGCAGGATTTGGTAGGGTGGAAACATACAAAGTGATCAGCTAATCTAAATTTGGGTCTAGAGATGTAGCATAGAACAGAATTTCAATTAGAAAAGAAGATCAACAAAAAGGACAATTCTATCCTACTCATTGTATTACGTACAATTATGTTTTACTTCATCGTAAGTAGATTTTCATGTCTAATAATACAAATTCAGTTTGAATACCACACGTAGCTTAAATCTTTATTATACACATCAGTGCCTAAAATTAGAAGGAGACCATTTACCTTGCTGCCAATAATTGTTCTCACTTCATCATCTGGTGAGGTTGGAGTACCTGAGATATCAGGGTTGCTGTTACTGAGGCTCCGGGACCGACTAAGACTCAGGCTGGCCAGCCTTGCAGCTGAGCGTGCCATTGTAGCATAATGCATAGATCCACCCAACACACAGCCACCGGGACCTGTGCCAAGGATTCAATCATGATCAGTGCGCAATTTCAAAGCCACTGCAAATTCAGCTGATGCAACTCAAGACAGGGTATGAGCAATATGTAAATTTGCAACTGTAATGTTTGACAAAACTCAAACTATTTGTCAGGTGGATAAATAATGATATAGATCAGTCACTTTCAATTTGGGGAACTTGGTCTGAAATGGAGTGCATGTTCTTAAGGTGGGTGTGCAGAACACGATTCATCAGTGACTATTAATCTAATGCTAGGAAGACTAGCTATAAACCTTGGAGCTAATAGAGTTTGTTTTAGTCAGCATCTCCTTTTTGATTCTAGTTTGTCAGTAATGCAGCAAGTTTCACCACTTCTTCCAAGTCACTCACATCAATTGATAATACAACTAAAAACGAATAAAATGGACATATACATTGGCTAGGGGCAGTGTGCCTGGAAATGGGTAAAGAGGGCTTGCAACACATTAGTTAAGGAATTACATGAGGAAAAGGGTGATAAATATTAAAAAAACCCAAGAAAAAACACAACAGAACATATTGTCTGTTATCAACTAGAAAGCAGTGCAGTGTTCAACCTTTGTGATGGTAAACTAAGTAAAAACTTTTTAATGTTTTCATGAAATAACCAGGGTCAGCATTTGTCACCCTAATTGCCCTTGAACTGAGTGACTTGCTGAACCATTTCAGAGGGCAGTTAAGAGTCAACCACATTTGTGTGGATTTGCCACATAGGCACCCCAGGTAAAGATTACAGATTTCCTTCCTTAAAGGACATTAATGAGCCAGATGGCTTTTTGCAGCAAATACACATAGTTGTTAGCATTATTGAGACTTCATTTCAGACTTTATTAATTGAATTTCATTGCCATGGTGGGATTTGAATCCATATCCCCAAAGTATTAACCGGGCCTCTGGATTGCAAGTTCAGTGACAGTACCAAAATGTCACTGTCTTCCGTGAAGACACGAGGCAAGTTTAAATTTATTTTGCACTCTCGGACATCATTTGAGATGGCATTTCTAGGTAACTGATGCTTTTATATTACCCTGCTCTTTTTTAGTGAAGGACACATTAAAGAATGGTGCTCAAATTCTGCTCTCACCTGGTGACGAGGGATTCGACTCTGTACTCGGGAGACGGAAAACATAGTAAATGTAGGATGCCAGCAAATTGTTTCTGCCATGCTGGTCCTGGTTTGCTTCTAAGTTTTTGTGAAGTCTGTTAACAATGGATGTCATTGCCTCAAATGATGGCTGTCCCATATTTACTAAAGGATTTTAAAAAAGTGTACAGAAGGTTACAATCGCAGACAATGAAACTGCTGTTTTCAAACATATGAATTAGGAGCAAAAGTAGGCCCACATGTCTTTAATCATAGCCTTTCAGGGAAAGTCTTAAACCCTAGGTTGGATAACATTAAGTTTTCAAGTTCATAAAATCTGACAATGGAACAAACAACAATATTAGTCATAGATATTTTCAGAGGTCAGTGCCAGCTTTGTTCCTGAGCTTTATGCATTCAATGCCTGACTACAACTTAAAAAGAAAGACAAACAATTGCTGCCCTCTTTGTTCCTGCATTATTTCTCTCTCCACTTCCATAATCTTTATAACCTATTCTTTTTCAAACACTAAACTTCCATTTTTTTTTTCCTGGAAATCCAATCAGTTTGTGTTTTTGTCTCTGTAGAAACTAGTTTACCTTATTGTCCTCCTGAGCCAGAAATTTCCAGCTGGTTGCGAATCCCACTCCATCACTAAAAAAAGTCAATGGGGAATGCACACAGTTCCTGGCACCCAGCAGCCATTCGGTGTAGTATTAATTGGATGGAGGCAAGGAGGACATCTTTCCCTAGAAAGCAGCCAGCCAATCTGAATGTCTGTTGGTGGGGGGAGAGCAGATCTCAAAGGCTGGATCCCAATCAGAAGAAGGGATCCTTGATGGAGACACTCCTGCTCCAGTTCTCACTCAAGATCCAAGAAGGAAAACCTGCCAGACTTCCTCACCATTACCCAAAGCCAAGCTGACCTCCTTCCTATCCTAAAAATTGTAGCTGTGCAGGAAGTGCCACTCAGAAATTTTAGTTCCCCTAATGTCTTCTCCAAAGTCAACAGCGAGTGGTTATAAAATTCTGCCCCAGTTTCCACTATTTATGGTGGAAATGGCAGCACATGTTCTAAAAGTCACACAATAAAAGTCCCAGATTGACACTGTTACAAATTATGTACACGACAACCAAGTCAAATTCTTCTCATGAAATATAGTGGACAATGTATCAACAACTGAATTATTTTTTGGCAGGTGAATTAATTTGTCCATATCACTGAAAGCTTAACTGTTTAAGAAAAAGGCTTGAGGACAAAAATGAACTAACACATTGGACAAATAAGTGAAGGGTGTAATCTAATGTAGAAAAATGCAAAATAACACAATTTGAAAGTGAGACAAGGAAAGAAAATGCAGCTTAAATGCTAACATTCTAGTCAGAGTGGAGAAGCAGGCTTTGATGCGGAAGGCACCAGTGGCGTTACTAGGTATGGCCTTATAAAAGCAAACACAATTTTTGATCTTGAATGTGTGATCAGAATAAAGAAACAAGGTGATGATAAAAATGGAATGAATCTATAGTAAATATTATTGCAGGCTCAGGGGCGCCATGCACTTGCCTTGTTGGATTTCACTTTTCCCCCATATCCTTTGATTCCTTTAGCCAGAAGTGCTATATCCAACTTTTTTCTAGAAATCAATCTTTTGGCCTCAACTGCTTTCTGTGGTAGCGAATTCCAAAGACTCACTGTTCTCTGGTGAAGAAATTTCTCATCTCAATCCGAAATGGTTTACCCCATATCCTCAGACTAAGGCCCTTGGGTCTGAACTCCACTGTGATTGGGAACATCCTTCCTGCATCTACCCTGTCTAGTCCTATTAGAAGTTTATAGATTTCTATGTGATTCCCCCCTCATTCGTCTGAACTCCAGCAAATATAATCCAAACCAATTCAATCACTCCTTATACAACAGTCCTGCCATCTCAAGAATCAGTTTGCTGAATTCCCTCTATAGCAAGAATATCCTTCCTCAGATAAGGAGACCAAAACTGCATACGTTACTCCAGGTGCTGTCTCACCAAGGGTCTGTAAATTTCACCTTCATTGCTGTAAAGTTAGAGCTTAAGAACAGGGAAGACTTGTAACAACGACACATGGTGTTGGTGAGACTGCACCTAGAGTACTATGTAAAGCTTTGATCCTTGTATTTAAGAAAAGATATATTGGCACCGGAGATAGTTCAAAAGGGATTTACTACACTGGGATGAAGGTGTTAAATTATCAAAAGTGGCTAAATAGCTTAGGCATTTATCCATTAGAGCTTAGGAGAATAAGTACTTATTGAAATATACAAGTTTCTGGTGATTCTTGAAGGGTAGCTATTGAGAAGATATTTCCAGTAGTGGGAGAATCTCAAACTAAGGGACATAGTTATCATTTAAATCTGAGATGCAAAAGAATTTCTTCTCTCAGAGGATGATGAGTGTCCAGAATACTCTACCCTGGAGAGCCCAGAGAGTTGTGGAATATAGATTATTGAAAGTTTTTAAAAGAGGAGGTAGATAGATTTTTCAAATATTGAACAGTTGAGAGCTATGAGAAGCAGGTACAAAACAGGAGTTGAGCCTTGGGCAGATTAGCCATGTTCACATAGAATGGTGGGGCAGGTTTGAGGGGATGAATGATCTTCTCCTGCTCCTATTTCTAGGTTCTTATACATTGTCTATCTTTGCCCCACCTCAGATCATCAGCTGCTGAAATCCTCAATGATGCTTTTATCACTTACAGATTCAACAATTTCAATCTGCTCCTGAACAGTATCCCATCTTCCACTCTAGATAAACTTGCAGCTTATCCAAAACTCTATCCTAACTTATAGCAAGTTCCACACAACTATGCTCACTGACCAAAGGCTTCCCACCCACCAATACCTCCATTTTGAGATTTTCATCTGTGTTTAAATTTCTCCACAGCCTCATTCGTCCCTATTACTGTAAAACCCTCCGTTAACTGTGATTTTCCAATTCTGTCCCGAATTCCCCACTCCTTTCGCCACGTCACTAATATTTGCAGCTTCTACAATCTCGCCTTGAATTTTCTAACACCTCTTAATTATCCCCTTGGTTGGATTGGTGTCTATGTGTGTCTGAATCTGCTCCCGTCAACACCTTGTTGTTTTGTTATAAAGGCTTGTGGTAATATTAATCCAACTATTAGATATGTTAATAAATAATGTTAGGTCCTGTATATTTTTACCTGCCCAACTTGGATCTGGCACAAGAGAGATATTAGCTAATTTACTTTGTGGAAAGCAGCATTTCTACTGAAAGTTATTTTTTATTATGAGTAATTGTTAATTTGATAATTGAAATGAGCCACTCTTTAGTTACTGAAAAGTAGATTACAGTAATCCTGGTATAAGTGAATAATCCTATTTAAAATTCCACAAAAACTTCCCATTTTTCAATTTGCTTTCTGACATTTTTCTGAGTAATGCTTGGGTAAAACACACCCTCCATAAACTTAGATAAGAGGTCATTGCTTATGTACAAATGTAAACAGTAGGTATTAGCTAGCTACTTCACTGACATTTATGTACACACTCGTACATGCAGAACTCAGTGATCAATGTACAGTGATCAAGATCATTGCGAGGTTCAGAGTTTGACTGAAGCATTCTTAATATTGAAATAGCTTTGAATGTTAACACATGCAGACCTTACAACGCATTTGCCAATAAGGACGCTACTAGAAAATATTTGTAATTTAATGTTAATCTATGCTTGTGCTGTAAAAGTGCAGTCCGTGTCCAACTAAAGATGTTAACTGCATGATTACAGACACATCCTAAAGAAAATTCATAGCAAAAATAAGGATTGATGAATTTGACATACCAATCTGTCCAGCGATTACAGGGGGCCTCACAATCAGCAAGACAAGTTTATCCAGAAGCTGGTGGAGGAATCGTACCACAGGCTCCAGTTGAGCTGAGCTCAAGGCCGAAATACTGTTCTTCAGCTCATTCTCCAGATCATTCTCCAGAATTCTCAGATCTCCAATGCGCACAGGAAATGCATGCTCCTCCAGGGCATGGACCAAAGCAAAAAACTTATCAAGGTATGGATCCTGTGTTTAATTCATATTTTAAAAACAAAAATCATGTCAAACATATCTCTGCTTTCAAAGTTTACAAGCACAAAGGGTACGAGAGCTAACTTTTAAACTTGGGCAATATAAGTTTATTTTCTTATATTATTTAGAACAATCTCAGTTCTAGGACTGTATTTTGATAATAGTTTCGACAATTTTTGTACACATTCCAGGGAGTGGTATTGACACTGGAACTTTAATACTTTCTCTTGTATTCACTGCTCCAATAACCCATTTTACGAAGAAATTTCTCCCAAACTTTCTCTCCCCACATTCTTGATAATGTTTAGTGGCTGCTCATCGCCAAAGCTCCCACCAGCCAGGCAAAGCAATTTTAGTCTTCCATCCCATTTAATCTCTTCAAAAGTTTCAAAATCTTTAATAGATTTCCCCAGCAAAACATCCAATATGAGCTCACACCCTATGTAAAACTGCTCAAGAACCTCACACTCACTCTTCTTGAATTTTGTATCACTTCCTCCTTCTCCAAAGTGAAGACAGATGTGAAGTATTCATTTAACACTTTACCTATGTCCTCTGGTTCCAAGCACAGATCGCCGCTCGGTCATAATGATCCCAGCTCTTTCCCTGGTTATCATCTTCCCCTTCATATACTTATAGAACATCTTGGGATTCTCCCTAATCCTACCCACCAGTGTTTTTTTCATGCCTCCCTCTTTACTCTCCTAATTGCTTTAAGTTCCTTCTGCACTTTCCATACTCCACTGAAGCCTCCATTGATTTGCTTCCCTTGTATCTCTTAAACGCCTCTATTTTCCTTCATATCCAGTCCTGGATATTCCTAGACATTAAAGGTTCTCAGGGCTTGTGTTCCTACATTTCACCCTAAAGGGAACGTTTTGCCAATTCCATTTTGAATGGCCTCCACAGTTGTGCTCCACAGTTTTCCCAGAAGTGTATATAACTTAGTCTTACTCCTATTATACATATGTAATTCTCCTTTACGTGTTCATTTTTAGATTCCCCACTTCCTGTACATTTTTATTTATTTATTGTACATATGAGTCTTGCAGGACCATCCTTATTACATTTAAGGTTTTGAGCTCTTTGACTAATTCTCAATAAACTTTAATAGTTGTTATATTTCAGGAGGAGAAAAGACCATTAGGTCCACATTCACTCATCCCATTTCTTTCTCATTAAAGCCCCTTACCTCTGCACCTGGCAAAAACCTAGAAACACACAGGCAATTCATGAATCTCTATCAAAACTTTCCATTTAAAATTGTTGAAATAGCATTTTTTTTTGCCTCCTTCCTTGCATGGACCTACTCCACTATCCCCTACCTAAGTTATGAATAGATAAAAACATTCAAAATTCAAAGAATTTAGTATGGAATATATCAAATTTAATGCATATTCAATTTAGAGAGAAACTGTATGAAGCCAAATTTGAAGCAAAATTCAATCCTCCAAAGGAGCGGCCTCATTTTATACCTAAAGGCATATCAGGCACAGCTTTATTCTCACCTGAGTGTGAACAGAGGATACAGCGATCACCTCCACATTGAACACTCCCTTATGGTTATCCACCCACTTCATTCCAGGCAGTGGTACCTGCAACAGTAACAGGATCCTGTATATTAACGGATATAATATGTCCCTGTGAAGGTTCACTCAAGAAATACACTATTCATGTCCCTGACAAATGAGCTTCAATTAGTAAGCAATCAATTCTAAAAGAGAAGCCTGTTCTGGAAAGACAGAACTTACCTGAGAAGGAGTACAGGAAAGGGGAAAGAGACTTGAATGCAGTTTAAAGTTAAGGTTGTTATCACAGTTGAGCAGATTCAGCTAAACTGGCTTTGCTTACATTGGAAGCTACAAAAATGGCTGAAGCTGCCGAAATTACATTATTGGTGACAATGTGAATCTTTACCTAAAGGAGTTACTGAAAGCAATAATGAACAACCTGTTGGGACCATCCAAATCTTCTAATTACGTCTGTCTTTTTTGCAACTAAAACTTTCACTATTAACTAGTACTTTAAATGTTTGGATGAAACAGAGCGTCTGTCACAAGATAAGGTGGCAGACTTGAGGCATGAAGTTCTAATGTGCGACACTTCCAAGTACTGCTCTACGTGGACGTATTGAGCCAAATCTTCCTCAGGCATCAGAAAAACAGAGACCTGCACCAATCATGGCTCACAAATGAGAGACTGTGAGACTTCACACGGAAGCTTTGGGATTTCACACAAAAAGTTAAGTTTTGTGGTGGAGTTTGCAAGCCACGAACAAGTGCAATCACGCACAAGTACATTGTGAAAAACTCATTCACTCTGAATTCACAATAACTGGGAACTAGTGGCTCACACTTGTAAATATGTTGCTACTTTATATGATCACCGGTCTGATCAACTATTATTCTAAGTGCAGCTACAAGATCGAAGATACATAGACTCACCCTACTAAGTGCCATACCATGTTAGCACCTTGTCTAAGAGACGGCTACTCTTTCCCTAACACCCAGCACAGCAGAATATCTTGTCATTGTTTAAGACTGACTATGGTCCACCCCCCGACTGACTTGGAAGGATAGCCCTAACTGATGTTAGGGTTGAACACCTTGATCTCTATGAAGCTCTACCACTGACTTATCACTAATCCCTGACTTGTTGCACTGTATTTGCAAGACTGATTGTGGCTCAATCCCTGAATTTTAATGAAACAGCACCCCAGATTCTGAATGTCCCAATAGTTGATGAACCACGTGCAAACCCTAGACTGAGATCAGGCACTGCTTTTGACTTACTGTGCCAGTGTCCCCTGACTTATGATAGTGCCACATAACTTGACTTAAGACTTAGATATGGCTACCCGGTTGAAGCACAGACAGTACGTTTACTCGCACGTGCTGTAGGAATAACATCAACATTGCACAGTGCAGTATAGCATCATGCCCATCCCGTTCTAAAGAAGTCACATCGGACTCAAAATGTTAATTCTGTTTCTCTCTTCACAGATGTACTTGACCTGCTGAGTTTCTCCAGGATTCTCTGTGTTTGCTTCAGACTTCCAGCATCTGCAGTACTTTATCTTTATTCAAGTTTTAATTCACTGTCACTTCGCTTCCAGTTATGCCCACCTTGAAGAAATTCTCTTCTTCTCTACGTGGAATTTCCATTTTCATCTTTTGGATTGTTCATCTTCATTGCTTTCCATCTTTCTCCTAGTGCTGGATAAAGTGTTTGCTGAAACTTGCTGTTACAGGCACATCTCCTTCCTCAGTGTTTGTCCTTACCCCACACGGATTCCAACTCAAGTTCCATCCTTCATTTTCTGAACCCATCCAAGATTTCAGCTATTTCCAAGACATACAACACTAGACAGCTGCTCCTACTGCATTCTGAGATCCACACTCAGTGCCATGCGCTGTCACATGCACACTCTCAACCTTTCTCTCTATCAGCATCACCTTATACTGTCTCCAAGCTGTCTTGGTCTCTCGTTCCATTTCATGCTTCATCTCATTTAACACTTTAACAAGAAACTTTTTCTATTCCTTTCAGGTGCAAGTTCCAGACATTCAGGGATGCTAATGTCCATCTGCATCCTTCTTCCCTTCCCCTTTCAACCAACTCCGTCCCTTCACCCAATTCCACTTCTTGCTGTGTATTCACCAGTTCTGAAAAAAAGTCATATAATTCTGTTTCTCTCCCCACAGATACTGCCAGACCTGCTGAGTTTCTCCAGTTTTTGTTTCAGATTTCCCACATTCTCAGTATTTTGCGTTTGTTCACCTCTTGGCTGATCACTGCTGCCAATGGCGACATGCTTCCTGGTTTTGTATCTATGCTAAAAGGCAAGGCAAGACAGATATATGGTAAGGTCTGAATGAGACAGTGACCCTGTGAACATCCAAGTAGGTGCAAACTGAGGGAGCATTAAACGAGCAAGCTAAGTGCCCCGAGATGGATCCCGCTCCAATCCACAAGATGGGCACCTGTTTCGCGAGCACAGTAACCTGGCAGCAGCAATTCAATGCAAGATGTTGATGCACTCCAAAGTGCAGCACTGAAGTGGATAACTGTTGTCTAAGTGAGTTGGAGATGTGCCTTGATGATGTGGTGAGGCCGGGGCATGTCCAATGCCAACCTCCATAGACAAAGGACGCAGGCGATTACTGCCCTGGAGCATGCCCTGTGATGCTGGGAAATGCTGCGCAAGATGGAGGTCTGGAGGGACATGTGGTCAGCTGGAGCTGCCAGGTACCCACCCTGATTTTCATATCAGAGATCGTTGCTATCCAGTTTCTCTCCACATGTGGGAGAATAGCAAGCTGCATATAGCTGACGCAAGAATATGTAATGAGGAGATGTTGGAGCATGTAAATAGCCTCTCACTGCTTACTAACAAGATTTTGTCTCACCAGTCAAATCTTCAGTTCAAAATCTGATTTCCTTTTTTTTACATCACCATACTTTTGCCATTGTCCACATGATTCAGAGAATGGAAAAATTCATCCCTATGTCTCTAGTTATCCATTCACAAAGCAGAAATGGTCAAAGTAAACTTGTTTTTTTAAAAAAGCCATGTGATGTGTATAAACTTTCTGTATCTAACACGATTGATGTGCTGCATTTCACACAGCACTTCACAGGTATAGCACGGTAGGTATTGCCTTACCTCTGAGATGAAAGCTCTTCATTCCAGTCCCACCTTTTGGCAATAAAAGGAGCATTCATGACATGGTGCAACAGGTTAATTATCAGCCTGCTAATCATTCCAACACTTCCCCACTATTCCCCAAAGCGAAAGAAATGCACATCCAAATATGAAACAAATAAATATATAATTACTGTCAGCAGGTGTGGAACTCAAATATTGTTGTCAGAGATGAAAGGGCAGTCTACTAATTTACTGCACCACCCTGTCACCCTTGCCCATCAAGCAGTAAACCTGTCTAACTATAACACAGAAAAAAAGATAATCCAAAGTTTGAATTATTTTCAGGAACTTACTTCTGGAGATAATACCGAGTAAGATTGTGGAGGCTTCTCAAGAGACACCGGAAGGCAGAACTGACCAGTTTTCAAGCGTCCATTCTGCAGCATTGGAATCCACTATAATGAAAGGAACAAAATGAGCAAAAATACTGCTTAAACCAATTTGTAGCGTCCATATTCTGTGCATCTGTTTGCATCTGTGTGCATCTGTGTCTGCTTGTGTGTGTGGTGACCAAACTTAAGTTATTTCTATAAATTGCACTTTCCTGGGACTGCATGGATGAATAAGCAAAAAATTACCTATATCCAAGGATATTACTTTGAAACTGTTACAAAAATAACTGCATGTATGTCACTGAGGTTCCTCGCAATGAAATGAGCCAATGCCAGGAAATTAAGAGCTTTATATTAATAATAAAAAGTAATGTCCTTCCAGCACCATGTGCCGTAAGGAATTTGTTAACAGCAACAAGCATGTATTTTGTATGTTTTTAGTACATTGCGGGATTAAAGTGTGATCTTGATAAATTCAGTCGAAACAAATGCAGTTAAAATAGCTTTGAGTTCTGCGGGATAGTTCAAAAGTACGGGGACCAAAAAGGTACATTATCTGGGATCTAAGCATACCCAGCCAAGAGAAAGGAAGCATTCACACTCCTGACTGCTAGCTGGTGGCACATGCTATAAAGTGCATGTATGTGTGGACACTGAGTACAAACACATTAGCCTTGGCCACATGTCACCTCTCTGAGCTCAAAAAACTTACTTACACTCACACAATAAGATGCTGCAAAGTATGGCAGTCCATGCATTTAGGAGAAGAGAGAAATGGTTGTGGGAGAAGAAATAAAAACAGCACTCACATAGAAGTTTAAGGTTTTGAAATTCTATTTTTGACTATTACATAAGCACTGTCGCCATGTTGTATGCCATAAAATCAGAAAATGTGTCCAGTACCGTGTATCCAACTGGGGTCTCCAAGGGTGTATTCTGCTTCTGTTGGCAGCTGACATGGTAGAAGGTGAACAGCAGGTGGTGGTGATCAGTCAGATAAGCAGGAAGTTTGACTTTTATTTCTTCATGAAAGTCAGGTGATCTATCAAAAGAAAGCATTTCACACAAAAAAACTTTTGCCTTTGTGCAATATGATAAGAGCTGAATTATCCAAAAGCAACAATGTTGATCATCTCAGAAGTCTCACATGGTTCCCTTATTCACTGAGTTACTCACCCCACCTCAGTTACTAGAAGGATTCCAGCTAGTTGCTGTAACTAAAATCAGCAGCTTAAGCTAAGGAAGAGAATAATCTTCCATTGCCAACTAATATCCAGTAACACCATACAGAAAGTGCTCATTCACATAGTATGAGGGAATGTCTATTCTTGGGTTCAAACTGTGCATTTGCAGGGCAGAAGACTATAACTCCCAGCTTGCCCAGAGCTCCAGCACAAACACAGACAGCGGCAATTTGCAAAGGATTTTAAAGCAATTATTTTTAAATCAGAATTACAACCACAGTACCAGTTTTGGCATGAAAATTTGCCCATGTGACTGAGTGTGCAGCTTAAAACACTATACCATGGGACTGGGGATGGTTTGAACTTGAGCCCACATGACAGTAGCAGCCCGGAGCTGAATAGGCAGCAGAAGGGCACAAGCTCCACGTGACCAAAGTGCAGCTCTGTCATCTTTAATGAGCCTGTAGGGAGCTAAAGCTCAGAATAGCAATATGGTTGATTTCCGATTTCTGCTGAAGGAGCTGGGGCTCAGAGAAGCCCTGGAGCAAACATCAGGTCAATGAAGCTGTCTGTTCCATAAAATTGACAACTGGGACACAGAAAGTCCTGGTGGTGTTGTGTTCTGCTCAAAGTAGCAACAAAGCTGGAATCAAACTGGTGATTGCAGACTTGTAAACCCAGTGGGATGCAGTCCACAAATAGCAATTGAGCAACTGAGAGGCAAGCAGACATTTGGAAAGTCTGAGTTGGTGTGGTGATTGAAGGAAAATCAAAAGCTTTATCCTTGAAAGAGAGGGATGAGATCCCTTGGAAGGAAAGGATTTTATGGGTGGCAGAGTGGCTCAGTGGTTAGCACTGCAGCCTCACAGCACCAGGGACCCAGGTTCGATTCCAGCCTCGGGCGACTGTCTGTGTGGAGTTTGTACATTCTCGCCATGTCTGTGTGGGTTTCCTACGGGTGTTCCGGTTTCCTCCCACAGTCCAAAGATGTGCAGGTTAGGTGGGTTGGCCATGCTAAATTGCCCATAGTGTCTAGGGGTGCGTAAATTGGGTGGATTAGACATGGGAAATGCAGGGTTACAGGGAATGGGTCTGGGTGGGATGCTCCTTGGAGAGTCAGTATGGACTCATTGGGCCAAATGGCCTGTTTCCACACTGTAGGGATTCTATGAAAATAGAATTTTAAAGGATTTTTGTGACTGACAGTGATCACTGAAGCTGGGATTGTTTGTTTGAGAAATTTGTGGGATCTGCCAAGGTTTTGTTTGAATCATTAGACTCTTAATTCCAGATTTTTATTGAACTCAAATTCAATGAGATAATTGAACTTGAGGGAACTCTCTCCAAAGAATACATTCTGAACAGACCCCTCATGCTAGGCAAACATGAACAGAAACACTCTCATGCAAGAAAAAATAAACGTGCATTTTTCAAATACATTTCTCTCCCTATTTCTTTCAGAACCCCCTTCCCCTCCCCCATTTCTGAAGAAGGGTCCAGGCCCGAAACGTCAGCCTTCCTGCTCGTATGATGCTGCTTGGCCTGCTGGGTTCATCCAGCTCTACACCTTGTTTACACAGTTCTCAGTTGTGTAATTTTATGAATTGAATGACAGCAACACGTACTAGTAACATTTTAACATCAATGACACCCTCACCAGTAGAAGTGACAAAAACTTCGAAAATATGGCACTTACTCAACATAAAACTGGTATTGCTTTTGGTATGTGAAAGTGTATATAGAAAAAAGGTGAATAAAAATAAGCAGCAAAGGAAAAAGGCTCAATTTATTCCATGAAACATTCCTTTCAATAAAATTTAAATCACTGTAAATGAATATCTGATTTCTATGTTTATTTTTCTTCCTCATGTGTAATTCTAAACTGAATTATTTTTCTACATATGTTGCTATAATGCTGGTATTGTGCCCTAGTGCACTGGAAGCTTAAGTGCAAACAAGGCAGAAATATTTCTTGACATTTTCTTACCTGTTGTGGTATATTACTGCGGTATACGATTCTTTTGTAAACTCTGCACAACTTGACTTGCCAAAGATGACCTGAAACGGTAATAAAATCAGTTGTGTGAGAAAAGTTCAACAAAGATTTATTATTTAAGCATAAGCAATGGCTTGCATCTGAGTCAAAAGGCCATGGGTTCAAGCCTCTCTACAGGGAAACAGAGAATTCAGGTAGACACTTCAGCGCATTACTGCGTGGTTCACAGAATCGCAGCAGTGTTACGGCACAGAAGGAGATCAGTTGGTCCACTTTTGTCTGCACCAACTCTTCATTACCTACTGCTTTTTCCTTGTATGTTTGCACATTATTTCTATCCAAATAATTATCTAATACTCTTCTGAATGTCTCAATCGAACCTACTTCCACCACACTTTCAGTGCATTCCATACCCTAACTACTTGCTGTGTGGAAACTTTTTTTTTATCACCTCGCATTTGCTTCTTTTGCAAATCACTTAAAATCTGTTCCCTATGGTTCTTGATCCTTTTACAAAAAGGAACAGTTTGTCCCTATCTACACTCTTTACTTCTCTCATGATTCTGAAAACCTCTACGAAATCTTTTCTTAGTTTTCTTCTCTCCAAGGAGAACAGTCCCAACTTCTTTTATCTATCCTCATAATTAATATTTCTCACCATTCTGGTAAAGTGCTTCTGCACTCTCTCTCCAATGTATTCACATCCTTCCAATAATGTGGTGCCCAATTCTCCAGCTGAGGTCTAACAACTGTCTTATACAAGTTCAACATCACCTCCTTGCTCTTGTATTCTATGACCTATTAACAAGCAACCACAGAAAATGCTGGAGAAAGTCAGTAGATCTGGTGGCATCTGTGTAGAAAGAAACACAGCTAATGTTTTGAGTCTGTACGACTCTTCTTCAGGGATTTTCTTCTGAGGAGATGTTGTATAGTTTGGGCCTGTACTCATTGGAATTTAGAAGAATGAGCGGTGATCTTCCAGAATCATACAAGATTCTTAGAGGAACTGACAGCGTAGATGCAGAAAGGACTACAGGACATAATCTCAGAGCAAGTGGTCGCACATTCAAGGCACAAGTGAGGAGGAATTTCTTCTCTCAGAGACTAGTGAATCTGTGGAATTCTTTACCGTAGAGGGCTATTGAAACTAGCTCATTAAGTATATTCAAAGTTGGGATAGGCAGATTTTTAATCAGCAAGGGATTCAAGAGTTAACAGGAAAAGGCAGTAAAGTGGAGTTGACGATTATAGAATCAGTTTATAATGTCACTGAATGGTGGAGCAGACTTGATGGGCTGTATGGCCCACTTCTGCTCCTATGTCCTACAGTCTTATCACAGGATTAAGTACCTTGTTGATGGCAATATGATGTGTGATGTCAATTCCTACTTCCCCATACATCTAAGCCTGGCACCACCTCATTACTTTCAAGTGATTTACCTTTTTGTCTTTCCTACTCTGTTCAAATTTATTAGTTCTGCACAAGGACGTTAAAAACTCGACAAGCTGTCGTAATTTAGACAGAAATGATACTGAGTTTGATAACATTTGTTTTACCTGCATTGCATTGTTTTGATCTTCTCCAGACATGAACTGCACTTTCACAGTAATATTCCTGGCAGACCCCTGACGATTTGCAAAATTGAGGCTCTGAGGATACACATAAAGTAAATTCCTGTGGAATTAAACAACAGAGTTAATGAAATGTAAACATTCAGCTAAAATTTTCTTATATCAATAACACCACAATGTTGTTATGAAATTCAAATAAACAAAAAAGGTATATAGAAATTATTTAATCTTTCAGGTAACTGGATAAAAGCTGTAAGATCCAGTTCAATGTGGCAAAAAATTGAGGACTGAAACATGGAACCAAAAACAGAGTTGACGGTTCTGTTTACTATAAACACTAGATCTCTGATCTGTCTTTACTATTAACTGTTCACAGGGCATTGCCATCTCTAATTGCATGCAGAAGGTGGCTTTGCTCTGACATTTCAGACCACAGTGAAAAGTCATCTAAATTGTTGTGAATCTAGAGTCACATATGAACCAGATTTCAACATTTTAAAATTTTTGTAAGAGAAATGGGTATCGTTGGCAAGGCTGGTATTTGCTGCCCATCCTTAGTTTCCCTCGAACTGTTTGGCTGTATAGCTATATTCACTCTAACTTTATCAACTTCTGCAATTCATCTACAAATCACAGGTATTGTGAGTACTATAAGCTGTTCAAAGGCAAAGAGTTAATGTTCTCTCACCTTGAACTTTAGGTATTTGATCACAAGCTGTTAAAGGTGATGAGGGTGTAGAGAGAGGAGGGAGAGAGAACGAGCAAAACAGAGACAGGGACTGACAGAAACGAGGGTGCTGGAAAAGGGGAGATGAGAAGGTTTCAGTAATCCTATTGCATTTACAACCTTCTGCTGTTTTTGGATGACATGACTTATGCTGCATACATCAGAGTAAGGTCCACGTTATCAAAGATCCACGTAGACACATCTCATGGCTCTCTTGATGGTGCAAGATGACGGCAGAATAGGATCTCCTGCCAGAGCTCCTTTGCTCCATCTGATCTTTTTCTTTCTGTTACTTTGTTTCTCTTCTTTTTTCCTTCTTCTATCCCCTTAGCACCGGAGGTGAATCCTGGAGCAGCAGCAGGCACCAGCAGCAAGTCCCAGAGAAGTGAGCCCTGGAACAGCGCAAACAGTGAGCCCTGCAGCAGCACATGGGTTGGGAGCCCCGGAGCAGCGTGAGCAGTGAGCCCCAGAGCAGCGCGTGGGCTGGGAGCCCCGGAGCAGCGCGTGGGCTGGGAGCCCCGGAGCAGCGCGTGGGCTGGGAGCCCCGGAGCAGCGCGTGGGCTGGGAGCCCCGGAGCAGCGAGCCCAGGAGCAGCACACGGGCTGGGAGCCCCGGAGCAGTGCGGGGAAGCAGCCCCAGAGCAGCACATGGGAAAGCAGCCCCAGAGCAGTGCACAGGCAGCAAGTCCCAGGTGGAGACTGGTGTGCGGGAGGCATTCCTTGACCATACCTTGGAGCAGCTGAGTGCCAGTATGGAGTGGACTGGGGTTTGGAGTGGAGCGGAGACAGCTGTTTGACTGCAGTCTGGCATAGGCGATCGGACCACAAGCAGAGGCCCTGCGCTGAGTTGCTACAATGTAACATCTATTTGAAATTTCCTACCTTACTGTCATGTCAACTCTTTAATGATGTCCTATTTTTAAACTTATTTTTCAACTCTGTAAAGAAATGCAATTACTTTTACTCCACTGCTGTACCAAGAATTGTATCTAGGTACTTGTACCTCAGATGTCGCCATAAGAAGGCAGACACTGTAAAAGTTTTTCACTGTACTCCTACAATGGAAAGAAAAGGATATTCTATTCTATTCTTTGTTGAAGTTTTCCATGTCCCACTATATTAAGGACTATGGTAAGCTGTCATTTGTGCGTCATGTGAACGTTAACTGTTCACATTATTAAGGTCCCATCCTGTTTCTGAAATTCCCTGCAGAGATTCATTAGAACCATGACCAATGGATCAGCTACTGCAGGAGTTACTGTCACTGCACAATGAAGATGCAGAGAGACTGAGGAAGAACAGATGCAGCCACAAGCCCAGGACCAGCAGCAATCTCCAGCGGTTGCCAAACAGCCTCCATATGAAAGGGTCACTGCAGAGAGTCCCCTCAGGATTGAGAGGAGGTATAGGAGGCCCACAGTCTATTCTCCTGAATGCTATTTCCTCCAGTGTGAGTGAGGTGCATTGCTACCACTGACTGAGAATGTCCTAGTAAACCGCCATAGAGCCGCGTCAGCTGCTGGAGCAGGACCTGTGACCTGTAGGGGTGGGTGACCATCCTATCCCGGTGGCTGTCAAGCTAACAGCTTATGCAGATGGCTGCTTCCAAGATCCACTGGTGTTGAGTGTGACCTCTCAATCCTCAATCCACAAACGTATCAAGGCTGTTTTAACTGTGCTCGGACTGTTGGGTACTCACCAATTGTGGAAGTACTCACTTTTACCGGGACCTTCCTGGGTTTGCACCACTGATGCAATATTTAAAAACCAGCTGTGCACCAGGTAAAACACTGCGGGCCAGAAATAGCCCTTCACAGTAAGCATCATGGGAGAATTTGTGTCAGATCATACTACTTCATCTTGTTTCCTTGTGACGAGGTTAGCACTGTAGATGGGTAGTAGGCTTTGCCAAGATAGCTGGATTCCCCCAAGTGCAGGAATAGGGGCAGGACACTTTGGACTGTACACGTCACATTGACAGCACCACATCAACCATAACGGAACAGTTTACATCAATACAGCAGGCTTCCATTCAGGAAATGTACAAATCACCCACGATCATATTTACTACGCCCTAGAAATCTGTGCCAATTACCCTATAAGCTGCCATGATGTGTATATCCTTGATAACATTCAGGTCCCTGCTTCATTTCAAGGGCTGAATGCCTTACAAGATGGCTCCTGGCAGTCAGGGGCTACCCTCCAGATCAATGGCTGATGACTTTGTTATGCAGCCCCTTAACTAAGACAGCACACAGATACAATGCAGCCTGTTCTTTCTCGATGGTCATTGGATCAGTCTGGGACACAGACTGCCAGACACAGTGTGCCACATAATCCTTGCATGTTGTGCTCTGCAAAACTAGAGCAGGCAAAGCAGAGATGTGATAGATGCTGAAGAGCTGGGAGAGTTCTGTGGAGGAAGATGAGGACATTGTGCAGGAGGATGATATAGGTGGAGTGTTTGGCGCAACAAGCTAGATAGGACTTAACTGACATCCACTCCCAACAGACGTGAGCTGGGTGAGGTTATCATCCAATGAAAGTAAATTAATTGTTGTTTGCAAGGTAAGCCAGAGGGTTTTTTTTTATTTAGTTTTTATTTGATCTTGCTTTTCCCGTCATGCAATAAAAGAGAATGCCATGAAGCTTTTCCAATATGTGATGCTCCCACATTGAACAATGACAAGATGTTATGCTACTCTGGACCTTAGGGAAAGAGTAGCACTCCTTCAGCCAGGGTTCTAACATGATATGGCTGTAAGGACGGGGAGCCTGTGTATCTTTGTTTTTGACCTGCGGTTACTACGGTACTTAACCAGGCAGGTGATGATAAAGAGCCAATACATTTACGACTATGAGATTTTATTTCCAGTGAAATGTCACTCATGCCACCTAGGTGTCTTCAGAAGTTTTTCTTTATCATTGGTCTTCCACGTTCTGTTCTGTGAAGGGATATTTCTGGCTGGCATTATTTGACCTGGTGCACAGCTGGTCTTTAAATATGGTGCCGGTGTTGCGAATCAGAAAAGTTCCTGGTAACAGGGGAACTTCTGTTGTTGGTGAGCACCCAATAGTCCAAGCACAGTGCCTTAGAGGCAAGGTGCATTCATAATGACACATTTAGTGGAGAACTGCATGGGAGAATCCCTCCACAAAACTCCCTGAAATCGACACTTAGCTGAGTTTTGCAAGTGACCAGGGACTGGGTGTTGACCTGTGCCCTATGCTGAATCAAAAATCCAAGAGCTGTGGTATGCCTATAAAGTTGCAGCCCTGCTTTAATAGCTATGATTCATAACCTAAGTCGAGTTTCCTGAGTTATTGCACTATATTGTGCCTGTTGCCTTACGGGTTCAAGTCTCAAATCAACAAATTAATATTAGGAGAGAAAGCAGAGTTAATGTTTTGGGTCCAGTGATTTTTCTTCAGACCCCATTATGAAATGTTAACTCTGCTTTCTCTCCACAGATACTGCTAGACCTGCTGAGTTTTCTGAGCCATATCTGTTTTTGTTCCTGATTTCCAACATCTGCAGTTCTTTGGTTTTTAAAAAATTAATATTACGAAGAGTTCTAACTATAATGCCTCGAAAGTATAAATTCTAGGCAGTCTTGAAGGCAACTTATCTGAACAGACCAAAACAAAGACCAAAATTTTGGAGGTAAAGGTGCTCCCATCTCTAAGAGTATATGCGTTTTAGTGTAAAATGTGATATGTTTCTTCCCAGACCTTGAGACCAAAAAGAGCCCAAGCATGATTCCTCGTTTGTGTAGCTGGTTAATCTTTCTAACAGCAATTTCCCTCGGTAGGTTGGGGGAATGTGCAATGAGGCCTGGGTGTCCTCAAACACCAGTCACTGAAGGCAAGCATGCAGGTGCAGCTAGTGATAAAAAAGGCAAATGCTATGTTGGGCTTCACAGCGAGAGGATTGGCAATGTCTCGCAATTGTACAGGGCCTTGGTAATACCACACCTGGAATACTGTGTGCAGTTTTGGTCTCCTCATCTGAATAGACTGGGGCTACTTTCCCTGGAGCATCAGAGGCGAAGGGGTGACCTTATGGAGGTTTATAAAATCATGAGGGGTGTGGATAGGTTAAATAGATAAGGTCTTTTCCACGGGGTGGAGGGGTCCAAAACTAGACAGCATAGGTTTAAGGTGAGAGGGGAAAAATTTAAAAGGGATCTAAGGGGCAAGCTTTCACACAGAGGATGGTGTGTGTATGAAATGAGCTGCCAGAGGAAGTGGTGGAGGCTGGTACAATTACAACATTTAAAAGGCATCTGGATGGGTACATGAATAGGAAGGGTTTAGAGGGTTATGGGCCAAATGCTGGCAAATGGGACTGGATTTATTTCGGATATCTGGTCAGCATGGACGAGTTGGACCGAAGAGTCTGTTTCCGTGCCGTATATCTCTATGACTCTATGATGTTATATTAACTCTTAACTTACACTAGAATATCACCACCCAACCCTTCCAACCACTTTATTAATTTAAGAAGGACAATGGAATAGGAACACTTATCCTTAAGTTTTATTCTGTCATTCAGCATGACTTGACTGTCACCTGATTCCATACTTTAACACCATCTCCCTGGATATCTTTTCTTAACTGAAACTGATCAGTCTCAGAATCTAAATGAACTGACTCAGCAACAATTGTCATTTGCAGAAAAGAGTTTCAAACTAATGCTGCATTTGAATCTGTCAGGCCATCTCTGAAGGAGTTCCTCATGATAGTATCCTAAGCCTAACTGTCTTCAAGTGCTTAATAAATATCCTTCCTTCGATCATTTGGTCAGATGGGGAAATGTTTGCTCAAGATTGAACAATGTTCAGTACCATCTGCAATCCTTCAGATTCTATAGCAGTCTGTACCTGCACAGATCAAGACTTGGACAAAACTCAGTCTTGGGAATGGCTACATAGTGAATAATATAATAAAATGGCTATCTCAAATAAAAAAACCTACCATCTCCTCTTTCTATTCAACAGCACTACCAACAGCCAATCCCCCAATATCAGCAGCATGGACTTTACCATTGACCAGAAATGTAATTTGACTAGTTATATAAATACTGCAAGGACTGGCAGTAACTCACATCCTGACTCCTCAAAGCCATGTTCACCATGAACAAGGCAAAAGTCAGAAGTGTGAAGAAATACTTGCCTGGATGGGTGCAACTCCAATAATGACCAAGAAGCCCAACATCATCCAAGACAGATCAGCCTGCTGGATCAACACAGCATCCATCACCTTTAAATTCCCCCATGATACACAGTAGTCTTATGGTTATGAGATGCACTGTAGCCAAACCTCCTTCAACAGTTCCTTTCACAACCACAACTATTACCACTTAGATGAACAAGACTGGTAGGCAATTGGGAACATCACCACATGCAAATCCCCTCCAAGTCACAGATCATTTTGACTTTGAACTATAATTGTTGTTCCCTCACTGTTGCTGGGTCAAAATCGTGGAACTTCCTCCCTAAAAGTAATGTGGGTTTACTTATATCTCATGAGCTGTAAATGGTCAAGGTGGTAGCTCACCACCACCTATACAAAGATAATAAGAGTTGGACAACAAATGCTTGCCTTGCCAATGACATCCACACCACAGAAAAATTAACAAAAGTCATATATATAAACAAACACAAGAAATTATTTACTTAGATTGAATTAGATGCATTGAAGGATCTCGAAATCATTTATAGTGGTGAAATGAGAATAGATAGGATTAGGAAAATTATAAGTATCACACTTATAACTGGTAGATGGGCAGAGGTGCATTAGAAATAGTCATCCACGTGGACACTTTCAATCCAAAAGACTTACTGTGGACAACGTCAGTGCTGTATCGTACTAGTGAAACAGTTTCTCATTCGGTGAAGATCATTCCCCTTGAGCAGTCTTAGTGTCACAGACTGGTTGACAGGTATAACTCAGAAATGCTGCCCCACTGTGGGGAAACAAATGTGCCACCTGCTTTTGCATTTAATCATATAGGCCCAGCTATCTTCAGCTACTTCATCAATGAACTTCCACTCATCATAAGGAGCTCAAGAAGCTGGACACCATCCAGGACAGAGCACAGTGCAGATAGAGACCATTCAGCCCATCATGTCTGCACTGACCCTCCAAAGAGCAGCCCACCCAGAATCCTCACCACTCCCCCCCTCAATTCACCTAGCCTACATATCCCTGAACACTATGGGGAAATTTAATATGGCCAATCCACCTAACCTGCATGTCTTTGGACTGTGGGAGGAAACCAGAGCACTCGGCGGAAACCCACATGGACAGTCACCCAAGGTTGGAATCAAACCCAGGTCCCTGGCATTGTGAGGTATCGACGCTAACCACTGTGCAACTGTGCCACCACAAGGAGCCTGCTTGATGGCTTCACATCCATAAGCATTCACCATCTCCAACCCTGACGGACAACAGCAGAAGTGTGTATCATCCACAAGATGCACTGCACCAATTCACCAAGACTCCTTAGACAGCACCATCCTAACCCACAGCCACTTCTATCTAGAAGGACAACGGCAGCAACTACATAGGAACACCAACACTTGCAAATTCGCCTCCAAGCCACACACCATCCTGACTTGGAAATATATCAACGTTCCCACAGTGTTGTTGGGTCAAAATCCTGGAACTCCCTCCCCAACTGTAGGTGTATCTACCGCAAATAGACTACAGCAGTTCAAAAAGGCAGCACACTGCACCTTCGGGACAGGCAATTAATGCTGGTCCAGCTGCCTATGCTCATATCCCCTGAATGAAAAAATTTCAAAAAAGTCCGGGAGGTCAAAAGTTGAAATCTCTAATTTCAACAGAGTTTGATAATCTCAGCTGGGAAACAAGTTGGGATTGCTATTACTGGAACTGCAACATGTTTGTGGGCAGAAATGTGATATTGTCTCAGTTGAGTTACCTGCCAACTATTACTGTTTAGGTTCACACGTGAAAAATGGTCACTTGACCAAAGTAGCAGATACAGCCAGGGCTGTGGCAATTGCTGGAAAAGCTCAGCAGGTCTGGCAGCATATGTGAAGAGAAATCAGAGTCAATGTTTCAGGTCCAGTGACCTTTGCTCAGAACTGCCAATTCTGAGCAATTTCAGTTTTTGTTTCTAAAAGTTTTTTTTTCCCTGTTCTTACAAACCAACGGTTAACATTCTAAATTTACTATCATTAAACAGGGATCAGTTTAATGATTACTGAAATATCTACTGAGTCAACGTTGCAGTCTATACATAATAATTACTACTAGCCATATAAATCAATGATTTATCAATAGTCCAATGATTAAAGAACCTTTTGAAATTATTTCCATTGTCTATGAACATTGCTTCACTAAAGAACAACTTTCCTTCTGTCCTTGTATTCATTCAAAATAATTATAGGCCATGTCTGAAAAATTAAACTGAAAACTGTTTGTTCTAATTTATCAATAACTCCGCAACTTTTTCATTTTACTTCATATTTTACTCATCCTGTGATAAAGATACTGAGATTTTCCATTTCTTAGTAAAAAGATGACTTTTTTGATCAGAGGTATTTTTACAAAGAGACATTAAAGATCAATAAGTTCCACTTTTTGTGTAAAATATTTATGTAAAGATTAATACTTGAAAGACAATATAGCACAAACAACACAACAATTTAAACCTTAATTGGGTTAAATAATGTTTAGAGAAAAGAAAAACAATGAACACCAAGAAATAAGAATAGAGGCCAAATGACAACTGAAAAGGAACAGTTCACACAGAATTTTTCATCGAAACCACTGTCTCACATCATCATGCACCTAATCCCACAGATTTTAACTTTATTGTACTACAATTCACTCCCAATTTGCTCCCAAAACAACAAATAAAATGTTGTAGCATTCCCAAGATACAGAAAGAGATAAATAAGCACTGTATAGAGCAGCAGAAAAGAATAAAAGGAGAAAACTAGTTTGAAAGATCAATCAGCATCTCTACATCAGATAGTTATCCAGAAATCCCAATGGATTGTCAGGTAAGGAAGGGAATCAGATTCCTATCTGTTAATAGTAATCATCACGATTAATCACCTTGGTGAGAATCACCTTTCTAAAACTTAATGCCATTATAGACAAAGTCTCAAAATCCTAGTGCAAAAGCAGTTTCCAAGTTCACCTTATCAGCTTTACTGCATAGACAGCACATCCCATGCTGTACTGCACTGACAGGAATTTTTAAGCAAAGTGGGGTTAAAAGCTGACAATGTAAGTTCAAGTTATAGTTGACACGGTTCATTCAGGTACCAATTTCAGTCCAGCATTTGACTTGTTGGATTTGTAATTTTATACTGACTTCATGTACAAATTCATACTTCTGTTACAAGGAGAACAACACGCTGCTGCCCCCTGTTGTTCAACAAGATTAGCTAACTCACACAAAGAAGAATCCACTGTCCTGAAGCACAATGCAATCTCAAATTTTTCACAACTTAGCAGCAGCACACGACCAAATATCTTGTATATAACTCATATTCAATAAATGACAGAATGCAATTGCACATAGTGCAAACTTTTCCTCATTGTTCTTTTTGAAAAAAACATGAGAATTACTTATGCACTGCACTGATTTAAAAATATGACTATCATTCGCACCTGTATGTAGTGTATGGCACATAAACATCTCTTGATGGGAATTCCAGGATATCCTTCGTTGGTCTGACTCTCGTATCTGGATATGGTTTCACTTGCAGTAATTCAGGGGTCAGGCAATAATGGGGATTTTCTGGAGCCGGTGAGATATCGATTTTCAGCTGAGCTATATACAGATGGCAACAAAAAAAATGAAATATTAACAAAATTGAAAGACACTCTAAGGAAAAATGAACTGAGGTAAGATTTTAATTCATTTGCTCTTGAAGCTTCAGATTTGTTTTTAAAATCGTCATAGAAACAGGAGTCGGTCATTCAGCCCATCGAACCTGCGCCCCCAACAATTAAATCATGACTGATCGTCTACCTCAATGCCACTTTCCCACACAAGCGTCTTGATGTCATTATCTCCAGGAATCTATTGTTTTGTTTGTCCTGTATAAGCTCGATGTTTGAGCTTCCACAGCCCTCTGGGGTAGACAATTCCAAAAATTCACTATCCTCTGAGCCAAGAAATTCCTCCTCATCTCAGCCTTAAATAACCCACTCCTTATTGTGAGATTATGTCCTCTAGTTCTGCACTCAAAAACCCAGGGAATACCTCAGCTACATCCACCTAACATGTCCTGTAAGATTTTTGTAAATATCAATAAGAACACTACTCATTCTCCAAAACTCTGAAGAACACCGGCCCAGTTTCCCAGTAAAACGCTCCCGCAATCACAAGGTTAGTCTAGTGAAGCTTGATGGCACTCCCTCTATGGCAAGTATATCCTTCTTGTCCAATCTGTCCAACACACCAAGGAAGATTAAAGCTAAAAGCTGTAAATCTAAATAAAAATCAGAAAATTGTGGAATTGATTAATTTTAAGACAGCTTTCAAAAAGGTGCCAGCTTTCATCAGAATTAAACAGAGAGCTGCAGAGGAGAACACTGAATGTCACAGGGCAGAGTGAAGAGAAGAAGAACAGGGAGGTTATGATGAATTTATAGACGATACTAGTTAGACTTCCGTTGAAGTATAATGCACAACTCTAGGTGCCGCACAATAGGAACGATGTGAATGTATTGGAGACAGTGCAGAAGAATGGCACCAGCGATCATACACTTTAGTTTTGAGGAAAGATTGTGAAGTTGGGGCTGTTTGGAGAGGAGAAGACGAAGAGGAGAATTGAAATAAGATTTCAAAATCATGAGGGGTCTGGACAGAATGGATAAGAAGAAATTGTTCCCACTTGAAAAAAGATTAAGACCCAGAGGCACAGTTGTAAAGTATTCTGAAAAGAAGCAAATGCTTGGGAGAAAATGCTTTTTCACACAGTGCACAGTTAGAAGATGGAATTCCCTGCGTGGAAGTAAGATGCAGGCAGGTTAAATTGAGATCTTCAAGAAGGCATTGGATGATAATTTAAGTATAAACAATGTGCAAGGTAATGGGAAAAAGGCAGGAGATTGGCACAAAGTTGAAATACAAACATGATGGGCTGAATGGCCTCGATCTGCACTGTAGCAATTCTGTGATTCTGGTAAGAGAAGAATAGGTTAAAGGCACAGGAGCAAGCTGACATATTGGTCTTGTTTGGGCAGCCATGTTAGTGAGCATTAGCTATGAGGTAGAAATGAGAAGAGTAAGGTTTGGCAGGGGGAGTGGAAAGAAGATTCATTACAGTGGATGGGGAGGTGAATGCTCTCAGAAAGTTAGATCTTTAACAATTTTCATTTAACATCATCATCACTTATGATGAATGGATCCAACTAAAGTAGTAGAGCTTTCCTTTCAGGCGTAGACAGATCCTAGCTGTACAGTTCCTATATTTTATTTGTTTTTATTTCAGTTACTAAATATTTCCTAAGAATTAAAACAGACTAGCACCGTGCACATTAGCCTCTCCCTGAACCACTCATTGTCCAGCTAGTGAGAGGTATATGACCAAGGAAATCGACTCATTGCTGCTTCAATCAGTATCAGCTTCAGCTCTTTTAGCAAACTACTTCACGCTTTTAAAGTGAGGGTTCATCCATTCATTAAATTAGCCACATTGCTGTTGACAGACAAAATGTTTTACTATGTGTTAGTAAGTCTCACACCTCAATCAGAAACAGTTTGCCAATGTCATTTAGCCTTTAACATTTGACTCGGTTTTCACACAGTCTCTCTTTCCTCATCCAACTTTCTCACAGGTCCTAAAATATAGAATCCTGTCTTGCTCTTTCAGTACTTCACCCAAATGGTCAATAAAATGAGCATAGGATCTGGGAGATCAATGAACTGTTATCACGACCAAGTAGCCAGGGTTACTTTACTTCAACCCACCAAGACAAATGAAGACAATCATAGTGCTGCTACTACATTGTTGGCTCAAAATAACTATTTCGGCATAAAGGATAAAACCTGAAACTTTCCAGGTCTGTACTGATCACCCCATACCTGGTGATTCCTTGCATACATTCAAGCCACTGAAGGAAATTTCAGACAAGAAAGCTAGCAATTTTCAAAAAATTACTTGCCTGTGATTGGGCGTAGTCTCCGCAGAACAGATGAAGGTCTTCTCATATCAGCAAGGAATTTATACAAATCTTCATCACTCAGTCGATCTCCTTCCTAGATATTGCCATGAGGTGGAAGAAGGTGGGTAAAGGGACAAAAAAGGAGAACGAAAGGGCTGCAAGTTCTATTTATATACATATATTCTGCACTGATGTAACAGCCTGCTGGAGATCTCATTATATTTAATACACAGTGGTTTCAAATTATTTCAGGTTACCTGTTTGAAGAAATTTGTGACAGTCAGTGTGGCCGGTCTGAAGCTCGAAAGATTACACGATTCATCTCCGCTGGTAGTGCGTTCAAGAGACCGCCTTCCAACAAGACCAGAATTCCTTCTTTCCGACCAGGAACCCTTCCGCTCTATCAGAAAATAGTGTCACACCAGTTAAAGAAAAAGTCAGTGACACAAGAAAAGGTCATACACCCACACACTAGAACAATGATAAAATAAAAGCTTGCAACAGCTGATTTTCTCATCTCAGTGCTGGGATAGAAACTTTTACTAAATAACCCAGTCAAGCAACCATTCCTGATGAGTAAAGAGAATGATAATTGCCAGCAGATTATTTGACCATGGAAATATCATAGCTAAACCTAACCTTCTTGTCACTCAACGCCAACATAAGCATTTCTCCCAGCAGCAAGGCCAACTGCACTGCGAGAGAAGACAATTTTGCTTCAGGTGTCAGCGCCCTTATTCCTCGCTCTGAAGATTGCAAGTCTCACACCAAGATTTCAGAACGTAATCTGGTTTGATGTTTCAGTGCAATAATGAAAAAGCTCCGGCCAAGTTGTTTGTCCTGATGTGTTAAACTGAGATCCTTTTTGCCTCATCATGCAATTATATAAATGTTAAAACCCCAGAGCATTAAGTGAAGCCAAAAGTGCTTCTGATAATCTAGCAACATTCCTCCTTTAACGCATATGACTAAAAGTGAATTGATCTCACAGTCTGCTGCATAATGCTGTTGTTGCAGAATAGCTACTGCATTTGTCTCTGACACAATAATCACCGTATTTACAAAGATTGCATGAACAGCTTTACAAGAGATTTCAAAAATCTGAAATATATAAATGCAAGTTTTATTATTATTTTATCCACGGCTGAGGCTGTATAATGCTCTGGTCAGACTGCATTTGAATCATAGAATCCCTACAGTGTGGAAACTGGCCCTTCGGCCTAACAAGTCCACACCGACCCTCAGAGCATCCCACCCAGACCCATCCCCCTATAACCCACCTAATCTACACATCCCTGAACTCTACGGGCAATTTAGCATGGCCAATCCACCTAGCCTGCACATGTTTGGAATGTGGGAGGAAACCGGAGCACTCGGCGGAAACCCATGCAGACACGGGGAGAATGTGCAAACTCTACACAGACAGTCACCTGAGGGTGGAGTTGAACCCAGGTCCCTAGTGCTGTAAAGCAGCAGTGCTAACGACTGAGCCACCCTGCTGCCCCTTTGCCATATTTGTGCTACATATCTAAGGAAAGATGTATTGGCATTGCAGGAGGGCCAGAGGAGGTTTACAAGAATGATCTCAGCATGAAGGGCTTGTCATATGAGGAGTGGTTGAAGACTCTAGATCTGTACTCCATGGAGTTTAGAAAGATGAGGGGGGGGGATCTCATTGAAATTTACAGAACGCTGAGAAGCTGAGATAGAGTGGACGTAAGAAGATGTTTCCACAAGCAGGACAGACTAAGACCTGACAGCACAGACTCAGAATGAAAGGATGACCCTTTAGAACTGAACTGAGAAGGAATTTCTTCAGCCAGAGTGTGATGAATCTATGGAACTCATTGCCAAAAAGTGGCTGTGGAGGCTAAGTCATTGAGTGTCTTTAAGACAGATATAGATAGGTTTTTGATTAGTAAGAGAAAGCAGGACAATACGCTGAGAAGCATATCAGCAACAATCAAATGGCAGAGCAGACTCAATGGGCTGAATGGCTTAAATCTGCTCCTATATTTTATGGTCTTAAGGTTTACCCGCTGTGAAAATCCATCCTGAATACAAAGTCAGGACCCAATCTGACATAAATACGAGGCTCCCTGAAGGAAAAAGTTTCAACCTGCTTCAGTTTGCAGTCAGGTTCATAATGCTTCATGCATATAACACCATCTCAACTTTTCACAGAATTTCTCCTGATCTCCTACCGCTACTGTCAGAAGTCAGAAGAAAACAGAGAACTGTTTCACAATTTCCGTCAGATTTCTGCCAATATTCTGCCAAAATTACACTGCGAAACAGTGAACTGTTAATGTTGGTATGATGCTGAAATTATTTTTCACTGGTATTAAACTTTTAAGTGCAGCCTAAGAATTTCTATATTTAGGTATAGTACTTAACTCCTCAAAAAATTCTTTTTAACATTATCAACGACTCAAATCAAAACGGTGATGGTGAACTGGTCAAGGTCTAAGATTAAGAAGGACAACGCTACGGTAAATAATGAGAGACAGTTTCCCCTGATTAGAGAGGTCTGACCAGACCACACAATATGTTATCTTGTTAATGGGGTAATATATAGCAGATTAGGTCTGTATTTCGAATTTGTGCCACAAATCTTTCTCGAAGCAGTCCTTTGATTCTTTTCAAAGGGAATTACATTGTTGAAAAAATATAGCAGGGATGGGAGGGAAGTACAAGAATCCAATTAGATTAGGTGGCTCATGTAAGGTAAATATTTGCCTTGGTAGATGAAACAACCTGTTCCTGTGCTGGAACAATTAAGCATTAGGTAATTATATATATCAAAAACAAAATACGTTTCACTTGAAGGTCAAAGTAGCAAAGAATTGGTTACTACAGTACAAGTAACCAAACATTATTACCTAAAACACTTTTGTTTCACCTAACCTTGTTTTTATATTGGCAATATTTTAAACTGCATCCTGTAAACCCAATAACATCGTTGTTACTGCATCAATTTAATATCATATTCATATTGAAACAACACATAAAAGCCACCATTCCTGGTCGACGATCACATGAAAAATTCATATGAATTTCAGAAAGGGACTGGAACAGTTTGTGATTCTGTAACTTAGATTTATATAATCCATTATGACATCTTTCAGAAATAACTTAAACTAGGCAAAGCAAGGCAACCAACTGCATACAACGAGATTGTATAAAGAACAATAGTTCATTTCTTTCTTTGTTTGTGTTTAGGAGAAATGTTGTTTGGGATAACTGTGAGAATACCTTGTGTGTTCTTCCAGTCCAATCTGAGGAACAATTACATTCAAGTGCAGCAACAGAAGAAGATAGGACCCCAGTTTAATGGCTTACCTGAAGGGACCACTTCACAAAATCTGCCTGTCCAGCAACAAAGTTTGGCCTGCACTCTCTAATTTTGTTGCTGCAGCACATTATCTGAAAATACCATACCCAGTTTACTTCCTCTATTCACTTGAGTGTCTTCAGTGGGCCTAGAACATCACTTCAGTGATCAGCTTGTGGCCCAAAAACCTAGATTATCAAGTCTCTCATATTTAATCCCTCCAGCTTTAGAAATTATCCTTCTTTTCCTTCTCTGCACCACCAATAAACTTTACTTTCCAGAACCAAAATTGTATTCAGGACTCCAGAAGCAGTCTGCCCAGAGTCCAGTTTCATCATGACATCTGGAAATGCAGCTCAAATGATTTAGTAATTGCCATGCAGAGATATCTTTATAAAATAGATTAACAATGAAACTTCTTCTATTTAACATTAATTAAAAACTAACAAGTCAGTTAACTCCATAGAGTAAGATAGTCCAATGCAAATGCAGAGAATCCTGCTTTGACAGAGTACTGGCCAGTGTTGATCTCTGATGTTGCTATTTCACAATACTCTAAACCAGGTAGCAGTGCCCAATGGGTACTTGTCATGCAAAAGCAGCACTATGATACATCAAAACCGAATCAGTAACCTTATTAAAGCGTTGACATAGTGAGGTTGTTGACTTGCTCGCCGAGCTGGCTTGTTTTCATTCAGACGTTTCATCACCATGCCAGGTAACATCATCAGTGAGGCCTCCAATGAAGCGATGGTGTTCTACTCCACTTGGAATTTATACTGTCTGGCCTGTTATGATGAGTAGTGTCATTTCTGGCTTTGTTCTGTATGGGTTTGTATACGGGGTCAAATTCTACATGTTTGCTGATCGTATTACGGTTGAGAACCATGCCTCTAGGAATTCCCATGTGTGTCTATGTTTGGCTTGGGCTATTATAGTTACGTGGTCCTGACACTGTCTGTTGTTTAGTGCTGACATAGTGTTAGGCCACTGTCCTTCTGTTTCACAATAATGTAAACAGGCAAATTAGAAACAGGAGTAGGCTATTCAGCCCCACACGCCTGTTCAGCCATTCAATAAGATCATGGCAGATCTGATTGTGGCCGCAACTCCACATTCCCACCTAACCTTGATACCCTTTAACTCCCTTGTTAGTCAAGAATCTATCCACCTCTGCCATAAAAATACTCAGTGACCCTTCTTCCATCACTCTCTGGGGGAGAAAATTTCCAAAGAATCATGAGCCTCTGGGATGGAAAAAAATCTCCTGTCTTGAATGGGAGATCCCTTATTTTAAATTGTGACCCCTTAGTCTATGCTCCCTCTTACATGGAAGCATCCTTTCAGCATCCATCTTGTAAAGTTCCTTCAGGATCTTAAATGCTTCCATAAGATCCTCTCACATTCTTCTACCTGCAATGCAGACTGGGCCACCTTGCCCAACTTTTCCTTAGGAGAGAATCGCTCATCTGAGGAATCAAATGAGTGAACTTTTATTTAATAATTTAAATGAATGGAGGTAACAGTTAAATAAAAATTAAATAAAGCAACGTGGGCTGACGCAGAAGGTTATACACTCCCTCACATTTCTGGGATCTGGGTTCAAATCTAATCCAAACTAATGCAACTATGTACCATTTGAAATTCATTTGTCTCAATCCAGTTTCGAATTGACATGATCCCAAATGGCTAAATCTGACTTGGGGTCTCCAACATGAGTAAAATGAGAAACTGGTAAACAGATCCAGGTGCATTTCAAGAACATTTTTGAAGTTGGGGCTTAACAGGGAGCAAACCTTTGCAACAAAACTATATTATGCTAGAGCTGAGAGCGATTGGTACTGACCTTGTGTCCCTGAAATGACTACACTCACCATCTCAGAAATCTCTCAATTTAAAGAACAAGGGAAGACCACCAAATAATAAATATCTAAACACAGATGCATACATTGTTATTACAATTTATAACAAATACATTATTCTGGAAAAAGGTTCTACCTCCTGCTCCAATCTCAGAGTCTGTGCTGTCTCGCTCTAGGCTTCCTGCACTGTTAACAATGTTCATTAGATGGATGGCAGTCCAAGCAAAAGGCATGCGGTACTTCCCCAGTCTGAGACAAAACTGCTCTGCTTGGCTCTTTAGCTTCTCCAGCTTTTCTTTATTCTGTGATAAAAGTAGAAGATTAAAAGCAAATATTCTACAAAAGACGGTGAAACAAAACTGAAACGACAGTCCCCTTCTGTTCTTCAAAGATGCAACTCAATCGTGCAAATCAGCCATCCAACATGGTCTAATTCCATTTCGTCGACCAGACCAAACCAAAAACACATGCACTTGTTACAATTGGAAGAAACTTACTCTGTCTCAATTACAATTTACAATCAAAGTTAACCTCGTTTTGTAATCACCATTTGTTGAATATCAATTCCTAATATTTCCAAAATATTTTAGAAAGGTTCCTACTTTGGTTGTATCAGATTCCTTGAATATCATGTATGGTTCTGCACATTCACCAATATCTCCTTGTTGCAGAACTTTCTCCAGCTGAAAAAAAGCACAGGAAATAAACATCATTGTAACAGCCAGCACATGTTTTTCCAGTGCACCACTGAGTGTAAACGTTTCATATATTACAAGAGTCTACTGATCACAGATTCTATAGCAAAGCCAGCTTGGTACTCAATATCTTCACCAACAACTGCATTTTGTGTAGCAATTTAAATGTGGCATTTAATTCAAAGAGGCATGAAGAAAATGAGTGTCAAGCTAAAGGGATCATATTAGGAATACTGATCAAAAGCTGACTGTAGAGATGAGTTTGAACTAGGACGATGAGGCAGGAGAGGAAGCTGAAGCGATTATTGAAAACAATTTCATAGAGGAACATAGATGACTGAGAGCATATCCACCTAAAAGGGGTTGCACAACAGGGTGAAAGCAAAGGAACAATGAACAAAAGATTGTTAGGGCAGGAGATTACTCTAGATGGGACAATGCCCTTGAAGGATTTAAATGCAAACCTAGGAAATGTAAATTTGAAGCCTTGTACAATAAAAAGTGTAAGCCATAAAGTGTAATGGAAGTTGGATATGGTGCAGGTTAGAAAAACAACAGCACAGTTTTGGAGATGAGGTGTGTGCAGAGTGAAGAATTGGAAGTGAGACAAACAAGCAATGGAGTAATCACGTAGTGTGACAAAAGACAAGGATGTTGGCTTTCGCCACAGTTGGACTTTAAGAACAGAAGCTGGTAATATTACAGGTTAGAAGGCAGGCAGATTTAGGATAATACAGCATAAGGACATAGAAGCAAAGAAGTTCAACTTGGGACCACAGAGTGGCATAGCAAACACCCTTGGACAATGACGATGAGGGCCTGGGCAAAGAGTTGAAAGAAACACTGGACACTTTTATTAAGGCAAAAGAAATTTGTTTCTGCTCTCATTACTTTCTACTACCTTTAGCAAGAAAGTACAGGATACAAAATCCATCACTTCTCTTCCCATTATGTACCAAAAAGTATTAATCATGTTGACTTCTAAATAGACTCAAGGACAAGGTAGGTATCTGGTACAATAACTGAACACCAGTTAGTACTTCCAAGGAGGAACTGCAGATAATGCAAAATAATATTTATTCTTACCCTGATAACTAGAAAAACATCTTGACACGGATATGTGATTGAGAAGATTGCTGATCGAGCCAGTGTTGAAATTGCTGCAGGAGGAACATGAGGTCGCAGCATGCCTTTCATTTGCTCAGAATTCAAATCAAAGAAAAAATTTTCTGAAATCTGTTTATTTTAGAAACATTACAAATTAGAATATTATAGTTTTATATTTATGAATCTTGTAAGTAGTTATCTGCAAAATCAAAGGACAGATGCCGATCACAGCTCTATACTGCTCTCTACAGATGTACAAATGAAACTTCAGTTGATAAAATAGAGAAACTCATATGACATGGACAGAGTTTTACTAGTAAATAAAACAGCATTCATGCTTGGAAATGGAAAACATTCTACTTAAAAACAATGGAAGTATTCATTTGTGAATTTTTATAATCTTAAAAAAAAAGTGCCTCTGTCATATCAAACACCCCAGATCAGATGAAAAAGGTTAGGCATATTGTGAAGCTCCCAAGTTGCTCAGTCGTCACAGAAAAATTCCTATTGCAACAGTATAACCATTCTGAATTCCTAAAATAGCCACTATTTGGTCTGCTGAGTCTGATTCCCAATAAACGCTAAACAATGGGTAGTTCTGTGTTAGGGGCCCATGGCATCTAACATCAATATAACTTATGGAGAGAAAGAAAGAAAGAGAGTGAAGGGAATGAATACAGGAGGAGAGGGAGAATTTTCATTCCATCAAAAAGTGCAGTACATGGATAATATAGCAGATCTGACAGTATTGGAAAAGGAACAATAAGGTTCCTCGTTTCTAATGGAGCCCAAGCCAACTTCCTGTCCCCTGCCAACCCAATTCCGATAAAAGGCACAGCCATTTCGCCATGTTAACTATTTCCTTCATTTCAATTTCACCCATCAACAATCCCATAACTAGTTCTCATGATCGCTACAATCCAGAGTGTGTTTGACCTTGAGCAGCAAAACGCATCGCTTTTGAAAATTGCAGCATTATCCACGTCAGTTAATTATTTGCATTGCTTTTAGCTGTTAATTGATTTATTCTTCTGTGTAAATTTATTTCTGATAATAAATCCTTTCTATCACTTTAACCTAAACTCTGTGATCAATTACTGTGGTATTTTTCTGTTTATCAAAAGATTAGAAATGCAACACATACATTCTATCTAATTCTTTATATCAAACCAGCATTATAAGCACAGAAATATCTTGTAACTCTAAGGCATATTTGCCTCATACTATACATTTTGTGCTTCTGCCCATAGGTAATGCGAATTTGTCTATGGAAACTAGAAACTGCCTTTTCACATTAGCAGGAACAATTCAAAAATAGTTCAAATCCAAACATTAGTGGCAAAAATCAGCTGCATAATATTCAAATGGTGTACTATCTCCAGACATTGTTTCACAAAAAGTTTGATTACCATTAGATTGGTTACTGCAAATCACAGTTAAAATACAGAATGCAGTTTGCTCAGTGACAAAAACAAATTTCACCAAGACAGAACATGATAAGTGGCTAAAGTGAGAGCTCTGCTATAAGCTACATTATTCAAAGAATCTCATTTAAAGTGTGCTTGATGATTTAGTTCTGTTCTGTTCATGCGTGACTGAGCCAGAACAGGAAGATCCCACAACTGTATTTTTAAACGACCGATCTCAGCCGAGCAGTAACTGGATTCGCAATGTCCCTGAGACAGATGGAGAAAATACACAATGCTCTCTGCTCTCAATTCCTATCCAGTGAAAAATGGGCAAACTCTGAACTATCTATTAATCTCATTTTTAAAAAGTGCTGGAGAAATTCCCACAGGTATGGCAGTATGGCAGATAACAAGATGTCGAGCTGGATGAACACAGCAGGCCAAGCAGCATCAGAGGAGCAGGAAGGCTGACGTTTCGGGCC